CATGAGCAAGTTTTCTTAATTCATTAGTTCTCAAAACAACTGGGCAGTAAATAATGCGTAACATAATTATTTACATATTGATTTGAAAATGGTCACAGACTAGTTTACAAACAAATCAGTATACCAACCAGAAATTGAAACTTTTGTAGGTGATATTAAATCTAAGATTTAATTTTAAAATCATCACTCTTTTAGTTTTTTTTTTTGAAAACAACGTTACCACCAATACAAACTCATTGCTTTTTAGTTTCGATTTAAGAGGAGGCTAGCGATTTGTGCTGGTCATTACGACGGAGGCCACTAAGTTGATCCAACTTTCTTTTGAACGTGTTGACAGATAGAACTTCAACCATGTGTTGAAGTAAGAAGTTCCGTTTGTTGATCATTCGATAGGAGCGTTGGTAATCAGTTAAAAAGTAATATATTCTGGACTTATGAACATATTTGAAGTGTCCTCATAAATTCCGTTTTGAAAGACAAGAAAAATGAATGCATTTTTGATGAAAAGTTATTACTAAGAAATCTAAAAACTGTAACTAAGTTATCTTTAGTCCCTCAGTATGATAATAAGACTAGGTTTAGTTTGGCCAGTCTCTTGTCACACAGTAGCTTAGAGATTCCGGTAATCAACTTAGTTGTAATTTTTTCGACCTTTGAAAAACTCACTGTTCTTTTTAGGCAGAGACTGTCTGCTTGAATGCAATACTTGAGCTATTAATAAGTTTGTGAGATATGAATAACTTGTTTTAAAACCGTTTTGATTTTTATAGAGAATCACATTTATATTCAGATACCTAAATAACTGCTTGTGAATAATCATTTCTTGAATATTAACCACCATACTGATTAAACATGAGGCCTGCTAATTATCAGGTTTATATGTGTACCTGTTTGAAGATTTACTATAGAGTTCTTTCATTTGTTTAGTGATCTACCTTGGATTACAGGCAGATTAAAATATGTGCTCAAGGGATTTACTATAAAGTTTGCGATTCTCTTTGGTAATCTATGATCCATTTATATCTAATTCATTTAACACCGAGTTTTTTGTCACAATATTCAGAGTGTGATTAAGGTATCTTTTTGTACCTGAGAGAAAAGCATCTATACGGTATATACATAAGGAAAGTAGTTTGAGAATATCTGAGCTACATCACAGTTGTCTTCCGCTAGCAATACAGTATGACTATCATACAGTTCAGAGGTGCCGCCCCCCATCCTCTACCCTTGATTTTTGTACAAGTGTAAATGTTTTCTAAATTCTACAAACTATCTCTGTTAAAATAAATAACTTTCTATTTCTTCCGTTTCATGAATGATTGTAACTCTATCAGCTAAATTTATTTTAAATAGCATCATTTTATTATTCTGGTGAAACCCAACATTAAACTTTTTATGAATAAAATCAACTATTTATTCGTTACACTGTATAAGGATTAATTCTTTAACCTATTCATATTAAAAGTATAATATCTAATAAATTTTAATTAAATACTGATTGCCTAACTTTATTAAATATTTTAGTATCTTAGTAGATTATCTTTAGCTCAAATTTTGTTCCCAATCCATATTTAGTTCTAAAGGTTAGTTTTCGTCACTTATTTAAAAAAGAAAAAAATACTTTTATTCACTAGTGAATTCTAATTAAAATTATATTAGGAAATTTCATTATAAACGTTATATAATACTTCAGTATTTATTGTTGAAAGAAGAACAGTTTCTTCGTAAAGTCAATTCCCCTACAGAATATAATGAACCCAATGATATTGATTTTTTTTAATCAAACAAAATGGAATTTCACAGTTTTTATTTAATTTAATTAGATAATTTATTTATTCTAATTTAATTTGTGTAATAAGTTTTGATTATGTAATTTATAGTTGTCATGTAATTAGGCTATAAAGCAAATTATTTGTTATTTTCCTGAATCATTATTTAAAATAAAATTGTACTTTTAAACGTGATACTTTAATCATTTAGGTAAAAATGTTTCTATTTTTTATTAATAAAAGTATAAAATAAATAAAAAATATACAAAAAAATATTTATGTGTATCTATGCTAGTAACACAATTGAGCTACACGATGTTTGTAAATTTTTTTTGAAGGGGGGTATACGCTATTAACTTTTCTTCAATAACATTATTGACTATCAAAGTAATGATAACAATGAAATAATGAACCTAGATTTATGTATGAACTACTATAAGAGTAACATTGATTGATCAGAGCTTATTACAAGTGTCAACCATTATATATTTTGATCTATTGAATAAAATGGTAAACGTGTTTGCAATAAAATTCTGATGAATAAATTCGGGCAACTAAAAAGAACTGCGCTTTAAAATTTCGTGGTTTTCTTTTGTTCTCCAATGACAGAAGTATCTTCAAATAATAATATTTTAAATTTGACATATATTTTTATATTTCAACGGCATTTTTCAATTTCCAATAATCATTCACGTCTTTTCAACTTATAGCTTGCTTTCACTTTACTTCTTTGAACAAAATTGCTTCTATGAAGAGTTTTCATTTTGTTTCATTACATATTAAAGAAATAAAAGTTATTATGTTTGAATAAGTTAAATAAGAGTAATTTATACTCCCATCTTATGTACGAGAGAATTTATCCAATATATCTTAAAAATATTCACTTCGGCATAATTTTCTGTTTATCAGGAATTACTATACTGTTGTTCTTCTCACTTTCGGTATCTCATGTACTACAACATCAAGATAAAATATAAAAGAGATTTGAAATGCTTAAGTTCTTTTAATCTGATAAATAAACATAGGCTTCTTCTCTTGTGAAGTAACTGAACAGAATAACTTTTCATATAATGACTAGATGATTTAACTAATTTCATACATTTGACAAGGCCGTTAAGAATAAGCATTAAACAAAGTTTTTCTTAACTAAAACAAAACCTTTTTTGTTTTATACATAAGTAAATATATTTAGTCAAATAGAGTAGAGAGTATTTAGTATAGAATGGTTTAAGAAGCATTTACTACCATTAATACAATCAGTTTATTCAATAAAATAAGGAACTTTTCTTTGACTTCAATAAAAAAAAAGAAAACAATTTGTTAGTTCCAGTAGTTATTATACCGCAAACATAATCCTTATTGATTTTAATCTCCCTAACTAATGTTATTATTTATTAAAACAATGAAACATTTTAATTTTGTTAGTGAATGAATTAAATAATTTGAAATTGTATATAATCTAATTGATTAATCAGCTAAAACAAAATTTGTCCGTTTAACTTTTGGGGACAATAAATACAGTAAGGTTAATATTCTATTACTAAAGTATTAGGAGTATAAACGTATCATGTACTGGAGAAGATTAGAAAAGAAGTAATGTAATGAAAATGATAATATGTATGTGAATATAGATAATAACAAGAAGGTAATAACAATTATAACACTGTCTAAGTGTATGTTCTTCAATTGTGCTGACAATAGATTCAGAGTTTCACAGATGTTCTCTCTCTGTTGCTTACCATTAAGCTTATATAAGTAGTAACCCAGTAACAGAAGTGTTAGTGAAAGGAAACAAAATAACCGATAAGCAAGGTGTATTTTTAGCAGAAACAGACGAAAAAAATATTAATATTTAACTCTTAACACTGAGTATAAACAGAATGTTCTGTTCTGCTAGATTCCCAGAATTCACTCGATAAACGTCTTATTTTCGTGATTTCATTTTGGAAATTTGAAGTTCTTGTTTTCACGCCAGATGCACTCATTTGTACCGTCAGATTGTATTTCCCACTTGGAATAACCTTAAATGTCATTGGTTCGTTCGCTCTTTTAATATGCTATTTTGTGATGTTTCACAAGGATATTTTTATGCAGTATACATACTCATGAGTTGTGGGATTGTTGTTGTTCGTGATTCTGGCTGCTTATGCAATATACTTCCTCTCTCTAAACCTGAACTTCTCCCTCTAGTTAGTGGGGCTGGAACGCATCTGAAGGGTTAGCTTATCTTGTCATTTTATCTCTGAGCCTTCATTCCGGTCTCTGATTTAGATGATCTCGTAATCTCTTCAAACGTAGCGAGATCCCATATAAACAAAATTTACTACAGATACTATAATACAAAGTCGTTACAAATCTATTTTCACCATCACCAACAATACTTTGAAAACTATAGATTGGTCAGATTCTTTGCCGACTGGTACTGAATTTTATTGAATTCAATGTATATATAAGAAAATTCGTAGAATGTAATTGATTTGTTGTTTACTTAATTCCAGATATGAAGTTGATAAAAAAGATTCAAAATCTTTGATGATAATAAAACAACTAAGAATGTGAAAATTATTAGCTCAGTCTGTTGAGATCATGATCAAAAGATTTAAATAAAGAACTTATGCATTCAGAAATGTATTATTATTATTATCAATCCTGTTTCTTCCTAATGGTTTCACTTTCCATAATCCTTTATGTGATTTACCTTCCCAATTGTATATTGTATCTTGTTACATAATTAAACTGTATTCAGTTGACCCATCATCCATTCTATGAAATATAACGTTAATTTTTCAATTCGTTTTAACTTCTCTCACTTATTCTTCTTAGTTTTCTTCTCTTTTAGTATATTTATATATTTTAGAATACGACAAAAAGGATTCTTTCAATTCTTCTGCATTTATTTGGTTTTTTTGCAGTACTCATTATCAGGATCAACAAAAATTCTAATGAAAATGTTTCTAGAAATATTTACACTTATTTAGTTTTAAATAATGACTTATATTCTTTTTAGATTGTAAACAACCGAAGTGAATCTTCCCATTATAAATCAAATTCATTCTATTCTGCTATGATTGATTCTTTTTATTTATAACTATTTTCATTTTACTAAATATTAGAAAGTTTGTTTGTTTGTTTTTATTCTTAACAAGAATCTTTATTGTTTATATCTTATTTTTGCTTATTATTTAGTATAAACTTTTAAATAAACAAAAAAAGAAAACGTACTCATGAAGAATGAATAGAACCTATTTGAATTTATCTACTCATCCAATAACTTCAACAGCTGATAATACTTCATTGAATACAATGTCAACAACAAAAGTTCGTTTCAGTTCAGATTTATGTAATGGTCATATATCGTCATCATCATCATCCTTTAAAACATATTCAAATAATTTATGCGATGCACCATCTTCATCATCATCAACTGGTGATTATTCAACATCATCTGAATTCAGTAGTACATCACATATTTTGAAAAACTTTACTATTGGTGATCGGGTTTTTTTAAGTAGAACAAAACAACATGGTACAATTGCATATATTGGACCAACACATTTTTCCGCTGAAGATCTTGTCGGTAAGTATGTATGATTCAGTAACTTATAAAAATTAATTCACTTTTTTATTTGTGATGCATGGATGGTCTTTTAATTGTATCACTTTATTGTATTTTGAGCTTCTAATGTTTGGCTAGGCATCATTATTATGATTATATAAAAACACGTGGTCAGTACTTTTTTTACCGAGTGCTCTAACGAGCGTTAAATGAAGAATGATGTACTGACTATCTTCAATTAATTCCATTATTAAATAGTCCTTGGAAGTCTGATTCGTTTATTTCTTGATTATCATGTTAATACATTATAGTTTCCAATATCCAACCATTTAGAATTCAGTTTATTCATCTCATTTGTGAACCCTTGGGATGTTTTGCTTCTATTTATGTACAATTTCTAACTTTGAACTAGATTCATAGAGTTCCGGTTCTTGGGTTAAGTATTTATCATCTTATTAACCATTACGACTCATATTTGACTAAACTTATTTTTATGCACTAGGATGATTGCGCAGATAGGTTGCAAAGTATGAAATTGGATCTTATCACAGCTTGATTAGATAAGTTTTTTTCAGAAGTTCCAGTAGTAAGTCTTGACATATGGAGTTAACTTAGTCTGTACTGAGCCAGTATTTCAGCTATTAAAATGAGTGAATACTGAAACTCTGAACGTGAATCGTTTCATCTGTTCTCAGTGCTCAAAGACTAATGTGCTGATTTCTTTCCCGGGTGCAGATATATGTACTCACTGCTAACAAACTTCCAACAATAAAAAAACAACTCAGTGGTTTATAGTTTTTATTAGTTCCTGAGCTAAAGTTGACTGCTATAAAATTAATTTGATTCTGCTAAGTACACTTCTTCCTAATTTGTTTTGCGAGAAGAGATAGTTGTCTTGGACGACAATACTAAAACTACAAATGTTTCGTAGCTTTATTGTTTGTTTTGAGTTTATTTTTGGTTTTTTTTGCTTTCAACTAATATAATGGAAACTTCTAACCACCTACTGGTACATTTTAATGAAATTAGCACTTTGGTATATATATATATATATATATATATATATATATATATATATATATATATATATATATATATATATATATATATATATATGAATAGTTTGATTGCTTTCACTAAACGTCCGCACACTATAGTAATAAAATTTGTTTTCGAATTTTACTCAAGTTTCATACATAATTCCAGTTTTTGATGGTGCTGAAACATCTATCATCAATCGTTCAGTTTTATACTCAGGATTTATTCGTTCTTTCTAATTGTACTATGAGACTTTTTGTTTTCCTTTTCATAATAAAATATCTATGGTTTTTTCCAGATGTAAATAAATTTTGGTAATTAAGTTCTTAAGAAATAAGGAAACAACCGAAATATAATATTCGTTGAATGGCTATATACAATTGACGGCATGTCGTCAACGTAATTATTATGTACTTATTATACAAGTCAAGATAGTACACAGTTTCAGATTGCATTATTTATTAGAGATTGTTCACAGAATTTTGTTATTGATCATTATGAGTAGATAAAACACAAGTTACAGCGTCCGGAATTGCATTTCTGAACCTCACTTGCTGACCGAACCTGTTATTTATTACTGTTAACAGAAATTAACAAGGAAGATAATCTCGAAACAAGTAGATAATAATAACTATACCTGGAGAAAATATTTGGAAATACTACTTCTGTTACTGACTATTTAAAGGATCATATATTATTTTAGCGTTTGATCGCCATTTAGGCATCCAATTATTATTATTTGATTGTGTGATATGAAATCCAAGGCATTTTACCAAAATACTGACAGTTTTAACTTAGTAAAACTTATCCATTACTTTATTTTTCAAAGTATGCAATTCATAAATTTTAAAGACTTCAAAAAACTAAAAATTTTTGCGGTAAATAGTTTGTTTTTCCACTTACGATAAGACCTAAACTATATCCATTTTTTCCCACTATACTGAGCTCTATGTATTAAATCGTTTACTCTTCAAGTTTACTCAATCCTATAGAAATTCACATTTCAACAAGTAAGTATTGTTGAAAATTGTGTGATAAAATGCATTTCAATGCTTTTAGTGTAGGTCAAGGTGTATATCCTGAGTATCCAACATATTTTAATGCAATTTTTAGATTAGGACAAGAGTCAAATGATAATTGCATATCATAAATGGTAAATTCTTTAAAGAGACAATTCATCTTTATTCACAAATTTCTATTAGGCATTTTTGTAATGTAAAAAGAAGTATGTGGATATTATCTATCCAAAAGTTTTCATTTGTTTAGGCGTAATTTATGTTTAGAACTGTTTTGAAAGAATTGGGAAGTTTTATATATTTTCTTTGTTCTTCTTTCTTTTCATGAGAAAAAAATCACACAACAGTTTGATATTAAACAAAAAGACTTGTTAAAATAATTAACCTTGAGTACGTCTAACTAATTAGTCTATTGAGGATACAAAAGTCAGACTAACCAAACAATGAAACATGAGTTTAAGGTATATTCTAATAAATAACATGTTGGATGAGACTTTGAGATGATTAGAGATGACCGATCAATGATGACTGAATTATATATATATATATATATATATATATATATATATATATATCAGTGACTAAAGACAACCTTCTTTCTTCATTTTAGCTGGTTAAGCTAATCAATAGTGGAGAAATATAATACTGACCCAAACATTTGCACATATTAAATCAGGAAATGGTCTCAGTTAGACCACGCGAAGGTATTGGACGGCCGTTTCTTCCATGAAATGAACTTCTCGTCATTGCGAATCCAAACCCCTGAACTCGGCAGTCGGACCCAGGACCTTTGATATAGCTCAAAATCATTAGGCGGCAGTCGTGATGCTATTTGATGAGGAGTTTCATACTAGGAAGAAACAGCCGTTTAATGATTCCAGGTTTTCAACGGTGGTCTGATTAGGAAAAGTTTGTGATTTAAACTGTTAAAATAATATAATCCACAAATCCATTATACTAAAACATTCATTAGAATCGTTTAAAAAATTGCTGATGACTTTAGGATTTAATTATGAACACAATATTTAAAACATCATTAAACCAATGGGACAACTAGCATGTTCACTGATACTGAAAAAGAAGGGCCTATAGTTTAGGAAGATTCACCCGATAAAAATACCAAACATAGTTTTTATTGCCTTAATCCAGTTTATCAATGGCTGACATTCCATGAAACCTAAAATTCCACTAAATAAATTGAAAAATGATTGGTCTTACAGATTAGTTCTTTAACTATCAATCAGTAAGTACATAAATCAGTTCATTTCCGCTTTCGCATAGTTGCCGCTGGTCACAGTACCTAAAGAAGCAATCTCAACTATGATATTTATTTCTTCAGATTCGTTTTTGACATCAGCACTAAGATTAGTCTCCTGTAGTAGATCGATATTTTACAAGTAGCCTTAAGGACAAACTTCTAAAAGTGACTACTTTGATTCATGTTAATCACTTTCCTTAGGTCAGTGGAACCAGGTTCATTTCTTTTTTTATGTACTTTTAGTTTAATAGGGTTTAACTGAATTGGTCTATTTAGTGAGTAAAGACAGGTTGTGTGTCCATGATAAGTGTAATAACAGTACAAACTCTTAACACTTACTATGTAATCAAAGATTCTTGTCTGCCAAATACAGCGTTTCCTCGTCGTCTATTCATTAATGGACATTTTGCCAAGCATATGGATAAATTTAAACTATATACCTTAAAGTAACTTAACCTATCTTCTTTTTATGTGGTAAATCATAACTCATTTCCTCTCTACCCAACCCATTTGTTCCCCCTCTTTTTACATTGGTCTGCTATTTACATTTGACGAGTTATTATTACTGGAAGACTCATCCACACTATATGATGATATATTAACAAATGTTTGGTAATTATTTTCTTACTGTTTGGGACTTCTTACAAACATTTCATTTTTGAAACAGTAGCTGTTTAAAAACAAGCAATACTCTAGTATAGATTAAAAAAACTCAAAAATTTATAACAAAACATCTTTAACTCTCCTTACTGAATGTTCTATAATATAATGTTTTAAAAAAGGTATAATCTGAAATGAATAACGGTTTAGCTTTTGATCGAGATCATTAATCTCACTGGTGACGAGTCCCGTACTAGAACAAAACGTTCATTCTGTGCTCCCATGTTTTCCGCGGTAGTCTAACATTGGTCGATTTATGTTCTACAACATACATATCATTCTAACAAGATGTTCAGCGAAGTAATTATGAACTTCTATTCATTCAACCCATTTCAACCAGTTTTTCTGAGTATTGAATAGTACTTATTATTATTAAATGATCACCTTAAAGGTTTAATATTTTATTTTATTATTTCCTAAAAAAATCTCATAAAAGTATATTTCTTATAACTTTATTTATTTAAAACAAAATCTGACGCAATATACACCAGTGTGCCAATATTATAATTTACCATAACTAAGGTTCTGGCTCATAACAAATGAACTTTTTTCTAACATGATATGACAATTACTATACAACTTCCTACCATCAATATTACATAAAATGAGGGTCCATACTTCCATGTAGAAGTTTAGTTGAGTACTCTTTGAATATTCATTAGTTTTACTTTATACAAGAGATGATCTAGGATATTCGTAGGTTACTAGTATTCCATCACGGGCATATTTGAGGCATTGCTCGTGTATTTTGAAACCACTGAGTAAGCAGTGGCTGGGTTAGAAATAGGGTCTCAGATAAGGATCGCGAATCAATTGATGAGGTCATCAATCTTCATCAACAGAATCGACTGGGAAGTGTAAAGGACTTGACCACACACCACGTACTTCAACGGGGCGATTTTGTATGCTGTAGGAGTAAAGGCGGTTGGAGCAGATCATAGCACTATCCCATGAATCCATTGACAATGGGGCTGAGCTATGTTGGGTGCTGAGGACTACCTGTTTGGGGTTTGCGTGATTATCCTAACCAGTGGTTAAATAGAATCATTTACAATTCCGCATCTAATCTTTATCTTGCTCCACATTCCCTTATGATTTCTTTATTTTATATTTCTGTATTTTTCCGAATCGTTCGTTCGATGACTAACTTCTTTTTATCATACACATTACTGTTACTATCATAACTGCTCTGGAGTTTCCTCTAAAAACCTCATCTCTGTCGTAACGGGATATAGCAATTTGAATCGTTGAGCATACGTACCAGATTCAACGTTGCGTTTGGCTAATTTTCTTTACCTTAACTTCAATGAGTTTCTGTTCATAGAAATCCCAAATAACTCATTGTCTACCGTCTAGATTAGTTGAAAGATTCTAATGCTTATGTTAGTTACCTTGCCATAATTTTTAATGATTATGTATTCAAAACTTCGTCGAAATTCTCATGGTGGTATAGAGCGTGACACTAAAGTGTATATTTCAGATTTCGTACACCGTGAATAAGCGAAGTATAAATAAAAATCAAGAAGAGGAAAACAGAGTAGCAGAAATATTCACCATACTTACAATAGCCAAAAACTAAACAATATATATATATATATATATATTATGAGTCAATTGAAGCTAGACCACCATTGAAAAATTAGAAGCACTGGACAACCGTTTCGTCCTGTTGTAGGACTCCTAAGCAGTGCACATCTACAATCCCGCCTAACACGATTCGAACCCAGGACCTTCGGTCTCGCGCGAGAACTCTTAATATCTAGACCACTGAGCCGGCATCCGATGGTGTTAATTTCTAACTTCAGCCAATCCACGGAATTAAGCGACACATCCATTATTGTCTTCATTGAGTTACTATCTCACAACAGACCCGGTTGAACTCCAATGGTCACTGGTTCTCATTAGAACTCCAGGAAATACTTGTTGAAGCATCTGTTGATTAATATGAGAAGGGGTTTTGTGGATTTTATAGCAATTTCAATAGTTGAGATCATGAGTCTACTGAAGCTGCTGAGTAGTCCCACAATAGGACGAAACGGCCATCCAACGCTTTCAGGTTTTCCATGGTGGTCTAGCTTCAATTGACTCATGATCTCAACTATTGATATTACTATAATATGCACAAAAAAAACACTTCTGATAAAATACATATTCTCTAAAGTGAATGGATAAGTATTATAATTTAAAGCATGGTAGAAACATAAATAAAGAGAACAACTTAATCACAGTGGACGATATTGAAGTATGTTGCTGAATCTTTATAACTATAGACAATAATAATTCAAAAATTTAAAATCTCTATGAAGTGCTTGGATAAATGATAAACGGCCAATTCATCAAATAATGGATAGTCTCAATAAAGCTGCTTCCGTGTCTCTTCCAACCTACTATTAATATTATCAGCTAGCAATGTGCTTCAGGGATTCATCAATAAGATAAAAGAATTTTGTGACGTAATACTTTATCATCAGAAGGGGTTTTGTGGAGATTTTAGTAACTTCACTAATTGAAATCATAAGCCAATTGAAGCTAAACCACCAAGGAAAACCTGGAAGCACTGAATGGCCGTTTCGTTTTAGTATGCAACTTTTAGGCAGTGCTCATCCTTGATACCCCCTCCCGCAAGATTCGAGCTCAGGACCTATCAATCTCGCGCGCGGGCGCTTAATCGTTAGACCACTGAGCGGGCATCCAACGTGGCTGCTCACTGTTGAGGAGTTACGTACCAGGACGAAACGGCCGTCTAAAAATTCTAGGTTTTCCGTAGTAGTCTAGCTTCAATTGACTCATGATTTCAACTATTGATAATACTTTGTCAGTACGAAAAAAATTCTGTTGTATCAATATGTTATTTGTTGCTGTGTAGTTCATAGATGGTCATATTATCATTATTAATAATAATTACTTTAATTCAAATGAACAAAACAAGTGTTGTCATTGTTGTTGTTGTTGTTGTTCGCGTACACGTGTACATTTTCTAGTAATTAAAAATGATAATATATTTCTTTTATCGACCCATCGATACTTATACTACTATTATTATGATTGGTTAAATTAATTAATAAAATCATGTTTCATATTGACTGTAGCTTTCACAATAATGTAAGAAGAAAAAAACATCACAAATTGTTTTCTCTTTTTTTTCTCAAGTCACATGATTTATTACCTTACAGTGAAAGTATGTAGTTGTTCAGAAGAAAATATATAGATATATATATTTCAATAATGTAATAATGATTTATGGATTGTTTAGTTTTCATATTATATTATCAAATTATAAATGATAACATTGTTACTAATATCAGCTGTCTATCATCATTTTATGTATTAAGTAGTATACTGAATGCCAAAAAAATTTTTTGAAAGAAAAACAGTTTTAAAGGTTACAATAAATAAGTTTGAGTAATTGAGAATAAAGACATTTTTAATATCCATACTTATATAATATATTTTATAATAAAGATATAGTGTGGTGCGTGCTACTTATATTGATATAATTAGTATATCATGCGAGTCAGGAATGTTATGTCTGGAAGCAGAAGATGGGGAAGATCAAGAAAGGAAGAGCGGGAATAGAAAGCAGTTAGTATGAAAATGTAAGAACAACGAAGTTCGAGACACTTATTGAACATTTTGCAAATTAAGTGTTATAGTATGGTTTTTCTATTTTACCAAGTAACTCTGTAATTTTGTGTTGAACATAATTCGGTTGTTCTCACCTGTGTTCTGCTCTACTACATATTTGAAACTGTTAATAATTTTTGAAGAGTTTAAGTGTACGTTCATATAGTTTGAATAAAGCAAACAAACAGGAGAAATACAGATATTTCTGAATTATACCATGAACTGATATTAAATTATAAATCTCTGAATACTGACAAAAAGTATCAATGAAATAGATTTTCTTTCATCTCGAGCAGTTGTAAATATTTAAAGGATCTTATATGGAGTTTTCAGATCCTGGGAACAGTAATTGATTATTCAGCTATTTAATCGATTTGTAACATTATAATAACTTTATCCCTAATAAATATAAATAATTAATCAATTCTAAAATTGCTACCTTATTGTTAGACGTGAAGCTTTTATGTTGTCTATGACGATCGACGACTGTTATCATGTCGTTCAGAACAACGATGAAACAATGGTTGAGAGCTTCTCGATTTTCAATGATAATCTTTCCAAGAATTGTCTTCATTATTCACAGAATTATATATATATATATATATATATTACTGTGTGAACATTTATATGCCATATGTGGGCCTATCATACAATACACCTTTGCATTCAAAAGAGATTCGTACAACCACTTTCCCTGCCTTGGCCATCAGTTTAAGATTCCTTCAAAAGAACTATTATCATACTTCCTCCATTTTCTTTTTAACTTTTGTAATTTTATTTCTGTTGCTTTTGAACTTAATAACTTCTCAACATTCATCTCTTGATTCTTAAGTAACTACCATCCTATTGACCATCCGTTAAAATTCTGTTCCTTCTTTGTTTCTTACATTACGCAACTTAGCAACTTCTTGATCACTTTGAATATTAATAATTCTCTTTCTTCCAATTAATCAATGTTAATTTAAATGTCATTATGTAATTATTACGTAACGTATCCACTCGATGAGTATTATATTATTATTGTAAAACATATATATATATATTAGTGTAGAGCCATGATGAAAAACTAATTGAAAAGAAATTCCTTCGCTCAATTCGTTCCTTCTTTATTTACCAAATGGCAAAATGGGAATTTTCACTATATTGAAATTGATAGGTTGAATAAAGAGTTTAATCAGGTTCTTTAAATTAAGTAAACCCTTTTGATGATGTGTATGTTTATTGTTTTAATTAATGGCGTTAAAATTTCCGTTAGTTGTTTAAATGAACTTAATGTTAGACAGAATTGTATATTAGATTCAACATGGTCATAACTGATATAAGTTTTTTAAATGTTATTAAAGTAGACTTAAGTCTTCTGTTATACATCGAAATTTGAAGCTGTGAACTTGTCTACAAATCTATTGATTATTAATCTGAGTTTATTAGACTACATCTTTATCAGCATGAAATTCGAAATCAAAATAGTTTTTGATTTTTTACCGACTGATCATTATGAATAACTAAGACAATGACAGATGTTTACCAATCTATAGTAATTCATTTCAGTATTTAATAGAAGACAATACTCTGAAAATTTATAGTATTCATATTGACGTAAGGCATAAAAAGTGCAGTGTTGAATATTCGGAATTTTTGTTTAGCCTTTATTCTTGAAACATCAAAATTGCCCTAAATTTTATTGTCGTGATTATAGTATTAAAATAAGCTACTCAAATTTACATATAACATTCATACAATCACTGATTTGCTTATTGTTCATTAATGTCTTTTATATATGCATATCAAATGAGTAACCAGTTTGATTTTCAAATCAGTTATATATAATTGGTCTTGTATTATGTTTGATAATAATGCACTGAATTCTTTTTGTTGAATTAAAGCACAAATATTGATATAAAATATTCGCTTGATAATTAAAAATCAACTGATCAACTAACAAATCTATTTTGTTTAATCACTCATAGGTGTTGTATTAGATTCCAACTCTGGGAAACATGATGGCAGCATAAATGGAATACGATATTTTCAGTGTCCAGCAAGACGTGGGTTATTTTGTCCGATCGGTGACTTGTTCCCAGTGGACCAAAGTAAGTAACTATATATATATATATATATATATATATATATATATATATATATATATATATATATATATATATATATATATATATATATATATATATATATATATATATATATATAATGACGGATATATTTAGGATTAGTTTTTATCTATCCATACAGCCAAGAACTCCGCCTGTAGCTCTGATAGGGTTGCTGCCGGTCCCAAGCCCGGGTAAAGGAGGAGGGTTGGGCATGGGGTTAGCGTCCCCATCCCGTAGAAAACTAACTCGCTAAAAAAACGCTTACCAGAAAAAATAATCCAAACCATTTTAACTCTGCCCTGGGAGTTAGAAGGTCTTCATTTAGAAGAATTATGACGCTTCATGGTGAAAGCCGAGTTCCTTCGGAAGCCACGAGACCGATGCCCCTTCTAACAACCAGAGCAAACATTTTTATAGGTACATGGAACGTTCGAACAATGTGGGAAACCGGGAAGACCAGTCAAATAGCAATGGAAATGAGGAGATACAACTTAGCAGTACTGGGAATCAGCGAAACCCACTGGACCCAAACTGGACAGAAAAGGCTAGCTACGGGAGAGATGCTGCTATACTCCGGTCACGAAGAGGACAATGCTCCACACACTCAGGGAGTCGCTCTTATGCTGTCCAAAGTAGCACGAAGTGCACTTGTAGGATGGGAATCTCACGGATCCAGAATCATCAAAGCATCATTCAAAACAAAGGAGGGAATTACAATGAATATTATCCAATGTTATGCACCCATCAATGATAGCAACGACGAAATCAAAGATCAGTTCTACGAGCGGCTGCAGTCAATCATTGAGAAATGCCCAAGAAAGGACCTAACTATTCTGATGGGAGATCTAAATGCCAAAGTTGGAATAGACAACACTGGATATGAAGATATTATGGGACGACATGGACTGGGAGAAAGAAACGAAAATGGAGAAAGATTTGCAAATCTATGTGCATTCAACAAATTGGTCATAGGAGGCACAATATTTCCACACAAGCGTATACACAAGGCTACATGGATCTCACCGGACCACACTACAGAGAACCAAATAGATCATATTTGCATCAACAAAAAATTCCGAAGGACAATGGAAGATGTGAGAACCAGGAGAGGTGCTGACGTAGCTTCAGATCACCACCTAGTTGTAGCCAATTTGAAACTGAAGCTAAAAAAGAACTGGACAGGTGGACAAACAGCAATACAAAGGTTCAATACAGCCTTCCTTCGAGATACTGTCAAACTTAATGAATTCAAGATAGCTCTCAACAACAGGCTCCAAGCCTTACAAGATCTATTGAAAGAAGAAGAAACTACTATGGAGGACAACTGGAAAGGCATCAAGGAAGCATTAACTTCAACGTGTCAAGAGGTTCTCGGTCTAAAGAAATACCATCATAAGGAATGGATCTCTACAGAAACACTGGACAAGATCAAAGAAAGGAAGAACAAGAAGGCAGCAATGAACAACAGCCGAACACGAGCAGAGAAAGTCCAAGCACAAGCTGAATACACAGAAGCAAACAAACAAGTGAAGGGGAGCATTAGAGCCGACAAGAAGAAATACGTGGAAGAACTAGCAACGACGGCAGAAAAAGCTGCTAGAGAAGGAAATATGAAACAGCTTTACGATACAACGAAGAAACTATCAGGGAAATACAGTAAACCAGAGAGGCCGGTCAAAGACAAAGAAGGCAAGCCAATCACCGAAATTCAACAACAGCGTAACAGATGGGTAAAATACTTCGAAGAGCTCCTGAATAGGCCGGCTCCAATGAATCCACCGAACATCGAAGCAGCACACATAGATCTTCCTATAGATGTTAATCCACCAACTACGGAAGAAATTAGAATGGCCGTCAGACAAATCAAGAACGGGAAAGCAGCGGGACCCGACAACATACCAGCTGAAGCACTGAAATCAGACATCGAAGCAACCACAAGCATGCTTTATCTTCTATTCAAAAAGATTTGGGAGGAGGAACAAGTGCCGATGGACTGGAAAGAAGGGTGCCTCATCAAGATTTCAAAGAAAGGAGATCTGAGCAAATGTGGAAACTACAGAGCCATCACAATACTGTCAGTACCAGGAAAAGTCTTTAACAGAGTGTTGTGGAACCGGATGAAAGACGCAGTAGACACCCAACTTCGAGACCAACAAGCTGGATTCCGTAAGGATCGGTCGTGCACAAACCAAATTGCAACACTACAGATCATCGTCGAACAATCAGTTGAGTGGAACTCATCACTATACATCAACTTCATTGATTATGAAAAGGCATTCGACAGTGTAGATAGGAGGACATTATGGAAACTTCTTCGACACTACGGAGTTCCTGAGAAGATTGTCAATATTATCCGGAACTCATACGACGGACTACAGTGCAAAGTAGTGCATGGAGGACAGCTGACAGATGCATTCGAATTAAGGACCGGAGTCAGACAAGGCTGTTTACTCTCTCCCTTCCTCTTTCTTCTGGTGGTCGACTGGATTATGAAGACCTCAAAATCTGAAGGAAAACACGGAATACAATGGACAGCTCAGAATCATTTAGACGATTTGGACTTCGCAGATGACCTAGCCCTCCTATCACGTACACACGAACAGATGCAGATGAATATAGCCAGTGTAGCAGCAGTCTCTGCATCAGTAGGCCTCAGCATACACAAAGGGAAAACTAAGGTCCTCAAATTCAAAGCGGAGAACAGCAATCCAATCACACTTGATGGCGAAACTCTGGAAGATTTAGAATCCTTCACATACCTGGGAAGCATCATCGATGAACAAGGAGGATCCGATGCAGACGTAAAGGCGAGAATCGGCAAAGCAAGGGTCGTATTCCTACAATTGAAAAACATATGGAACTCAAAACAACTTTCAACCAATATCAAAGTAAGAATCTTCAATACGAACGTCAAGGCAGTTCTACTGTATGGAGCTGAAACTTGGAGAACTACAACAACCACAATCAAGAAAGTACAAGTATTTATAAATAACTGTCTACGCAAGATACTCAACATCCATTGGCCGGATACCATCAGCAATAGCCTTCTGTGGGAGAGAACAAACCAACTTCCAGCTGAAGAAGAAATTAGGAAAAGACGATGGAAATGGATAGGACATACATTACGCAAGTCGTCAAACTGCATCACGAGGCAAGCCCTAACTTGGAATCCTGAAGGGAAGCGAAAAAGAGGAAGGCCAAAGAACACATTTCGTCGGATAATAGAAGCAGATATGAAAACGATGAATTACAACTGGACGGAGCTAGAAAGGATTGCCCAGGACAGGGTTGGATGGAGAATGCTGGTGAGCGGCCTATGCTCCTTCACGAGGAGTAACAGGCGTAAGTAAGTAGTAAGTAATACAGCCAAGGGTAATTATTTTATTTTTAATTCATGTATAATCATAAAAGGGTTTAGAGATATACTCAGAAAGATAGGTATTCTAAGTTATTATTTCATTCCATTACTGTCTTCAGTTTATTATGTGCATATAAACATAAAGTTGTCACCTTATTACAGAAGACATGGTTGCTTAATAAACACTGTAACATAAGTAACAAATCCGGAATCATTACCCATTCAAGTGTCACAGTGCATTAACTCATAGATGATTTATTAGTAAAGCCAAAAATTTATAGTATTTACTATTAAACGGTCAAATAAGAGGAAAATGTTTTCAAGCTGCGTATTAACGCGATATTGCAATGCAATTACATAGTGTTCTCAGTTTTCCAGCCCAACTCATCAAAAGTTTCAACATCTTACTTAGGGAAAGTGGAGACTAAGAATGATGCTTGAATGATGCTTGCCGAAAACATTTACATTATTGCAGTTCATTTCGTTATTTATTAAGGCACATTTTAAGTAAGTATGCATTTAACAGAAATTATTAAATTTGAAAGGTTTTCATGTAATAGTCTTCTGAGATGGATGGTGGCTATTAGTAGAATCTAGGATATGTGTTTCATCCTATTTGGGATTCGTCGACTGGATATACTTGCATCCACGAGTTGATGTTCACTTTGAGACTCGGACCCGAATCGGACGAAACGCTCGTCCTGGACTCCACTGCAAGTCACCATCGTCTCTGCTTGAAATGCTTTTGACTTAAGGCAATATTGAAACAATTCGCACTGGATGCACATATGCAAATAAAAGGTTGATCAAACACAGTCCTAAACATCAATCGGGAGATTCGAAAAGCCAATACAAAAATGAATTGATGGTTTTCTTGTTTCAAAAACTCTTTGATCCAACTAATCAAATTCATATTTTAAAATACTTTAAAATACGATAAATTGTGAGTCAGGAAGTATCACACACATTTTCAAAGATAATTTAAACTAGTTTTGTGTCCAAACTACATGATTTTCAACCACTGGATCACATGTTTAAGCTATCTATCTACTTTACGTTATATATCATCCAGTCCATGAACTTGTATTTACTAGATGATTTATACTCCAATGATTTAGTGAATTCATTCAATTTATTGTATACGGTATAGTTAAAGCTATACATCAACCATCGATGATAATAATCATTGGTTAGCTTGAATCGAATTATTTCAGAAATAACGAATGAAAGCCGAATGCAATTCTGTAAAAATAGTATAAGTTACTATTTTTAATTGTTGTCTAATTTTTTACTATAAGATTTTATATATGGTCTGCTGAATTCGCTTCTATGGTTTTCCGATACGCTCACTTTTGTTTGTTTATTTTGTTTTATCCAGAAAACATTTTTTCGAGAAATAGAATTCGACCTAATACTAATTGTGAAGTCAACCAGTAAGTGACTAATTATTACTTAACATGATTGATTGATTGGTCATTAATAGGTGTTTCATTTTATAACATGTTAATTTTACCTCATTTCGGGATTGGTAATGAATTATTATTGACTTATATCAGAAAATTTTCTTTAGATTACTCTTGCAAGTTCCTTTTGACTAAACGTAGATCTTGATTACTGGACGTTTTCATGAAATTTCCGAAAGTTTTCATTTGAAATCAATACCAACTGATCATACCAAGGAATGATTGTTGTTCGTCAACATTTTCAGTGACAGATATTTATTTGATCACAGTGATATAGGTTAGATCTGCTTTGCTACCATCTTTCTACTTATTCTTCTAGTCTTTAATAATTTTTAATGTACCTTAAATACCAGTGATCGTTTACAAAGGTTTTCATGTACACGTTGTTGACGTTAAGGTCTCCTATCGATCGGTTTCCATTAGCACATGCACATATCGAGCAAATTACTTCGATACTGCCATTGTCTAATAGGCTTTGGTAAAGTTGAACTGTAGCCAGCATCAGAATCTAGAATGCGCATTCCGTCCTATTGGGAATTCGTTGACTGAACCTAATTCATAACGTTTAATGTTCATAATGAAACTTAGAGCCAGCGCTTTCGCTTCAAACTTTAACACAGTACCTACTGAACAAATAAGTTCAGGTAACTGCTGACTTGTCTAATGAGTATGAATTTTATTTCTAAACGTTTTGCATATCAAGACAACACACTCAAGATGCGCGTGTGGCAGTAGATACTAATTGTTTTCAGACCCTAATACAATAACGGAAAACTAAAAACCATCAAGAATAAAATTCATACCTGTTACACAAACTAGTAGCTACCTAGAATAAATAATTCAGTGTGTGAAGTAATTACATTTGAAGCTGAAGATACTGTGTTCACATTTCAGTACGAATATCAACACTGAGATACGAGCATGTCTATCTGACATTCCCAAATAAGAATAAATATACCTCATGAACTCAACTGTTAATCACTTTCCAACTTTCTTGATATTACTAACCAATTTATATATTTTGAGGCGATATATTCAGTAACTATGATGTAACGGTTATCCATTTCGGCTTTATTTTCAATCATTCTCCATCTAACGTCGGTTGAGAACTAAAACTAACTTTAGATGGAACAATATCTATCAAACGTCAAAACTCAGTTGTTGTGACATTTATTTTGCATAATATGTTTCTTAACCGACGAGAACTATTTTCTGTTGAGTTCTGTTTTTTTTCTGAACCCACTACAGTTAACTCATATTAAAGCAACTTTTCGGCTTCTTCATTTGAATGTATTTTTGATTTCTATTGCACGATATTTTAGCTCTTAGTTTAACAACAGATAAGATATCAGTACAAACTGTTTGACTTATTATATTTCTTTAAATGAGGTCATGAACCGATTGATGTTAGACCACCATTGAAAACCTGGAAGCACTGGACCGCCGTTTCGTCCTATTGTGAGACTCCTCAGCTGTGCGCATCCACGATCACGCTTACGGGATTCGGATCCAGGGCCTTCAGTCTTGCTTGTGAACGCTTAACCTGTAGACCACTAAACCGGCATCCAACAGTGTTAATGTCTAACCTCAATCAATCCACAGAGTTGCTCAACCATCTTCCATTGTATTGATGTAGATACCTGTCTCTACCTGACGCGGATTAGCTCCACTGGTCATGGCTTCTCACTAGAAACGGCCGTCCAGTACTTTCAGGTTTTTGATGGTGGTCAAACGTCAATCAGTTCACGATCTTAATCGAAACCTGAATAATCTCTACAACCCTATGCTGATAATCACTTATTATTTATTGTATGGTCGAGAGTGAAATCCCATCGATTCTCATTGAAATAAGACTTCAAAATGTTAGGTGGGGGTTGAAGACAGTTGGCACGCAACCCTGGACTTATGTGCCACGTTATTCGAAGCTCGTCAGCAAGGTATACCTGTAATCTCGAAGGAACTGATGCCCCCTGGCGGGTTTTATCTCCTGTCACCCAGCTTCCCACTTACGAATGCTACAACTGAGCTATCTAACATGCGACTAACCTCCTTTGGAAATAAGATATATTTACAATTGATTAATCACTAGATATTAACCAATGTTATGTATGTCATGTGCTTTTTAATGCAGATCATTTCTATCAATCAAGTTGTAACGTGACTACTTGTTTAGGTGACTGAACATCGGGTGAATCATATTGCATTTTTAAAATGCTAGTGTCAGCTTAAAAATTTGAAAAGTTTACGAAATCCAAACAACTTACCTGGAAATCAGGATAAATATTATAATATTAATGAAACAAAATTTGTGTTAAACTTGTTTTTTCGAGTTATTAGTCGGGTGGTCTACTTGGGGGTACTGAATTGTTTATTTATACGTAAGTAACATGCTATTTGTTATGCTACTCTTATGTTTGGCATTGAGAACATTAAGTGGAAATGTTAACGGAAGTATTTTCAATCTGCCATGATCAGAGATGATTGTTTGTATATATGCATGTGCATAGTTATGTTTCTGTTACCTCATCAGCACACAATCAAACCTTTTGAGGCTTTCTTGACACATCTAGAATACATGAGTAGACGTTTATCTGTCTGACGCATGTTATATTAATAGTGGCAAGGCTAAATAAATAACGGTTAATGTCTTAGATTCCAACTGAAGAATACTGACAATATTTTTGTTTTCATAATGTTCATAAATATTTCAGTTAATCTATAAAACCTCTCCTACAATTAGGTTTGTTTACAGTTAGATTTGTCGAGCACTTTTATTAACTCATTTACCGGACAAAATTATTTGAGTAGTAACAATATGTCTACTACTTTATATTATTATTATCGCTATCTTGTCTGTATGATCATGTTTGCTAGGTCAAACGTTACAGTCCACGCATATATCGCTCTCTCTAGCTTAAATGTTAGTCGCTTAAATATCGCATGATGAATTATTCACTTTCCCATATATATGTGCTTGAATCTCATAAATTGGTTCGATTCTATTCGTTTTGACTCTTGATTGGCCTCTGTGATCGCTTACTCGCGCGCATTAGCTATTCTTTTCAAATTCGCTTGGTATGCCTGTAACTTTGTTTTTTCTAAACTATTCAATAACAGACTGTAGTCGGGGCTTCCTGTTGGCTTCCGAATTAATGCACCGTTGGAATTTAATTAATAACGGTTATCAAGGTGATCAATAAATGAAACCTAAGGAATTATCTTGATATCAAGCCACTAAAAATCACCATCATCAGCTCCAAATATAATTGTATCATAATAACGAAACAAATAAGTATTCTACTGAAGAGGCGATTACAGTAATATACAACATTGAGTGGACTAGCATATATTCTTATGAATTTTAGATGTTTTGTTCTACTCTGTTGAAACAACGCTTAAAACTTAATCCAAACTATTTCGTTCAGAACTATTAAAGCTAAACGATTTTAGCATGTCTACTTTACTGATCTCTAGCTGAGACTAGATAATAAAATTATCGGTTCTCAATTTTGATTATATTAACATAAAATTCTGATAAATCCGACGAAAACGATTAATTTTACCAATAATATATATCTGGAAAGTTTGTAGCGCAGGTTAGTTCCATTGAAGTTTAATTTTAACCGAGTTAAATAAAAGTAAATTCAGGTAGACGAAAATAGATCCACTAATAATTTTACAATGAGTTGACTACTATCAAGCTAAAATAACACAGTATATTTTTACTCCAACTTAAGATTCACATTGTCAGCTATTCTGAATACAATCAATCAGTAAGTTTAAGCAATTGCAAAGGCATCCTCTTAATCACCTCTACCATTTATTTTAAAGTATAGTATCTTTGTAGAATAACCATTAACTTGGGAAAGAATAAATTGCAGCAGTTTTTTAAAAATTGTTTTATTAACATTTAGGGTTTGACGGCATGCTTTTATAGATTGAATCCATGCATTTCGCGAATAGCACTTTTGTATACGAAATAAAATATTGTATGCAACTGAAATTCAGTGTTTACATATCATCTTCTTCATAGATATACTTCACTAAATCGAAAGAATCCAGTAGATGCTACTAGATTTTCAAATTATTTACGTTCAGTAATCTAGAAAATACTTATATGTTTGCTTCATATTAATCGAGAGATAAACCTCACTAGATGTATCCTAAAATTTCCGTAAAAACCACAATTTTCCCCACTTTTCACAATTCACGTCACACTTTTCAATAAAATACGTTATTAAATGAATAAAAATTATCCATTATAATCGTCAAAATCGGACTCATGATTGTCGAAATTCATAACAAGCGCTGTATATTTATACTAACAACTTGAGAATTTATAAATGATCATACTGTTATCTTGGGTAGAGTAAATCTGCACTAATTATGGCTTCTCACTAAAATTCCATCAATTTATGTTGTATCTTGTCTCTAGTTAGAATATGACTGCTATATTTGTACGTAGTGTGCGATGATTTCCTTACTCAGTTGTTGGCATTATTTAAAGGAAAACTTTTTTGACTAAACAAAAGCATTTCTTTCGCACTATCTGGTAATAAAAATGATTGTTTTCATAAACAAAACACCATTTTTTTATTTATAGACTATTTGTTATGTTCTTATGCCCTGTTAGTTACCACATGAATAAATCGTCAATTAGATCACCAACCTATTTGACTATGATACTGTGCTAAATTAGTGACGCGGAAACTAGTATGGGCAGCCTAGCATTGTTCGTTTGAGTCCGGAATACAATCTCAGCTTCCACTAATATGAATCATATACTTCAGACATAAACAGTTTATACACAAGCACATCAGACACCATCATAATATAAAATAGTAAATAACAATTATACAAGATCAGTTCAAAAGTGGCTGTGAGTATGAGAGGCTGGAACTAATAAATTAAGAACAATTTAAGAACAGTAAATCGTATGATAATAGTCAATAGACCAAATGGAAGTTTATAATAAAGGGAATATGAATATACATATGATATGGTTACTTATTAGTTATATAATAAGAACATACGTGTAATAACAGTTCATAAATAATTCCTAGCAGTTATTATGGATTTATTATTCGTTAAGACAAAACATTATTTATGTATATCTGGGTAGAAAAACGTAATCATGCCTCTTTGAAAATTAAACAAATGCTACAAGCGTTTTTGTTCATTCTATGTATTTAAAGATTCGATTTTCTTTCAGAATATTTTGAAAGAATAGAAATAATCATTCCTTCACCTGTTTTATTTAAGTATTAAGATGATACTGATATTTTCTGTCATATTAAAGTTGTACTAACCAAAGGATTTCGAGCATATTAATGTTCTGTCTATAAATTTCATTAATAACTATGAAATTTCGTAATATTATTAAGTACTATCAAATTACAAGTGAATGTTACACTTGCTTAAGAGACTGAATAATGAATAAAAAGGTTACTTTCACAAAATAACTCATTGACCGATCAGGATTCTACAAAGTTTTTTCATAATTCTCTCTTCATTTGAAAGCTGTTTTGTTCTCTGCAACGTTAGGTCGTTCCTGATAGTACTGGGCAACCCGGTGTATAGTAAAATTGATAAAAATTGACATGCCAGCTGTTCTTTATTTCGTTTTGAGTGACTGGCAGTAAACGTGTGACTCAACCCTACATGAAGACTCTTAACACAATCCTATTCATATTTTTTTATTATACTAATCGATCGATTGATTTGTGCACACTAAGATTACATCATAATACACCGGTTACAAATATTACCAGTTATGACTCAGAATCAACACAAGATATAATTATGTAACGTTCAACATTACCTTTACACTTCACGTAATTTACGATATGAAGTAAATAATTGTTCCTTTCTTTTTCATTGTTTTCTTTAACCGCTTATTATCTTTATCGTCTTTTATTGCTTAACGCTGTTGGACAAGTCTTTTTTTAAGGATATGCATCCCACAGAGTCTAAAAATATGTTGAACATATAATTTTCAAATCAAAAAAATGTAAATAATAATTACTATTATTATAGTAAATAAATTTTCTCTAGTGAAAGTAATAAAACCAGATTACTGCATTAAAAAAAATAACCTTATAGTTATATCCAATTTCACAAATCAATAGACAGCATCATTCTGATAGACAGGGAATGAATGATATATTGCTTGCCATTTTATTCACATATTCTTTTTCTATAATAAATCAGTTGCCATTGTATTGTATTCATTGTAGATAAAAAATATTGCATTTTACTACGTTAAATATACGTTCTGTCGTAGTCTACCGATATATGTTTCTTCTCATACAAAATAATATGAAAGAATTATTCAATTGCATTATTTATATACTGAGAACAATCTTTATGATAGGACAGTGGCAGATTATTTTTATCAAAAAAATGTATGGTTTAGCCTACTAATCTCTCAGTGATAGACAATGATGATTTCTTAGGAAATCTTGATTTCACTTCAGTCCCCGGATGACCTTTCACTCAAATATATTTATGGATATAAATAGATTTTCTTGGTGAAGGGGATGTTTTTACGCTTATTTAAAATATAATTTAATATTTTTTTCCACTCAACTTTAACCATTATTTCAGCAAAAAATGCAAAAAAGATTTTCCATTCAACCATAATCCAAAATGTCTAATCATAAACAAGTTAACTAATTTTCATTAGACATTGTTTGATGATGAGTGATATAAAGAGGAGATTTCTTAAAAATGGTGATTGAATAACTATGACTAACATTTTTGATTTCAACTATGCATCTGGAAATATCATTTGATGTTCACTGTTACAATGGAATATAAATCCACAGTCTAATTCTATATCTCGATTATTAAACCAATTTACCGTCTATTAGAATTCATTAAATCGTGTCTATTAATCTCATATTTTCCTGAAATCATATACGCAATTTAAATGACACTGTCAGCCATTTTCTAACTAAATATTTGGTTGATAAAGTATACTCTTATGTTACTAAGAGTTTGATAAAATAAGTCTATCATTCCTTACAACTGAAAGATTATGAATGGTAAACGAATTGTTTCAGCAAACACTGAAACCAGTTTGATTTTTATTCCGGAAGTGATGTAGGCACAACATCTCTGACTGTTCAGTTAATACAAATTAATGGTAAAAACAAGTAAGATTACATAATGATCTATTGATTGTTAGATCTTTATTCCGTGAATTAGATTTTTGACGTTTGAAACTAAATTCAGTTGAGTGAAAATTCCCATTCAAAAATTTAATTTACAAAAATATAATTTAAATTAATAGTACATTTATTGAACTGTCAACATTCTAGTTTGTACACGGCATTGGTCCACTGAAGTTTAATGATATTTAGATTACTATCAACTTGAAATAATAACACAATAAGCTGAATTGTAGAGTGAAGAATAAGTAATTTGTTTATAAAGGATTTAGATACGTATATGTGACAGCGTATTTGTTACATCCAAATTAATTATCAAAATCTTATCTTTTGTATACTAAAGCGTTTGTCCTGTGATTGATACTAGAACTAGTTATTTTTAAGATTGAACCATATCTCATTTCTCTAATCTATACGTAAATTAAGTTTCACTTTGATTCCAATCAGTTTCTGTTTATGCGGAAGTCAACAGTTAAAAAGATTTATCATTAAATAACTTTAGTGATATTTATTCCATAATATATTTCTCTTATTCTGCTTTTTCCGGTTTCAATGAAAGGAAGCTCAAGTTTCATATCTCTGATAAACGGGCATCATCTAATTCCTTCTGTAATCAATTTGACAGATATGACCGTAAACGTCATTCATTTAGACTTCCTAAAACAACAGATAATGCATACTTACAAGAAAGTGGAAAATTTCAGAGATCCTGGTCTGAAAGGAGTAGATCTACTGGAAAACTATGGAAAGATTCTGAATTTAGTACCTCCAATCGAATTGTTGAACCCTATGACGTACCAAAGGTAAATATTATGACGTTTGCATAGGAATTTATTTAGATTTTTTCATGTAAATCAATCAAACTGATAATAACTGATCTAAGTAAAAGATTATAAAAAATTTTACACCCTGTTCAGTTATGTGAAATTCAACAGCATTTTCTGAAATAATTAATTGGTATCTTAATTAATGCTCTAATATATAGTCTCGGTTGTGCTTTGCTCTAACTATTGAACTCATAACTTAGTCTAATTGATTGGTGGTTATTAAAATGAATTTAATTGAGAAAATAACTTTTGAAAAATTCCATTCTGCTTTGAGAAAAATATGTGGATTACTGAGTTCACATTTCTACATTACCCATATATATGTTCGGACGTACGACTTGATCCATTATATTAACGTACGATTTTGTATGAAAAAGAGAATAGTAAAATCGGAGAAGTCTCGACATATGAAACATTTAAAACGCACCTATGCTAAAAGAAAATTTACTTTAATACATTTCTATTAATATTTTTATTCGTCAGATAGTGTAATGAATGAACACTTAAGTGGGACAATCAATTTATTATCATATGAAAATTACAGAATATCTTTGTAAACTACGAGAATCATAAATTAAATGCTTTATTTGTAAATTTTCCATAAATTTTCCTTTACATTCTGTATGATTCTTCCAATTCAAAATTTCTTCCTATTTCCCGTTCTGTTTTCTTCTATTCGATCTTCTTAGTCTTCTGTTGCCAACCATTCAACTTTTGATTGTTGTTGCATACTACTTATGTCTGTCGTCATAATTAGCATACACCACAATATTGCAGTCATATTTTCTTGTTGTTCAGTAGTAATGTTAGCACGTATGATAATTTTCTCATGATTTATCACTATTTCTTCAATTTCTCATTTTTATTGTGTACATCATCATTAGTATTTACTTTTAAGTAACCTATTCGAGACTGTACAAAAACAAAGACGTGTATGTATGTATGCGTATATATATATCATTTGAAAATAAGTATATAGACTAACGTATTATAAGATGTCGCCAAGTGTATACGTCTGTGACAAGAACATAGAAATAGTAATGAAAATAAGGACTAACAATAAAATGAAAAAGCTGTCTCTGAATTTCCGTGTTAGCTATATTTTTTATACAAAATGAAACATACATTTTGATTTCTTTCAATCTGATCAACTTGTATCCTTTTGCTACAACTAGATACAATTTTATCTATAAAGTTCAGATTCCATCCAATAAAATAATGTTTCTTCTTAATCAAAGTATGAGTAAAACGTATAAATCTTCCATTCGAATGTTCAATTACTTTCAATTAAGAAGTATCGTTTAAAGTTATGAGTTTTTATTTCTGTACAAATCAACTGTCTTGAATTATTTCATTTGAATTACTTTGTTCTAACTAAAATTTATATTCATTACCATAATTGAATAACTAGAAAAATTAGAAAATTTGTATTTTTATAAAATCATTATTACTTACTTACGCCTGTTACTCCTCGTGAAGGAGCATAGGCCGCTCACCAGCATTCTGCATTCAACCCTGTCCTAGGCAATCCTTTCCAGCTCCTTCCAGTTCCTAATCATCTTTTTCATATCTGCTTCTATTTCTCGGCGTAATGTGTTCTTTAAGATTCCTCTTTTCCTCTTCCCTTCGGGATTCCAAGCTAGAGCTTGCCTCGTGGTGTAGTTTGATGATTTGCGTAATGTACGTCCTATCCATTTCCGTCGTCTTTTCCTAATTTACTCTTCAGCTGGAAGTTGGTTTGTTCTCTCCCACAGAAGGCTATTGCTGATGGTATCCGGCCAATGGATGTTGAGTATCTTGCGTAGACAGTTATTTATAAATACTTGTACTTTCTTGATTGTGGTTGTTGTAGTTCTCCAAGTTTCAGCTCCATACAGTAGAACTGCCTTGACGTTCGTATTGAAGATTCTTACTTTGATATTGGTTGAAAGTTGTTTTGAGTTCCATATGTTTTTCAATTGTAGGAATGCGGCCCTTGCTTTCCCAATCCTCGCTTTTACGTCTGCATCTGAACCTCCTTGTTCATCGACGATGCTTCCTAGGTATGTGAAGGATTCTACATCTTCCAGAGTTTCGCCATCAAGTGTGATTGGATCGCTGTTGTCCGAGTTGTATTTGAGGACCTTGGTTTTCCCCAGCAAATCATTAATATTACCTCAAAATGATAATTATTGTGATGAACGAGAACTCATGTGGAGACAACCAAATTATTTGTTAATGCAAAATTACTGAATGTCATGATATGGAATTCATATATTAGATATTTCATCTGTAAATCTTCCATCAACTATCCTTTACATTCTGTATGATTCTTCCAATTTACAGTTCCTTTCTATTCCCCTTTCTGTTTTCTTCGATTCGATCTCCTTAGCTTTGTACTGTTAGGTTTTCTACTTCCGATTGATGTTACATACTGCTTATGTCTGTCAACATAAGTAGTATACACTACAATATCACATTTTGACAATAATTCCTCTTAGTTGAGACGAAATCGAAATTAAAAATATTTTACTCTTTCAATTAAATATATATAAAATATAAATAAACTCATAAGTAGAAACATTTTACAAATTGTCCATTTAATAAGCCAATCTTTTGTTCAGTGTTCATTAACTGGGAAAAGAAGCAAATCATATCTAGTATTCAATATTGGAAGGAAAATATTTTTCAGCGAAAACACGTGAACAAAATAAAATTTATTTTTTATATTTTTGAGGAAAAACACAGACGAAATTGCTTCTTTAATGGAATTCGATAACCATTTGTTCTATATAATAAGTTAATTACATAAATCTTGCTGTGGACGTGATACTGATGAAGTGTATTGATACAGAATTTTAAACACAAATTTTTATTGACAAAATTTGAAATAAGGGACTATAGATCAAAGGTTTTTCAACCATATTTATTAAATAATTAGATATTTATATATCAGGAAGCACTAGACTACTCTTTCATCTCTGTATGGGTTTCCTCATACTGCTCATTCACAAACTTACCAAAGAAATATGCAAGTTTTAATATGACGTACCAAAGTATATATATATATATTAAATGCAGCAAAGAGATATCAGATAAGAATATAATTCTGTTTTTGTTGTTCCAGCTCATTCACTATCAATATAGAGTGAAAACTTTAGAAAAGTGAAATACTCTTAACGATAAAATTATCCACAATAATGAATATTTCTTAAATGAAGTTTTATACTATAATCCTAATAAATTAACCAATGTATTATCATTTAGATTATATTACATCATTTAAGAATTTTTTTTCTGGTAGACCACAACTATCTTACAATAAACGCTGATCAATGTAACGTGAAATTTTAAATATATCAGTCACCGTTAGTAGTTTTGTCAGTTTAAACATGGAACGTTTACAATATAAATCAATCATATTGTAAATAAAATTAATGAAAATTCTATAAGTTAGAGAGTTTTTTGACAAATGTGCCGACTGCATTTCGTATAAATTTACTATCGATTTGAAAATACTTTAAAATGGACTATTTCATTATACTTCAATAGTTATTCGATTGATAGGTATGTAAATAGTTAAGAGTCTTGAAATGAAGCTTCTAAATTTTACACAGAACACATTGTTATTCATTAAACCAAATGCATAAAGATATATTTAAATTTGTGTATGTTAACAATTCCATTATGTGTGGTTGATTAAATCGACTTCATTCATCAAGTTTTTGGTTTCAGTATTACGTTACGGACTTACAAACTGGAAATGAAAAATAAAACGAATTAGTTCGTCAACATACAACAAGAGTAACTAGCACTGGTACGAGTACTTTATTATAAAGTTACTTGAAAGCTATCCAAAATATTTTTCCTGATATGGAGCTGGTTTTTTGTTTCATAAATAATCTTCTTATGGATAGTCATATATTTCACTTTCTTCATTTTGATCTTATAAATTATTCAAAATGATTAATCAATTTGAGAAATCATGATTGAAAAACTTGACTCATAATGAGGTGATTGGAATTGTTGTCTTTTTGATCCTCTTGATTTTTAAAATAACCTGTTTAATGAAAATAATCTTACTATGTACTCGGTTCCTTTTATATATTTCAGAAAATCCCTCATTATAGTACCCAAGTACCCTTTTTTGATGGAGTTTTGTTCTCTGAACTGGATGGTTTGGTCGTGGAGCTTTCATCGTTCTTCTGAACGACATCATCAGCACAAGCTTCAGATAGAAGTGAAGTGTTCGAATTTCTCCATATGCGTTTCACAGCTTGTTCTGTACATCTCGAGGTTGATTGGTTCTTATTGACCTTAAATTTGTCATTGTTTACTTGTTTGTTTTGGTTGTGTCTCCGATTGGTTTGATTTTTGTCCCTATATTTGTGCATAATTTTCCTGATTGGTTGATAAATTGGATCGATTCTAATGTGCTTGTTGATTGCTGACTGACCTGATTGACACTTCGCTTCTATCTGAAGTTTGTGCTGATGATGTCGTTCAGAAGAACGATGAAAGCTACACGACCAAACCATCCAGCTCAGAGAACAAAACCCCATCAAAATCATCCACATGAGCTACAAATCTTCTCCACCACCCATGTACTCCTAATTGATGTGATATTTTTAAGTGAAATGTATCTTAGGTATGTATGAACAAATAATAAGCCAGAAAACATGTGTTCTAAAGAAAACGGATTAAGAAGCTGGTTTGTTGTGCTTCAACATTAACATTTTCTTTTTAAAAAATATACTTCATACTTCAATGCTATTCATAGTAAATTGAGATACAGAGTTTAGTCTCAAAATAGACTTAGGCTTTATATTTTTGAAAACTACTCGATTATAAGTTGATTACTGCAAAATCTCTACTCAAAAGCAATACACGTTTTTGCAAATCAAATTGATTATAAAGCCGTACTTTGCCATGTAAATTTAATCCTAGTGTCAATAAATAGATTATTGGATAAACATTAGTAAAGCATATGTAAGATACACACTTATTTTTAATACTAATAAAATATCCAAAATCTCTTTTGTTGTCCGACATGTGTCTAGAAGAATGTGAGATTTCTTTTGATCGTTTTTAACAGGGATTGCTTATGAGGTACTTGAAAAGGAGATTGGATAAGAGGTGGTCTTAGTGACCTGGGAGCGTGACCGCAGCGCTCAAGGGACAACTGCTTGAGGTCGGTCACACATGACCTTTTGATGGGTAATTTTTGTGCTAACTCCGTACTTGTTGAGACCTTACCACCGGAGACGGATATCCGAGGGATAAGGCGAGGTGTGCATTTTTAGGGTCGACCTTTCCTAACCACACCCCTCCTTGTGGAAAGGTAGCATCGCTGTCATGCTGGTTGTCTGAAGGAAACACCTTACTGCTATCACACCTCTGTACAGTCAACAGTACGACTTCGGCTTCGGACCTTGGGTTTGTTGCTTTTAGTCTAACCGCTCTTCAACCGACCTGTCTGGCATGGTAGGACCTTGAGGAACGGTTGTTCCAGCCAGTATAACTCGGTTGCTTCATCACGATAGGCGAGTCAGACCACCACGTCCAGGTAGCAACAACTGTCGAGTCGTTTTTAACTAAAACATACTTTACGATCACGTGATCAGCAAAAGATGTAATACCGTTTCTTCATGGAAATCGTTAAATATACAATTCATCTAGTTTAACAATAAATTGTCAAAATTACTTAATTCAATTTTTTAAAGTTAACTATCCAATTCGCTTGTTTTTCTTTTCTTTTTGTTTGTTTATATGAATAGGAAATAAAAGATCATCGATATAATACTCTACCAGAATATTCAAATCGCTCTTCAAATAATCCATCATTATCTAGTTTACATTTTATTCGAACCGGTAGTCTTTCTAAAATAAAACAAAATTATGAATTTAAAAAAAGTAATACTATATGTGGTATTAATTCAATTTCTTCTACATCAAAATTATATGATCAACATCATAAAAATAGTTTAAATAATAATAATAATAATAAATTAAACTTATTCAATTCAAAATATTCTTCTAATAAATTGTCAACATATACATCCAATTCATCTTTATTCAATGTACAATTTAGAAATTCTTTAAAATTAATTAAATTAAAAACTAAATTCAATAAATATTCTATTGAACAATTAATAAATAATAATTTTAATAATAAAAATGATCATTTACAACAGAATTATTTATTGAATGAAAATCAATTAGTTCTTATGAATAATGTTATTCATTGTGCACAAGAAAGATTAAATGATTTACAAAATCAAGTTTTACAATATCATGAAATGAATGTGAAATTAACAAAACAATTAACATTTGTTAAAATGTAAGTGATTACAATACTTTTATTATTATTATTATTATTATTATTATTATTTGGGTTTGATGAATATATTGCATCATCTGTAATCCAAAATGTTCTAGATAATTGATTGATTGTAATTCCTGTTTTTTTCCAGTTATACATGATAATGATACTGTAAAGGATTGAACTTGGAACATTGTGGTCAAGTGTACATAGAGTGAATTTGTATTTACCACTTTAATTACGTATATTCAAATATTCAGTTAAAATCATAAAGATTTAAATAACATTTTATCATTGAAATCTAACAGTATGGATAGTGTTGTGTCTTTATGTCCGACGTTTTATCACGTGATTTATCCACTAATCAAAATACGACTTATACAATCTTCGCACTCAACTAAACCAATGATGTTCGACTGGTATGAGGAGCTTAGCGTCCTTATTGGTTCTATGTTCGCTTAGCCCGTCCAGTTGGGTCCATCACACCAATAACAGCTAACACTATGCAAATTATTTATTTCAAATCAAACAGACAGCAATACACCGTAAAATAGGAAATAACATTCATACACAATAAAGCCAAAAAGTGACTATAAACTTATGAGGAAGCAGTCAGTAAACTGAACATAGCTTAAGAACCGTAAATCGTACAATAATAAATGATAAGTCAAAATAAAGCTTATAATAAGATAAATATAAATATACACAATTTAATTACTGAATAATTATACCTTAAGAATATATGGATAATAATAGTCCATTAATAAGTCTCAGACGTTACTCGTGATTTAATCTTCGCTAGGATATAACAGATAGAATATTGGGATATTATTTGGTTATTAGCTCATTTTTGTTAAAAAAATAATTGGCGATATTTTTATATACTAAAATATTTTATACGTTAGTATGTGTACCTGCTATACATATATATATACATCAGTAAGTTTTACTCATTATAAGATGCTTCAAGCAAAATATTAGAAATTAAAAGAAGTTGATTTAAAACATAAAACTATTGTACTTGATTTACAAAAGCTATACTCTTAGCATTGAATAGAAGTAGTTAATCATATTTAAATCTATTTGAAGTCATTGTTAGTCAGATCCGCGTTTTCTTAGATTATTGTCTTTTTTAAGTAATATCAATTCTTATCTGTTATCTAAAAGTAAACATATGCAAATAACTGGAAAACACAACAGTATTATCATCATTTAACAGTAAATCATGATTCCTAAAATAGAATAACTGAGAACTAATTTACAAATTTCATCAATATTTTTCATCATTATCTTCGTATAAGTTGTTCTGTAAATCTTGAAAGACGCATAATATCGAATTGGCAAGACAAAGTAATGACACATAGTGTGTGACTTAAAAACGCAATTCTGTGTGTTCTATTGGGCACATTTACAAATAATTATAATTTAGCTTTTACACTGGACTTGTGATAAATATTTTGTGTTTTCCAGTATACAAATTAAATATATATTTAGGGAAAGTTATTGAATAATTAAAAGATGAAGCGAAGTACCTTGCCAGTTATTATCATTTTGTTTATTCTATCTAAAAAGATATTCTGATTTAATTGGATTATTCAGCTGTCAAATCATTTTCTTATCACTGCTAGTAATCTCACGGTAGTCTTAACCTGAATTGCCAATCCTTTGGCAAAAAATTTTTATTAGAAAAATACGTAACTTACTACTTCAAACTGTAACAGATATAACTGTAGTTTAAAGAATATTGCAAACATGAAAACTAAGTAAGCCTAGGCAAAGATCGATCAGTACACTTTTTTAAAATTATGTGAGCTGCACAAGCGCACTTATTTGCTTACTTATTTACGCTTATTACCCCCCATATACGAGCACAGGCCTCCCACCGGCGTTCTCCGTCAAAATCTGTCTTAGGCAATCCTGTCCAGTTGTCTCCAGTTGCCATTCATTCTTTTAGCATCTGCCTCCAATTTTCGACGCATTTTGTTCCTTGGTCTTCCTTTTTTTCATTTCCCTTAAGGGTTTCAAATTGCCTTCTTCTTTATGATGCAGTGTGAAGTTTTCCGTAATGTATATCCTATCAACTACTATCGTTTTTTCTTAATTTCCTCTCCAGCTGGAGGTTGATTTGTTCTTTCTCACGGCAGACTGTTGCTGATAGCATACGGTCAACGGACATAGAGTATCTTGTGTAGACAATGGTTATAAATTCCTGTAATTTTTTGATGATGGTTGTGGTAGTTTTACATGTTTCAACTCCATACATGAGAACTGTCTTGATGTTCGTATTGAAGATTCTGACTTTGATGTTGGCTCCGCCTAAAGACATTCTAGGTTTACTGCCGGTCTCAAGTTTGTGTACAGGAGGAAGGTTAGACATGGAGTCAGAAACCTCTTTAACGTAGAAATAAACAACCACACACATATATAAAAATATACTTACAAACGAATAAAAATACTGGTCTGTAGTTTTACAGATCATCCTTTTAATTTTTTGATGTTCTTAAAAAGTATTTTATTCGAAATGAATATATTTAAAGTAGACATACAATAAATAATAAATGTAGAATTATTCCGTAAACAATTTTTCCGATGACAATAATGATACTTGACATAATTGAGTATTGATAAATACATATTGTTTTATACTGAAGACTATTATATCAACTTTCATTTGTGGTCAGGCAAAGAAAATTTCCCTAATATGGTTTAGACAAGAAGTAGTCCATTAAACTTTATCCATTAAGATATTATTTATAGCAATTAAATATTTTCAAATTGTTTAACTGGTATTTAAGAAAATATATAAGAACGTTTTGATTTCATACCCAAATACTTTTGTTTTAAGAATATTCTATAAATAAATAAACAATAAATGTGTTGCTCGATTTCGTGGATTGGTTGAAGTTAGACATTAACAACGTTGGATGCCGGCTCAGTGGTCTAGTGATTAAGCGCTCGCGCGCGAGATCAAAGGTCCTGGGTTCGAATCTCGCGGGCTGGCGGGATCGTAGGTGCGCACTACTGAGGAGCCCACACTAGGACGGAACGGCCGTCCAGTGATTCGAGGAATAAAAATACCTCAATTTTTAATTAAACTTATAACTGAATGTTCATCAATTCATAATTTCATTATCATGGCATTAAGTGATCAGCTGTTGTAGAAGCCGCAACAAAATACTTTAATAATTTACTTTAATAACAAAATTTTTTATTTCTTCTAAATAAATGACAACCTATGTATCTAACATTTAGACATTGAATCGCTAACCTTCACTCAGCATTTTTATAACAAACTTTGAAATGAAACACTTTATAATCAATCACTTTGCAGTCAGTTTACTCGATAAATCGTTAAAAGTGATTTACATAATAGATGGTAATGTTATTTTGCATGATATTGTGAATATCGACAAAACGATGATGAAAACGTATTGTAATGCCTTCAGTCACTCAACATCACGAGCATTTCTTTTCGAATTTATTTTAACAAAATAGATATGTTATTTACTCATAAACTGTATATATAAATATTTACGTTATGGAATAAACGTTGATGATTTTGTCCAGGACGATAGTGGAAGTCTCACAATTAAACCGTCTAGTTTTGTGAATACAACACCGCCAAAAGCACCCTATTGGGCTAAAAATTTTAGCCAAACATTTTGAATATTATTTTTTCATGACCCTCAATATTACCCCTGTTTACATACTTTTTCTGTAGTCATCTAAAATCAAATTCATGAATGTGTTTCAGTACTAATTCTTTCGAACTCAGTATATGTTTTACTAATTATCATATATGTGTATATGAGAGTTGAAAATTTATATGAATATTCGCTTAAACAGTATATTGTTTGATCGTTTAAAAATAACTTAGATCATTTTTAGCTGTTATTCAGTTGTGTAGGTACTCGTTTTTTCAGAGAACAAACCGTTTATTTGTATTTCTATTCATACTAGACTTTTATGACAATTATTTATGAATAACCACTATCGATAATTTCATTCCAGTTAAGTTACATAAATTTGCTTTGAAGTTTGTCCCTTTAGCTCCTAAATCAACAGATTAATCACATATTCAATATCATTCTAATATTGAAATTTACAGAGTGACAAATTCAATACATTTCAGCTCATAAAGAATACTCAAATATGAAACCAACTAAAATGGTACTCATTTTTTATTGTTTTTTTTAATCATCTTTGCTTAAACTGAAATTATTTTTACTTCTTTCTGCCAAACTTTATTATGTAAACTGAGTTGTTATACAATAAAATATTTTGAAAATTCCCATTTTGCCATTTGGTAAATAAAGAAGGAACGAATTGAGCGAAGAAATTTCTTTTCAATTAGTTTTTCATCATGGCTCTACACTAATATATATACGTTTTACTATAATAATATAATAGTCATCGAGTGGATACGTTACGTAATAATTACATAATGACATTTAAATTAACATTGATTAATTGGAAGAAAGAGGATTATTAATATTCAAAGTGATCAAGAAGTTGACACATCGGGCTAGAATGATTTGCTCTGATGACACCATCGAAGAAGAATTGAATAATATTCGGAACTTACTTAGCATGAATGGGTATCCCATGAAATTCATCGACAAACATATGATGGAGAAGAAAACAAGGACAAAGATACCCACCGTCCATAAGAAGGTACTATTCATAAAACTACAATTCATAAATGACACCATTGAAGAAACCTTGACTCAGAAACTAAGAAGAGCCGTACAAAAAACATTTAATGCTGCCAGATTAAATGCAATCTTCTACAACTATCCCAAGATAAGAACAGCCAACAAAGACAGACTACCTGAATTCGCCAAATCTATGTGTATCTATCGTTTCAACTGCTCCTGTGGAGCCAGTTATATTGGGCGTACAATTCGGCAAGTCCGTCATCGCATTACTGAACATCATCCGTCGTGGTTAAACAAAGGACAGGTAAAAGTGATTAAAAGTTCTATTCTCTCTTACTTGGTTGACACAGGTCATCAAGTCGAATTGAATAAAGCTTTTAAGGTTATCTACAATATCCCATCTAATTTGCCACATGGTTTACGAGTGCGCCTCTTGCACATTGCGGAAACCATCGCAATCCATGTTCACAAACCTGACCTTTGCATTCAAAAGAGATTCGTACAACCACTTTCCCTGCCCTGGCCATCAGTTTAAGATTTCCTTCAAAGGAACTACTTTTCATACTTCTTCCATTTTTTTTAACTTTTGTAATTATATTTCTGTTGCTTTTGAACTTAATAACTTCTCAACATTCATCTCTTGATTCTTAAGTAACTACCATCCAATTGACCATCCGTTAAAATTCTGTTCCTTCTTTGTTTCTTACATTACGCAACTTAGCAACTTCTTGATCACTTTGAATATTAATAATCCTCTTTCTTCCAATTAATCAATGTTAATTTAAATGTCATTATGTAATTATTACGTAACGTATCCACTCGATGAGTATTATATTATTATATTAGTGTAGAGCCATGATGAAAAACTAATTGAAAAGAAATTTCTTCGCTCAATTCGTTCCTTCTTTATTAATAAAATTTTTGGTCCCACTATTTAAGTGTTTGCTTTGTTCATGAAACTGTTATAATTTACTCCCTTCTAGCAAGGCTTTGTGAAATTATGTATTTATGTAAATATCACTAGCTGTTTGTGTGGTAAACATTGGTTGATTTAACATAAAATGATACGAAAAAACCATAAAACGGCCAAAATCTTTAATTTCAAAGTTTCTGTCCAAAAGCCGACTGGACATCCATAAAATTTCAATCACATTAGTAAAGCTTCGAATTAATTTCAAACTTCCCATTGAATAATACGAAAATAAACTATCAGTCATCTATTGAATTTCAATATATATACAGTAGCAAAACAGTTTTGGTAATATTACCCTTCCAATGGATATTATTTCTTGATCTTTTACTCTTTACAGTTTTTGTATTTTGTTTTGATCAAAAATATATCTTCATGCTTTCGACAATCACTTTACAGTACATTTTTTAAAGAGAACATTTTAAATGACAAGCTTTGTCATTTCATTTCATAATAGTTCACAAAGTTAAAACAGTGATTACTGCATTGAAATTCTTCAAGGAGTCATAAATAAAACCTCTGTCACAAATTACAACTTAAAAAAATATTGAACTGAGACTGGTGAAAGCAGTTTGCAAAATCATCTTGTAAATTTCACAACATAACACATAATTAACATTCTACAAAGAATAATTAAACTGAATCTGTACTGTAAATTATCTTTAACTATCATTTAACTGGTGAACTTAAAAATTACAGTTTCCTTATCAGGTTTCGTTAGTTCAAATACTTTGCAATAACTTTTCTTTATAAAAACAATTCCTAATTCATTTATTTGTGGAAATACAAATGAATAAACATTTTCAATGTTTTCTTTCTCTTTATCATATAATCTATAGTGTTAGTTTGAAAAAGTATTTCATATTTTAGTAGAACAATCAAGAAAAATGATAATTATTCATCCTTTTATATTTATTAATCAATCAACAAATTATTTTAACTAATATGACCATATATAAGCAATAGACCACTGAGCCAGTCGGCATCCAACGATGTTAATGTCTAAGTTTAGCCAAGCCAATCGTGGATGGGCACAGCTGAGCAGTCCCACCTCTCTGAATATATATATATAATCTCGTCTACAATATGATGTAAACTACTTTTCTGTTTTTCAATTTGGCTATAGATGTCAGCAAGAAATTTTATGTAAACTTGGTGAAGGACAAAAGAATGATGTGTGTGAATCACAGGTAAGCTTCACTATCGATTTGTTGATTTTTATTTGAATGAATATACGTAGCATAAATTTTAACTAGGTAATCATCATTCTATTGGGTTTTTTTTCAAAATAGATTTGGTTTAATATTTACTTACTGAAATAGCATTAATGCATAGGAAACTTGAACATTTTACTTGGGTGATCATATTTGTAAATTTTACATCGTTTAGACTTTCAACTTTCAAATTAAGTATATTATGACATTATAATTATAATATGAGTTAATATAAACAAAGATGGATAGTGGCTAGCAGTGGGTTCCAGGACGCGTGTATCGTGCTATGCACCTTCATCCCAAAATTCGTGTTCACTCCTGGGTCCGAGTCCCGGAGTTAAAATCAACTCTGAGATGCAGGTACATCCAGCTGAAGAGTCCCGAATAGAACGAAACAGGTGTCATGGATTCCATTGCTACCCACTATCCATCTTTGCTTATAATGCTTGTGAATTCAGGCAATGTCAAGGTAATTCTCACGGGATGCACATATGTCAATAAGAGACTGATCAACTGCTGTCCTAAACATCAATGGGAAGATTCAAGTAAACATTGGCAAGTGAATATGAGTTATTGTATAACATTATTGCTGCAGGTTTGACAATTTGTTCAAGTTTGCTAACTGAACAATGGTTTATTTAGACTGTGTTTATATGAAGTTCATTCTTCGTCATGGTCTCATTATGACAATCAAATACATTGGAGAAAAATTAGAATCGAACGAGTAAACTAGTGTAAGCTGAGTTTGGTTTAAACTCAACTTTATGCTATGTTTTAGGCTTAAGAGTGTGAAAACTGTAAGACATTTGGTAATAGAATTATTGATTAAAAATGATTTTCACAACTTACTTGAATGAGAGAAAGAGGTTGTAGAATGTTTCGTTTGTAATTTATAAATGTTTTCTGATTGGCGGTACTTTTTCAAGAAAGTCAATTTAAAGTACATTTTCTTAAAAATGTATATACAGTAGACGACTAAAAGATTTCATTCAAACTTTTTGATAGTACTCCATGTTATTTATTGCCATTCCTGTCATTTATAATGCAATTTATTCTTAATTCTTCAGTCAATTATATCTCCATATGATTAGCTTCAGTAGAGAACACCGTCAAGTCTTTTATTCTTTGGATTTAACACACTGATTAGGTCTAACCACTGGTCTTTAGGTTTTCTCGAAACGGAGTGAGATATTAAGGTGGATAACAACCGTGAATATCTGACATTATTGATTAAAATAAAGGTTTAGTTATAAAAGCTATGATATTTTAACTACAGATGTACGTAGTATTTTTCAAAACTACATACCTTTTTGAAATTTTGCCGAAGACATGTTACAAATCAACAGTTAATATTTTCTCATTTGTTTTCCGTAAGTATTTAGATGTGGGACAATATGAAGTCCTAGACAACATGTAGATCTGTTTTTATCTGTGTCTACTGTCAAAATTGGTAAAATCGCCTAAAAATTCCGAACGGTAGTTAATGAAATAAATGACATCCTCTTTTCCCTCTTACAAATCTCCGACAACCAAAGCTTTATCAAACCAGAGGAATAATGTTTGTTAACGGCTGCTTACTTTCATACTAGAAACCTTTTTAAAGAAGTATCATAATATAGGGCTTTGTTAATTATACTTAAAGCAGCTTCATGGTAAAACATGTATAGTCTCAGATCGAAAAACTGAGTACTTCCTGTGTGAATTCAAATGATCAGAAGTGAAAGATAACGAAATTAACACCTGCACCGATGTATAAAACAGATTAGAGAAATAATTACGCACCAAAATAAATTTGATACACACCAATAATAGGTAACTGTATACATTGTCAGATAATGTGTTGACCAATACAATATTCTTTATCGCCAACGGTTTAAAGTTCGTTTTTGGAATTCAGATTAAACAATTAATACTCGGAGAATTAATTTAACTGATACAATTTTGAGTTTCATGCCAAAGTTATTCTACAATTCTATCAAATGGTAGGATCCCTAAAATATTTTAAAATGTTACTTATTAAGTTCTATTGGTCAACTTAGTGTCCATGATAATTCTCAAGGCATTCAGTATTACATGGCAGAGTGGTTTAGAGAAGCAGTATAGTGAAAATGACTAGTCACTTATTCGCCTTTATGAAAAAATGCTGTTAGCTGTTTTTTACTGCTGTTTTAGTTACTAATCTCATGATAACTTTTAGTTGTTCACTACTTTACCAAAATATTCATTCTCTTCTGATTAAATGAAATAATACGGAAGGGAGTAGTGATTAACGATATGACCTTTTCAAATTTAGGTATGCTTATGTAATAAACATCCTACTCTTTCTTTTTGTACACAATTAGTCAGTCACAAATTTATAGAACTCATAGTTTTAAGTAACCATGCCATTTGAAATCGTTTAGTGGAAACCACAAAATACCTTTGGAGATTTCATGTCATCTTACTTATAGGATATAAACGTATCACGTTTTCAGTACATAATATGGTGCCTAACGATCAAATATTCGAACTATTAGGTGGCTGTTGAAATATTTTACAACTCATTAAAGAATGCATAGTATTGTACAGAATCACAAAATTGTTAGTGATTATCGCTAATCCACTTGACATAAAGACATTAAAAAAAGAACACAACCGATAATAAACTAGTCCTCTCGATTCAATGAACAAAAATAATTCAGTTGAGGCGAATAACTAAATTATCAACTGCTCATTCTATAATAGTTTGATTCATTAGTTTTTATTTCATTTATCCACAATTACATACATATACTTGTTTAATGACTACTGTTTTTAAAACTGTAAACAGCAAATAGATCAACAACAAAAAGAACGAATTTGTGAAATTAAACATAAACTTTTTCTAGAATATGAAAGATTACAAAATTTGGCGAAGAACTTTTCTGCGCTAAAAATTACCAATATGGATATCATTCCAAAGGTTGTATATAATGGCCAAAATTGTAATAAGCAAACTATTCTAAACAATTGTTATAAGGAGGAAAATAGTGTTGTCATGGCAACTGTTCATGTGAGTTCAATATTCCCATATATATATATTTATGCTTTGTGATTTTTACACTTATTTTAAAATTGTACTTTTATTTTACCAACATTTATTTTTACCAATTTTAGTTTAAAATGTTTAATTCAGAATGATTTTAAAATAACTACTGAAAAATAGTTAAATGTTAAAATAAAATATTCAGTCTACAATTGAATGATTGTTTAAAGGAAATAAATATAAGTGAAAAACAGTGAACATTCTTTAATTAATCTTTTTAAATCGATGTATATTATGGTTGTCCTAAAGTTGTAATGGATGGCTGTAATATACAAAATAATATGAGTATTATTGTAACATGACTATTTTAGATTATAGTCAATTTACACTACCATATGAATAACATGGGATTGGATAATATGTTATCCAATATCATTTTCATGCAAAATATGAATTTTCTAGGTTTATGCTCATATTTGATTACAAGTGTTCACAAATAAATAAAAGAGAAACACTATATATCCCAATGTTTTATAGATGGCCAACTTTATATATATATATATCAGGTAAATACTTCAACTAAGGAGAATCAAAGTAGACTTTTCATACTGTTATGATGAGAATATTGTCTTTGATATGTTTGGATCGAAATTTGTCTGATAATTTTTAAGTTACAATCAATTCATTTACAACGGCTCTATCACAGAATATGAATAATTACTCGTATAAATAACGTATTAATAACAAATATTATTGTATTGCAGAGAAGTGGTTTAACTGTACTTTTTTCGACATATGAATCACATCACGTTTGTAAATAAAAATGCTTTTACTATATCATGCAAGGTCATTCTCTCAGTACGATTAGTTACATAATTTAGATGCTTTTCTCAGCTTTAGAAGTTCAATTCAGTATGCTTTCCCACTAATGTAGTGTTCTTATGTTTGACTACGATTTCCATAACTATCTTCAGTGCAAACAATCATACCTGGTGAAATTAAGTTGTCCTTCTTCTCTGAGACTAGTTTTTACTACACACAATCATAATTTCGAACAAGGTTTCTAGAATATAATGAATTCCTTATTGTGAGAAATTGTGAGTAGAGTTTAATTTGGAGATTCACATAAGAACCTGTAAATTAGCATTAATGATCCAGAATTAAAATTTGTCTAACGAAAAGTTTCCCATTTTGTGTATTTTAAGTTAACTGATATATTTTTTTGGCTTTGATCCTACTTTACGTATAGGCCACGCGAAACTGTAGGATATACTTGACATTGATCAAAACCTTTCTATCTGAATAGAATTTCACTACTTTTAATCTGTGTTAATGTAACCTACAATATCAAACTAAACTTAAATAATTACACTGTAACCTTACAGTATCTTGATAATAAGTTTTGCTTTTAGCAAGTTAAATCGTCATTTATCGTGAAAGATGTGTTGATTGGAACAGATGAAATCGGTTAGTTAGTGTGATTCACATTTCATGAATTGTATTGCACAATCGTCTCATATACACCTAAAGATATATTTATTAGAAATTTGTTGACTATCTGTGAATAATGACATTTTCATAATAAACTCTCATGAATCTGTTACATTTTAATTTCACAATTTCTTGACCTCATCGTTTCTAATGTACACGAGTGGTTGTTAAGAGAATTTGAGTTCATCTAGTTTATCTATTCAGCTCTTATCATTATATTATTCTTGGTGTAAAATACTTTTTCTTTTAAATAAATAAACAGTAATTAAAACACTAAACAAAACTGGTAGTAATCACTTATATCGAGTCAATCAATACATAATTATATTGTAGTTAAGAACAGTAAAATTATTCACTACACAATTGATTTTTTTGTTGTTTTATCATGAAGAATGAAACATGAATATATAAATGAATTGAATAATCTGCTACTATAGTAGATACTTATTCAATTTTGGATAATCATAGTCAACAATATAATATCTATCTTAATGTTTAAATTACATCTAGAAAGGATCCAAATATTCATCAAAAAATCTAAATTCACTTTATAATAATAGTACTTAGAGTTTTTCAATGTTTCACTTAACAATTCATTACACTAGCAACAGTAGATGATTTATAAAATTTAGTTTACTAGTATGCAATTAATTTAAAGTGTAGTTCTACTCTAATTGAGTTATGATATACCATTGCTAACAATTATATAACCGCGGTTAATTCAACATTTACCAAACAAAATCTATGTCAATTTAATTATTCTCTCATCGCATTTTTTTGTAGTTAGTTATAATGTAAGTTTATAAGACTTTAAATCAATACAATTGGATACATAGAAGTACAAAAATAAAACCAGCAGAAATTTGTCCAAAAATCAATTAAACTTAAAATGTTTATTCTTTAAAAAAACAAAATATGAATATATCTAATGATTGAGTTCGATTCTTAGTAAACAATGTAGCATTTTTGAAACAATTACCTTTGTTGTATTACAATTTTCTTCATTGAGTAAGTGACATATATATTACTACTCATCGTAGCTATGAGAAAATCTGTTTGATTGACATTAATTAAAGTTGATTATCTAAACAAATTAATATGTAAAAGTTTTATCTAAAGATATTTGTTTACAAATTACAATAAAACAACACTTAATCAACATTGAGTAGCCAACATTGTTATGTTTTCAAGTTCTTATTCATGATCGAATTCTTTCGATCCTAATATAAACTGAACATTAAGTCAAGTAACTCATTTGATCTTTGGTTGACTGAAGTCAATTTACAAAAGCTCTGTAATTACATTTTTACTTAAGTGATATTATTCACCTAAAACTACATACAGTCTAGATTAGAATGATACTTCTATTCACACCACTCATTATTGAATTCAGAAACACTATCATCACTGAATTAATTAGCTTTATAATGAAAATATTAAATTTTTTCAGTCATCTGACATTAACTAGTTATACAAATGTTTAAGATGTTTGGCTAAGTTCAGATGAAATGGTCGTAAAACATTTAGACAATGGATAAAAGATATTAATTATTGTTACGAATTTGTTTGTTTTTGGTGGAGTTTTGTTCTCTGAGCTGGATGGTTTGGTCGTGGAGCTTTCATCGTTCTTCTGAACGAAATCATCAGCACAAACTTCAGGTAGAAGTGAAAAAACAAGACAAAATTAGTTACGTTAAATATTCAACATTCGATATGACTGACCAGAACTTGCATAAAAGTTTAATAAATCTGATGAAAGCATAGACAAATCATAAACATTTGTAAAATTACCTCAACATAATTTTCTTTTTCCATTTTATATAAAGAATAAGCTAACAAGCGTATGAAATTCATAGAACTAAATAAATCAATCAGTTTTGTCTGTACATAACATTTCCTTGTTTGTTTGGCTTTTCTCGGTAAACAAGATTTACTCATGACAAAGAAAGTAACTAAACACTCTAATTTATAAAAGATTGATTTGTTAGAAATCGATAAATTTATTGAATTGACCTTCTAGAATACAATGATTGAAAAATAACTAAGAAGTTTCGGTTAAATGGTTTTTGTCAGGGTAGACTACTAAGCCAGAAATGTAGGGTAACGAAACATTTTGAGTTGAATGTGCGTATATATATATAGGAAAAATTAGTGATAGACTTCCGATTTTATTTGATGACATGACCTTTCTGTACTTCTCTCACTTATTTAAATGAGTTAAGTCAACCTATTGGCTGATAATTAAAAAAGTATCCCCATACTTAACTGAAAGAAAGCTTGAACACTTACGTGATTTCAGGGATAAATACGTAATCAACAGACAGCCAAGTCAAAAACAATGTATAAAAACTAATCATTTTTTCTATACCCACATAGGATTTTAAAAAGCATTAATGCAATTTTATTCGAAAATGATTTTAATAACGGAATAAAATACGCTGGACTACTAACAAAAGCACCAATGAGCTTTCATAACTTGGTATTCAAAATAACAAAAAACATATGACCTTTAGTTACCATGATGTGATCAATCTCGTGAATCACTGTGGAATAGTTCGTCTGATCATTGTCAGCCTTCAGTCAATTCCTTGTGTTGCGAAATCATAATCCGGTGTCAATCGTCAATAACTGTCTTACACATAGCGTGGTTGACGCTATAGATCATTGTTTCGTGTTAAAACTTGAAGATATCCAGCTCGCAACCAACAATAGTTATACAGTTTGGTGATTTATGAAGAGCTATTCAAAGTAAAATTAGTTTTTATCATGAAATTTAAAGAACTACAAACATTAGTAAGAGTTTGAATTATCCTGTTATTAATATTCAGTGCTGAAATTTCGGCTATTCTTTGTTGTCTAATGTGGACTCTGAGTAAACTGTTTTCAAATAGCCGTGTGGTTACACGGTTTCATAGAGTAGACGGATTGCGGCAAGCAACATTATTCAGTACATACGTTTGGTGCTATTTGGTACTCGCCAGCTGTATGAGAAATTCAGCGTGAACATCAACATTTGAATGTATTTAGAACTATACTTTGATTATATTCTGTTGTGATTTCTGCTTTCTGAACGGATCTCTTAATGTTCTCATTTTTAGTCCCGAGTTCTATTACATGTGAACCATGAATGTCAACTAAAGGTAGAATGTCGACAATTACAAATAAACATTGTATTCGTTAAACAAGTTAACGGACAATGGGTTGGTGTTTGAGTCTGTTGATACTGAATTTGAGTCTTAGCATGAAAATTAAATCTGGGTCAGAGGTTAATCTAATCGTAGTTTTGATGTAAGGCATAGTATTACTCCACTTCCCTGAACAATCAAAATAAAGGAAGTGTTATATCTCTATATATAAGCATTCAATTAATTTTTATATTCTCCAGTCTGTTTTAACTTATTTAGTTTTCTACGAATTGTTCTTTTTATATCAACAGCCTTTTGAGAAAAGTGATTACAGTAACAAAATCACTGCTAATAATGATGTTTATTGTGAAGATATAACATCCAATAATAATGGTGATAATCTTAAAAGGTAATTCTATTCAGTGTTGTTTTTCTAATCAAAATTCGTTATTCCTAATATAATTCATTTACATCGTTAAATATTCTTTATGTTCGTATCTCCGTTCCGGTTTATAAACGATTTAAACAGCTATATGGTTATTATGATTTTTACGTCGTGAACAAATGAAATGACGAATGTTTTGTGCCATTTCAGTAAGAACATAAGTGAACCATAATAGTTATACTTTTGTTATATCCCAATGAGTAGAAAAATTGTATTTCTAACGTTTCTTCACTTAATGCATAAAAACAAACTAATGGCGGGAAATAAATAGATTTATATGAATTTATTAATCAAGTCACTAATAATTTTTCGGAATAACTTTGAAAATTGTATGAAATTTCTCTATCAAAAACAATGTTTTAACAAATAATTAATCAGATCTAAATGAAAAATTGATCAATTTTTCAAAAGATTCCATAAACATCTCATAGTTGACTAAAGTTTTCATATTTCAAAATTGAATTATTGTTTTAACTTACTAATTTAAATGTCCGCTTTTTTTTAAAAAAAAGAACAGTCTTTAATTTATGAATAATGACATTAACTATAAACATTCATAAAAAATTAGTTTACAGGGTGAATTCAATGGTTGAACACTACCGTCACTTATAATAAGACAGAGAGCATGTCTATTTTAGTAGTTTTTATTTACTAATGAGTCGGTGTTTTGAGAAATGAATAATTGACAGTCAAAATTATAAAAAACTATTTGTATTTATTGATTATTAACTGAAAGAATTCTATTTATTTCTCACGTATATTACACTAGTAAGATATATGCGCTTATTTACATGATACACAGAAACGAAATAAAAAAGGAATTGAATAATTTGAAGTAAACACCATCAGTATGTTTCCTAGAACTAGTCATTAAACAAAGAACATATTATACCTTTGTTTCATGATTATATACATATATATTCGAAAAGAATAAAGACAATTTAAGAACAGTTTGTTACACTGAAGAAGATCGTTTTGATGAACATACAGTTCAATAAATACACTACAGTGGAGATTCTGAAAAATAAACTAGGACTTTCTGTTCAGCTAAATCTCGAATTGTCCTGTGTAATCGGCTTTCGATTCGCAGTTATACGCAGAATAAGCTACTGTTTTGGGACACATTAATGTTCATCTATTAATCTGCTTACCCTTCTGGTGCAAATTATTTCAGCTTCACATAGTGGAGTCCCTCAAAATGCACCACTGAACATTACTTTTTGTCGCTAAAGAAAAAAAACTACAGAAGCCCGTTATTATTTCAATACTGAAACATTTCGTAAATCCTTATCACATAGTTTTACAAGAATATTCGTCCGAAACCAATCGTACATTCAAAAGAATTGGTTTAAAGGAAATACAAACTAATGACTTATGTGGTGGAACTAACGATTGAACAAGTGAAGTATAATCTTTGTATACAAAGACATGGCCAATGTCCCATTTCTCTATAATCTTAACTTTGATTTTTGTCTTCCTTTCACAACAATCTATTGCTTTTTACTCTTTTCTATCTTTTCGCGAACATTGATTAACTATTATTATAATAGTAGTATATTTTATCAGCCGTTAGATTAATACGTAACTCCATTTCAATATTTGATTTTCTTACAAAAAATCTACGCAACACCTCTTTATTTAACTACAGAACTTTTTATTCGATATTTTAAAAACTATTTATTATTGTCGATAGTGATTTTGAATGATGCAATACCTCTCTATCTGATTATTATTTTATTATTAACTAACATTTGTAGTTACTAATTGTAAATACGATTGTAAATAGCATCGTCGTTAAGAAAAACTTTGAGTTTTTTACACTTTTTAATATTATAGCAATAGATAAATATGAAGTGATATTTCATCTTACACAGTACATTACAGTTCAATGTGACATATACCAAAATGTAATCTCAATTAGCTTTGACTAATTCTGTGAATTAGCATTGAAGTCTTCCGTTTCCAACATTGTCCACGAGGATGAATATTTGATTATATCATTCCTTGTCTAATGAAAGCATTATAACAGTAAACACGTATGACTCTTGAAATACGATTTATTTATACATATTTCTCACTCAGTAAAACAGTTCTTTCTTTAATAAGCTTTTTTTATCATTTCAAAGTTACAAAAGAGTCAAATATTGTCAGAACGGGGTTTTGTGGAAATTATAATAATTTAATATTTGTATTCGTGAGTCAATTTACGCCAGAACACCATGGAAAATCCGAAATCACTGGACGGGCTGTTTCGTCCTATTGCAGGACTACTCAGCAGTGCGCACCCACGATCAGGCATGTGGGACTCGAATCCGAGACGTCCGGTCTCCTGAGCAAACGCCTGACCTGTAGACTACTGACCCGGTATCCAACAGTCTTAATGTCTAACCCTAACCAATCCACGAAATCGCACCACCGTTCATCATTGTCTTCAGTGAGTTACTATCTCACAACAGACCCGATTAGACTCCAAAGGTCATGGCTACTCACTAAAACTTTAGGAAATACCTCATGAAGCTAGTTACTAGTGAGCATATGATGAACATTATCTGAAAAAAGTTTTTTTGGGAGATGCGCACTGCTGAGGAGTTTCATACTAGTACGAAACGGCCGTTTAGTGCTTTCAGGTTTTCTATGGTGATCTAGGTTTAATTGACTCATGAACTAAACTATTAAAGTCAAATATTGATTTCATTATGATTCCGGGGACATATATGTCATTTAGCTCATAAAATTTATCAACTGACATAATAATAACTGATACGCAAAATTTGATTCGGTCCGCATATAATCTGTTTCCTATCATATATGGGATATACGTCATGATTATTTATATTTTCGTTTAAGTGTTCATTTGACGTTTTCCATCTATTTTTTTTATCTCTTTATTTAGTCAACTGGATAATACTAGTAATTTACAAGAAATTATGAAACTTAGAAAACAAATACTTATCATTTATGAATCTTATCAATGTCATTATCAAGATGTATTGAAAAAATTAAAAACTTATCAACATACATTAAATGATCAAGTAAGCATTCAATTTATTTTACATAAAAGATTGATAATAATTAGATTAAATGTATTGCTCAGTTATCAACTTACACTTTAGAATTGGATCAAAACTTTATATGAATTACTTTCACATAAACTATATATCAAGAATTAGACTAGCCTCGTTTCATCTGACTATACTTTCTTTAATAATCATTATAAGATTAATTGTCACTATATAGTAAAAAGTACTGCAATATAATAAACGCTTTTGTTTTTTTTCAAACGTATAATTTAATTGAGTGCATGCAACTTTTACCAATTTACCATTGAATATTGAAAATCATATAATTATTAGTTAGGTAAAATTGTAATTAACCGAAATTAAATGTTTTCTTTCGTTTAGTACTAATTAGTCAAATCTTGAATAATCATACAAATTAGAGACGTTTACTGTACTCAATAACTCCAAGACTATCCATCTGAACTGTTAATCTTCATAATTTTAAAATTTTTTGGGCGTATCACATAACTCCAATAGCTAAACTATTTAATTTGTTCAAATAAGCTTGATTATTCTAAGTATTTATGTTCGAAAATCCTTATAAACTGAATGAAATAACACAACTTACCGTTCTCCATAACATGTTACTGTTATAACTTGTGGTCTTGTGTTCGATGATGCATAAACCCGTACAAGCAGTCTAGAGTACTAATCGGTCCTTCTTCCTGACTAGTCATGCCTGTTGAGTTCAGAACATAAATCTCAGCCTCCACGATATAAATCATATATTTCAAATATACTGAGTTTATATATAAGCCAAACAGCCGACATCATAATATAAAATAGAAAGTAGCATTTGTGCGAAATCTAGTCAAAAGATCCCAACAGTTTTCATTCATTATTCTCGTCAGAATATAACAGTCACAAATAACAATGTATATTTTCATGACTTGTATTTTTATTCCCATAACATCTGTCAACTAAATAGATCCAAGATTAAAGTTATGTTTGAATTAGACAAAACTTCATAAATCCTTAATCAAATAATGCATTAAATTATTAGAATAATTTCATATGTATTTAACGTTAATCTTCTTCATTTCACAATGAAGCTTTCTAACTGTTCTTTGTTACAACTGTACAAAATATTTCATAAGACTTTGTTCATAAACTGACATTGAGTTAATACGATTTAAATCTAAGGCATCCTTATGACCTCAGTAATTAAAACAAGTGTCATTTTCAAATGTTTACTTTTTTTAAATAAATAAAAAGAAATCAAGCTTTATTTTAATTTCCAACTTTAATAGGAAAGACCAACTATTAATTTATTCATTAGATATTTTCAGTAGTGACCTTTTTTAATCCAGTACATTAACTCAATAAATAACACCTATTTATATATTTCCTTCTCTTATTCATTGAAATGTGTCACAGTTTTGTCCTTAAGTCAACTTACCACAGATGGTCAACAATGATAAATTATTTATCTGAGTACTAAACAGATAGTAATATATTATTTTACAAAAATCTGGTTAGACTAAGTCAAGTAAGTAATTATTGTACTATGTATCTTATAAGTACTATTTGGAACAGTTGCGTTAAATTTAGTGCTATGACATGTCGATTTATGTATTGTACCAACTGACTAAAATTCAACTAAATAATGAAGTCTTTAGAACTATAAAAATCTACATGATTACACAACAATAATGTTGATAATAATCTTTTAATTTAGTACCATATATTGCAAAAAATTCCTTTGTAATATACACTAAGATTCTAAAGAATTAGGAAATTCATATTAAAATCAGTGTCGTCACCATAGTTATCTAATACTCCTCATCACGTATAAAGGTATGAGTTCATTCCATTTTTGCCAATATATATTCCAAATACGTTATTTTGAAGAACTCGATTGAAACTTTGCAGATATGATTTATAAAATACTTACATTGTGTTTCACTAAAAGAGAGATAGAGATCTATAGAAAATACTATCATTTGTAGTTTTAGTTTTAAAGCATTAAGATTTATGACAACATATAGCTTTTATGAGAATTTACGAGTGTCTAATTAAAATAATTAAAACAAATCAATATAGGGAAGATTATTGTAATATTTGAATAGGTAGCAAACAATTAACCCAGATATATAGTATCATTCGAAGTAATGATCAAACTGATTTCACAGCTATTACCTATGAGTACAAATACATTTTCCAATAATAGAAACTTATTTAAGACATCACGAAGCTTTATCTCATATCATACTGATCGAGAAAGTAAGTTTTCCAATTTTCAATTTATCTACATATCATCTAGTCGAAAAAACAGAGTTTCAGTTCTAATCACCAGCTCTACTTCGGATATTTTCAACTTGATTGTAATATCAAGTCACCTGCTCAAAATGAATATATCCCAACAGAGAATGTTTGACATTCAATCTTGAATATCCCATAGTGGGGAAAACGTGAATACTGTCGACGAAAATTTTTTTTTGCTAAGTCACTTTAAAGGCTTACACGTCTCTATTTAGTTTAGTGCATGTCAATTTCAATAAGAGCTGTGATTCTTACACGGATCAATTTTCTGTAACACGATATTCGTTTAAGTTCCTGGTTCACTGAATTCAACTAAATGTTTTTACTACTTATGAGTAAGCAGAAAAGTAATAAAAATTGAAGGCCTAATTGATCCATGATTAAAAATTAAAAGAAACTACTAATTACATCAGTTGATAAAGTGTAAAATAATAACATCCCAAGCAGATCATATTATACCTATCATCCTATTGAACTTCATTATTTCATCTCAGAAAATATAGTATAAGTCTACAAATAAGTAGTCGGAAGATAGATATTAAAACATTGTTTGTCGCAACTGGTGAATGCATTTGTATTCGTTATCGTTATCCAGATAGCAATCAAGGCTAGATCCGATTCACAAGGTCTAACCATCGTCTACCAACCAACAAGTTCAATGTGGCTACTATACAGTTTTAAATAAACTCTCCAGAGTCCTTAGTTTCAAAGTGTTTGTATTAAATCTCCTGAAAACCGTGAACATATGTTCAGACAATTTTGGCTTTCATTATGTCTATTAAATTAAATACGTAGTTTATGACATAAACATCTCAGCTTCAGCTGCTTTATGACATTGAACAATGCAAGTTTATAGACTCAAAAATCCATGACTTTGTTGAGACCTCTACATACACCCTGATGCATGGAACTAATAATCTAATAACTACGAACTTGACTATCCGAACCTATGATCATCAGTGTAAATCATTTGATTAACATTACAATCATGGTCGACATTTGATATGCTATGGTAATTATTCTTCCGAAAATTTTATCAGAATCACAACAGTTCTTCAATAATTACATAACAAACGTTAAAAGTTGTTCGGATATGTCAAACAGGTTGTTATGATTACTGGTGTTATAAGGGAAAACAATCTTAGGACGGTGTTAAGGTTTCTAACGAACTTAATCACCTAATTTTGAAGTAATAATAGCACTAAAAATATTATTCACGCCCCAGTTTGTCGCATATCAGTAGTGCACTCTCACTATCTCACATAAAACGAAACTTCAAAATCTAGTTTTCAATGCTTCTTCAGATATCACTTGTTCGTGATGAAACTTACCTCAAAAATGTACGAAATCTTCCAACAATCACCCGTTAGAAAATAGGATTTGAGCTAACTACTTATAGTATCATCAGATTGGCATGTTTAAGAAGAGTAGATTCGTCACATGTTACTGAGCTTGTATAAATAAACTGTGTGATATCGACTAGTGCAACGTTATGATGCAGTTCAACAACAAAAAACATCGTATCATTATACGAATATAATATTTTTGCTTACTACTTTACAACTACAAGTTAGTCCACGTTTAAATGTAAAACATACCACTACATAATAAACAGTTTATATCGTTAATATGATACACAACTTATTTTGTTTTTTTTCTAACAGATGTGTGAAATACGCGAGTGTGATCCTAACGAAGACTCGGTAAATTTCAACGGATTTATGATTTTCAGTATTGAATGTTCCTTATCATATAATTTTAAAGTAGTTCATTGAAATTATTAACCGATTCAAGTCAAACAACAGCTGGAAACCTGGGAACACTGGACACCCGTTTCGTCCTAGTATGAGATTCTTTATCATTGTACACTCAAGAACTCGTAACCGGGAATCGAACTCAGGACCCCGGTCCTGCGCTCGAACGCCTAACGTCTAGACTATTGAGTCGATATTCACCTTCGATCAATTCATGATATAGTACGAGCGTTTGATACTCTCCTAAACAGTGTTATTTCAGCCATTCAACATTTATGTTTTATTTCTTTTCTATAGATATTAATCAAACTGACACCATTTTAGTCTATTTTATGACACATTTTTCCAAGCTTTCAATTATTAAATTACAAATTTGAACTCACTATTATTGACTTAAGTTCAGATAAATAGAAATTTAGAACACTTAATCCCCTTGATAAATTTGTTTAATGCAATGAGAAGACGAACGTTATCAGAACTATGAAATATTTTTTGACTAATACATTTCTAACAATCTAACCGCATGTGTAGTTGTTAAAACACCATGTCTTTAAAACTAAAACGTCAACTAGACAAATTAGAAGATAATAGGAAACGAAATGTGAAAAACGAATTGAAAACTATTCTAGATAACAATTCTTCATTACCACGGTTGATAAAGGGTATGAATATAGAAGATTTCAGTCTTCGTACAGCCAAGACATCAGTATTGTTAGCTTCAATACAATACATTCGAGCATATTAATTTGAAATTTCTAGAGATGTTGAACTGGCTACTCTTGAGACTGCAATCAGTTTATCCACTCATCCAGTGATAAAAAATCGTTTTTATTTCACTCGTTGTATGATTATTTTAAGATTTACATTCTGCCACCAATTAAAGTGAAATTTATTACCGCGTTGAGTTTAGCTATTTCAATAGCATTATCCGATTTTTTTCGGTTTGTGCTACTTTACTGATGAAGCCCAAAAATAAATCTGAGAAACGCTTTTAGACAATGTCTCAAAGTAATATTTCTGAATGTGAATGAATGTTTATATCTTATCGGTAACTGTAAATAAAAAACTGTGGCTTGGCACCAAATAATATTATCCAGTAATCTACTGTTTTAAAAATCCTGGATGCACACTGACTGACTACCTAACAACAGCTAAACTAATCTTGTCTAGTCTTTAATATTAATCGAGTTAAATTTCTCGAATAACACTGTAGTGTTTAGCATAAGTGATCTAACATTGTAATGCCACGTCTTTGATATTAAGTGGTTGAAGCATCGATCTCATCAAAACTGTATGATAGCACGAAACCAAGATTTCTGTAAACTATCTAATTTTGAACATTCCATGACATGCTTTTTTATACGGACGAACCCGTTCTGTATGTGTGAAGTAAATTCTCAATAGACGTTTTCGTAAACATTTTGTTTTCAATTTACCAATTTCCAGCATTCATTTTCCCTACCGACCAAATCAATTGCTCTATCCAGCTGTCATTACAACATTAACAATTTGCATTTATTTGATCCAGAGTGTGACGCACAGAAATCATTGGACTTTCATAAATCAATTTGTGAGGAACATAAAATGCTATTGAAAGAAGCTAAAAATAAAAATTACAAACTTTCGATGGAACTAAGTGTCGTTAATGCAGAGATAACACATCTGAATGGTCGACCAGAAATACAACTACATAACCACCTAAAGAAGTTGTAAGTTATTTGATTGAGTTAACTAATATATTTATTATTTATTATTGTTAGTTTTATTCAATTTTATCTCTTTGACACAATATAGAATTCTCAGCACAGAGTATTTCAGCGAGTTTCCGTTTTTTATTTCTTGATCGATATTGACGATAAATATTGGGTGATCACCAGTTAGATATTAGCATTTCAGAAGTCGACATCTGAATAATATTCATTCTTTTCAATGCATACTGTCAGCCATCACAATGTCTCCGACTGTACATTATTGTAACTTGTACAGAGAAAGTTCATGAACTTTTAACAAGCGAACCTGAATGGGTTATGCAATTAATTAATATAATGATCTGTCAAAACAAATAGATTACTTGTTGAAATATCTAGGTGTCATGAACATGTAGCCCAAATTTTCAAGCAGGCCGCCTCGTAATATAGTGCTGAATTATTCAAAAACATTCATACTTACATTCAATATACATTACACTGTTGAGCTTCTATTTCAACCTTCCCTCTGGTCTATATAAAGTTATCGTGTCCTCTAGAATTACCACATTTTTATTTCATTCACAATTACAAGTATTATGTAATTAATAAACAACAAAGTAGAAGCAATCTAAATTATATTTAATTAGGTAGATTCTTGAAGATTTCGTAGTATGAAGATAATTTACTTCGAGAACCACTGTCAACTGAAGAAACAACAAAAACTGGAAATCACTGGCTGGCACTTAATTTTAGTATAGTACGTACCGGAAAGTTTATTTAAAATTAAATGTGGAATTTTCAGAACTCCTGAGCAACTTAATACTTAACGCAATATATAGTCCTACATATTTGGAATTCTTTTACTTGTGTATGTATAATCATGTATCGTTTTATAATTCTTTTGAAGACTCACTAAGAGATAAGATTATCAATATTTATTTGTTAATACTGCATATAAAATAGTTTCAATCTTGACTTTGCCTGAACTCAACGGTTAATAGAGAAATTAAGGTAGAATCTAACATGTCAATGTAATTCGTCAAACAGCAGCTATTAGGAATGTTACTGTTTAAAAAATCCAATGCAATTTATAAAAACGGGTACCTCAATGCAAATATTACTTTGATACAAACTAACAGATTCTTTACAATTGGTCAAATAAATGTCTCTGAAATGTTTTTCCAGAATTGATGGTCGATATGAAGCCGAGTTATTTTTCTCATATGAAGTTGTTAATCTAATTCTACATCTTTATTTGTATATTTGATAACCAGAGCAACGATTAATTTAGTGTATATGCAATGTAGATCCGGAGGTTTGATCTAAGCTATCAATACTCAGTTTTATCAAATATTTAACTTAAACCAATTCACAAGTTATGATACTGATGTCCTCCTTGTTGTTTTATTTCACCTAAATAACCGACTTATAACATCAATTAACAAATATCCTTAAATGTTCATTTGAATTACACTCAATAAAACTATTTAATATTTTTAAAGTAAGAAATGAATATAACTAATTCGTAACACCAGTTTTTTTAGTATTAAATAAAGACATCACTAGCAACGTACTCAACGAGATATCATCTAGGTGTGGTAGCAATTAAGTAGTTAAGATATTCATTTTCCATTTACTATGTTACATATCTGAATATTATTCCGTCTATTTTGATGAAAGAAATCTGTCTGTATCATTAGCCTATAATCTTAAAAAATATAACTCAAAACTAAATACATAAACTATATATACGATCATTGAGTTCTATTATGTGATAATTGTCTATTTCTTTCTTTGGTATTCATAGAGAATTATCTAAAACTACCAATGATAATATACATCAAACAATTCAACATTTAGAAGAACAAATTGCTAGAGTTCATAAAGAATTAGAAGATGCTAAAGTAAGTATTATATTATGAATATAGTTCTTATGAATTGTTTCATTTTATATTACTATTCTTCATATTAAATTTAAGAAAAGAAAAGTAATCGAAATTATTTATTTGTACTTTTGTTAGAAGTTATCTATTGTGGTTTATTTTAATTTAAATAATATTTAGCTAAGTATTGAACATTGATCAATGTTATTAGATTTATACGTGCTTCAGTAACAGGATCGAGATACAGATAAACAGAACCAATTTGGTGATGAATATAATTCGTAAAGAAAAAGATAACTAAGTAGCGGTGTTGTTTTCATCAATAAGATTGTACTAGATTAGACGATTGTTTGATCTAATTTTATTTTTGTAAACTGTTTACTATAGAAGAAAAGTTGAGTGAAGGAGATGAATTGTAAATTTATGTAGTTTCTTCTAAAGGATAAATATTTTTGCTCTGATTATCAGATGAGTTGTAGATAAAAAACATTGTATATTGTCATGTAACCTATGTGAAACAATGTTGCTAATTGTCTGCAAGTACACATAGTGTGTATTTTTCATTAGTCATAAATATAGAAAAGTAATAACAGACTTCTACTATGCTTTGATTTTCTTGTTTAGAACAATACATTGTATATTCTGACAGACAATTATGTAAATAAATTTATCTTACAGCTCAATTTGACATTTTTGTGTGAATAATTTTTAAACAAATGATTATCTTTAGTTTGAGGTTGTGAAAATTGTTGAATTTCATTGAAATCCTGAACCAAACAATGTTAGGCAATCATTGCAAAACTGCTGAGCAGTCACATACTAGGATGAAACGGCCGTTCCGTGCTTCTAGATTTTAAATAGTGGTCTAACATTGATTGGTTTATCATTTCAATGAAAGTTAACTGATTATCAACTGCAGACATCATTGTCTCAGATTTCAGAGTATTATATGAATAGAATCCAACAGATTCTATAATAAGATAAATCGTCGTGTATAATTAATTTTTCCAGAATCCGTGGTACATAATGATGTCTCATATTCTCTGATTTCGTCATTTAAGGGTATATGATTATATAAAGTTTTTTTCTCTTTTTACCATTATCTTTTACTAAATAATAAATATTTAATGAAACTGTCAATTGAATCCCTCAAAATTCAGTTAGACTGAAATAATTTTGACTGAATACTTGAAAAGCTTTAAGTTCTACTAATACACTTACATTCATATATTAGACAGTATCAAAACCATTATTGCATATCATCATATTGTACTAACAACATTTAAGTACTATCCGCATTTTGAAAAAATTGGATTTTTATTGGTATTTATTTTCAGTTGAATACAATCTAATGAGGGGAAATCTGTATAAACCGTCAATATATTAGCATGAATTGTATGTTTTATAGACTAAACGAATGCTTATGTAGCATGGTGTTTGCTGAACTGAATAGTGACAATTTCCTTGTCTTTCGGAATAATATTGTCAGTATCAATGTCAAATAGTAGTGACATATGTAAAACAGTTTTTTTTCGAAAATTCACTTCTGTTTAATATGACTTTTGATTCAATCAATCTTTCCAGTGAAAATGACCAACTCAAATAATGCAGCACTTTTAACTTAGGTAAACAAGGAACTAAAACTTTTCTAGTGGATTGTAATGTAAATTGTACTTATCAGTGAATTATAGAACTTGATGGTTGTAAAAAAATAGTATCTTTTTGTCTTCTCACCATAAAAACCTATATAAACTAAAATAATTTCCGTCATACTTTTAACGATTAGTTGAAACCTTTTTAACGCTTTTGTTACCCTGAACTTGTCAAGTAAATTATGTATGATACAACTTTCGTCGCTGTATATAGTCCCTCAAAACCTTTATTTCCAGACAAATATTAAAAGTTTTTTGCCGCTCGATATATATACTTTCATATTAATAAATACATACGGTGAATAGCTATCAATTTTGAAATGAATTACCATGCGGTATAGTCTAATCACATACATCATTTTCACTTTAGGAAGTAAGATTCTTATTAAAGTCATGAAACTTCACATCCTGACACATTACCATTATTGTTTTTCACGGAAAACACCAATTCCATCAGGATAGATGGTATCTCTTGCTGAGAATTGTTAAATAACACAAAACCTAGACCAAGAGTTCACTGTCGACTATCTTCAACCACCTGAAATTCCAGTCTGATAACTGCTTCGTCGTTAACAGATAAATCTTAGGTAACTGATAGATATAGGTTTGGCGAATTCGAAAAGGACAATGCTTGTTTATTTGTTATTCATTTTATTGCATTCGAAAATCGATATAACAAGCTTTATTATATAGGCACGTTTGGTTAAATTTTTATAACATTCCTGAAACTACTTTTGGTCATTTAAGTAGTCACTTAAATTTCTGATAGTCATCACGATTATTACATTCAACAATATGTCCTCAAGTACATACTTCTATTGTGAAGTTCTCATTCAAACATAAAGGTTAGAAGATCTTCCATTGTTTCCGACATATTTGGTTAACGTTTACTGCCTATAAAAAAGAGGCATTGATAAGTAGTGTGTGATTCTTCATCTTTTGTTTATCTTTTCAGCCAGTTTGCTGCGTTGAAATAAGTATTCTTCGGTTTACTATTCTTGTATATACATCATCTCACGATGTGATGAATTTTTTCAATAGCTAATCAGTAAGACCTTACATAAAGTATTCATCAATACACAATGTTCTACAAAAGTTGGTCAATTTAATTCAAGTGTTTTATATAATAAATATATTCTACTCATTGGGATATATGACTAACTTCCTATAAAACGCCTAATTCAAGTGTTTTAAAGTTTGTCTCTGTCTACATCTGATAATCACTTCGAAAGGCAAATCTACAGTTTGTTGAAATACTCAAGTACTTACTAAGTCATATGATCTAATATATGACTTCTGATGATCAATTTATAAAGAGTCTTTAAGATGTACCTTCTATAGAAGTGAGAATGGTTTATTTTCCCAAATTTATATTACCGGCAATTTCTACTTAAACTGACTACATTTTGAATGACAACTATATTATTGTTAAAAACAATGTGATACTACTTGATAAACCAGATTTTGTTGCTGGATTACACTCATTTTATGTACAAATTTAACTGTTGACTAAGCTATAAATTATATTCCTACTAAATTTGTTAGTATGGCATACTGTATCAGGTTAGTTATAAATAATTTCGACTGAATTTGTCTAAACAATTAGTTAATATTCACTAAAATAAACACAAAAGTATTAAATATACGTTAAAGATGAAGAACGTATTTGTAAAATTTCAGCGAAAGAATTTGAAGTAAATCCAACGTTTCGCCTGACAATCTGGTCCAAACTTTTTCAAGGAAAATATAATCGAACATCAAAATTATCAAATATAAATAAGTACATGGTTCTCCGGTATACTGTATACTGAATAGGTCATCCAATCAACGTTAACAATGTTTAAAGTAGGCATTTACATTAGTGTGTAAGAGACAATGTGGTGTGAAAAGAAAAGTGTAGACTGTCTTCGGTCGGTGAATATTAAGAGAACATATAATTTTATATATGATATGAATCAAAAATGTCATAAAATGCATTAAATAAAGATAAATATTTCCTTGGAAAACCTTGGACCAGATTACCAGGCGAAATGTTGGATTTACTTCAAATTCTTTCGCTGAGACTTTACAAATACATTCTTCCTCTTTAATTTCTCACATTAACTCGGCACCCAAATACTGTGAAACTATTCGATCAAATTTAGACGAAAGTTCTTATTTATTAAATATACGATTGAAAATCTTGTGTAGATTAGAATACAATCAGAACAGTGAGAAAAAAAATCTTTTTAAAGTGATACAATCGTATGTTAACGTATTAGTTTAGGTGTCAAAAGATAATTTGTATGTTTATTTACATGGAAACCGGTCACCAGCATTGTGTTCATTAAATAAGTTAAAATATAACCAACTATTATAACATACTAATATTCTACTTAGAAAACAACCAAGAGAAATAAAACTAACTATTAAAATATTTAGAATGTGAACATATATAAAAGATGTAAACGTGCTTACTAATAATATTCACCGATTTATAATGATTGCACGAAGTCTATATGCTAACAATATATTATTAAGCAGTACAATGTTTGATTTGCATAACTTGTACTTTAAAGAAATGAAAACTCTGTCATCAAATAATATGAAAGTTGATAAGTCGACCTATGATTGTTTTCACCCATTAAAATAATATTAAGTAATTAAAAATTACCTAAACAGTAGTAAGATTAACTAATTACTATTATTACCGTGAACTAATATCATATGGTCAACTTTTGGCATGGATTATATATTTATATAATTTGTATTGTCTTAAGTTGTTTCCAACTTCAAAATATGATCAGGTAATGTGGTAATATATACAATACACAAACTCTTCCTTTTTAAAAGGTTCACCATATCTATGAATAAGTACTTAAGAGCTGTTATTTAGTTGGAACTCAGCCCTACGCAATATCAAGGAATAATTGTCAGTAATTAATTACTATAAATTTAAATCTTTAAGATTTTTATTTTTACCATGAAGTCTATAACAGTTATATTTTAAAAGCAAACTAGTACTAGTTAATGACTTTTAATCAACGATAGTGACTTCAAAGTGTTAGTATATTCAAAAATCATACTTTTTAACATAATATTTATTAATTGTATGCCATTTTTAGGTCTCAATGTTTTCTTTACACGTATAGTTAACATTTAACTGTAAGTACAAAGTAGCCAGACAAGGCTACTTACACTACTTCCTCCACTTTCTTCTGGTGGTTGACCAAATTGTGAAGACCTTGAGTTTTGAGGGGATGCATGGAATACAACTTGGATGTAACTAGACGATTTAGACTTCGCTGATGATCCGGCCGTTCTGTCCGATACATACCAACAAATGGAGATGAATACAACTAGTGTAGTAGCAGCCTTTATATCAATGGACCTCAACATACACAAGGAAAAAAGCAAGATCCTCAAATACAACATAGAAAACACCAACTCAATTTCGCGTGATGGAGAAATTCTGGAAAAGGTGGAAAGTTTTACATATCCGAGTAGCAGCATGGATGAACGTGGAAGATCTAATGAAGATGAAAAGGGGAGGATCGGAAAACTTAGAACTGAAATTCGACAATTGGAGAACACATGGAACTCAAAACACTTATCTGCAAGTAAACATCAAAGTATGAATCTTCAATACGAACTTCAAGACAGATCTACTGTACGGAGCTGGAACGTGGAAAACTACTACAACCATCATCAAAAATGTACAATTATTTATAAACAATCGTCTACGCAAGATAATCAATATCCATTGGGCGGATACCATTAGCAACAACCTACTGTGGGAGAAAACAAAACAGCTTCTAGATGAAGAAGCAATTAGGAAAATATGCTGGAAGTGAATAGAACATGCATTATGGAAACCACCAAATTGAATCACAAGGTAAGCTCCAACTTGGAATTCTGAAGGGAAACGGAAAGGAGGAAGGGCAAAGAACACACTGCATTGAGAACTAGAAGCAATCACTAAAAAGATGAACAACAACTACAAATGATTGCCTATGACAGAGTTGGATGGAGAATGCTGGTGGGCGGCATATGCTCCTCAACGAGGGGTAACAAGCGTAAGTGAGTAAGTGATCAAGTATTTTACATCTGAACTCTCCAATTCTACTATATATTACTTAAATATTGATTGAATATCATGTATCTGATTATCATTGTTTGGATTAATGACTAAAATAATACATACCATGATTTATGATCTCCTCACTGCAGTATATATATATGATTTAGATTCAGTCATGCTTATTCATTTGCCTCAATTTTTATTTTTCTCATTCAACCAAACCAAATTTTGAAAAAAACATACTATTTTGTTCTTTGAACAGAATAAACTCAATAAGGAGGATGGTATACATATGGCGCTCATGCGAATGAAGTAAGTTCATCGTCTTCGTTATCCATTACTTACTGCTTAAATTGTTTCATACAACCATCTTTCAGAATGGGACTTTTCAACTGAATGATGTTATAAGTTAACGGCTCATTACATCACTGACTGTCATAAAATGAGTGAAATTGGAACCAAAAGAACTAAATGAGTGATGTGAAACAATTCCTTCATATGGTGAATCGTCACAAGATGTGACTTTTGGTTAAAACCTTATTTATCGTTTAATGTAACAAAACTCACATCTACAAACTAGTTGATAAGAAAAAATTTTTTTATCATAAGAATGTCATTGAAAACACTAATTTAACAGTAGGATAAGTACCTCCGTCATTCATTCACGAAACCAATGAAGCCTCAACTTAGTTATTACTCTTCACTCTTCACTGTTATTGTCACTAACATGTAGAATTATTTGTAGTCTTTAAAATTTAAATGTCTAATATTACTTATTTGAAAATGATTTACACTTAGTTTTATTTTTTATGACTAAAAGTAAATACACTATTTTATCGAATTAAAACTAACAACTTTGGCTAATATTTAATTTGAATAAAGCAAGTACAACAACCATAGTAAGACGAGATGATGAAATTTATTTTGTGGATACTCTTTAGTTGCTTACAACCTAGAAATAATAGTGACAGTTATTTATAACCAATGTACACTATACTATATCAATGTAAGATTAGTACGATGAATTCAACAGGTATACAAGCATGAGGATTTGTAGAAATTGTAGTATTTTAACAGCTAAATTCACGAGTCAATTTAATCTAGATCATCATTGAAACCTGGAGGCTCTGAACAGACGTTTTTTCCTAGTATGGGACTCCTCAGCAGTACTCATCCACGATCCCGCAACCAGGACTCAAACCCGGAACATTTAGTCTCGCGCAAAAATATTTAACCTCAAAGGTGGTCTATCTCAGATCGACTCGTGATTTCAACCGTTAAAATGCTACAATTTCCACAAATTCCCACAATGATAACAATCATGTGCTCACTAGTGATTAGCTTCAAGTTGAATTTCCTAGAGTTTCAGTGAGAAACCATGACCAGTAGAGTTCAATCCATGTTGGAAGTGAGACAGTTATCCACCTCAGACATTAAAACCGTCAGATGCCGGCTCAGTATTCTAGAGTTCAGGCGTTCACGCACGAGACTGAAGGTCCTAGGCTCGAGTCTCATGTGCAAGATCGTATATGCTCACTGTTAGAAATTTATGGAGTATTATTAAATGATATTGTCAATGATTATTTATATATTATTATATATGAAAGTTCTAGGGGAAAGTTTTGAAATATATGAAGATGCATTTCTAATGAATGAATATCGACGCCAAAATCACGTAATAACAATCATAAAATTTGATAGAATATCAGAATAATTGTACAAATTAGCTTCAAAACTGATGTAATAGCTAGTATGATTAAGTAAAATAAATGATTTCATTTCATTATAACTACAGCGAGTTTCTTTTTGCTTTATTAACATTTATCAATAGGTAAAATTGTATAAAGTTTATATTTGTTAGTTCAATTGGAATTAAATTTTTAAATGATATTTTTTTTAGTATCAAAACGGGTTTTCGTAGATATTATAGTGATTTCAATAGTTGAGATCATGAGTCAATTGAAACTTCTGGGGATTCCCACAATGGGGCGAAACGGCTGTCTAGTATTTCCAGGTTCTCCATGGTGGTCTAGCTTCAAATAACTCATGATCTCTACTAATGAAATTATTTTAATATCCACAAAAATACCTCCTGATACTAATCAACATATGCTCACTAGTGACTGGCTTCAATAGGTATATCATGGAGTTCTAGTGAGAACCAGTGACCAGTGGAGTTCAACTGGGTCTGTTTTGAGCTAGTAACTCACTGAAGTCAATGGTGGATGTGTCGCTCAATTTCGTGGATTAGTTGAAGTTATATATTAAGACCGTTGGATACCGGCTTAGTGATCTGTAGGTTAAGTGTTCACGCGCGAAACCGATATGTCCTTGGTTCGAATCTCACCAGGCGGGATCGTGAATGCGCACTGCTGAGGGGTCTCACAATGGGACGAAACTGCCATCCAGCAATTCCAGGTTTTCCATGGTGGTCTGGCTTCAATTGACTCATGATCTCTACTGATATTTTTTGTTGATTAAATTAAATAAACTTTTCATTTTATAAACTATTCACTAATGAATCAATAATGAATTTCGATTGACTATTCCATTTTGTTTCTACGTCTTCTTCATTGTCAGTCTTGTTAGTAAATCATGTAAATTTAAAATACTCCAAAATCTAGGCTGATTTGGTTTTACTTTTAAAATCAGGATTTTGTAAATATTTTTGATATTTCAACTGCTCTAAAAGAATTATTTCCAACCTTGAAAAAACAACATAATACGTTTGCAACAATTGTCAGATTCAATACACGGAACACAATCAGTTGACTCTAATCAGGAAACGTTTAGTAAAATGGTAATGCGGTTTCTTTGCTGGTGAACTCTATTACGATTATTTTTTAAATGACACAATCAGATAGTCCAGCATTTTTGGCATCATTTTGGCCGGAAGCTGTCACCTTGGAAACTCCGTAAAACTTGACATTTATTGCCGTCTGTCGGTGAATATAAAACCTGCTTTTATATAGGTGGCTATTTATCATATTAGTCGTTTGTTAGCCAGATTTCTGTCGCTCAGATTGGAAAGCAAACACATTTCTACTTTTTTATCGATCATAGTTATAATGAGTTATATTCACTCCAGTTGTCGAGCGTTTACTTTCTTTTTACAACACGGAAAAAAGAATGGCTTATATTAATCGAAGTATTGTTTGTTCAGGTAGACATTGTGTACTACTATCTAAAAGTGATTTATATGCATATACGCCAAAAGTTTTCAGTTAAATATAAGTCGATAATGGACACGTGTGATCACTTCAAGAAGACCAAATCATTTATCGATATTTTCTAAGTTATTTTTAATGATTATATAAACCTATAAGAAGGTTTTAAACATGTTAACTTGTCTTTTCATAAAAAGATACAAAAGTAACGTCTAAACTTTGTTGAAGTAAAATACGATAATGGACTGATTTATGCATCTATGAATATTTAGTCAAGTGTTTAAATAAATTTCCCATGATGAATTAAAAAACAACTTCAAATATCTAATGCCGTAATATTTTTTGTCAGTATACACATCTGCTTGAACGATATTAATAAAAAGAAGTAACATTACATCATTAAAGTTATTAGATAGTTTGAAACTATTAATTTATTATTTTTCGAGATTGTAAACATCATTGACTAATTCTAGATAAACATCAAGACAAAACACTGGACACTACTTTGATCTTAGTTTTATGACTAGTAGTGAGCACTCCTACAATTATCTGGGGAATTGAACATCAATAAATACCTGATATTAAGTAATTCTCAATGTCTGTTCACAACTACTAACCCGAATGACAATCTTAAGGTCCTCTAAAACACAGTATAGATTATTTCTAAAGAGTTCAAGAAAAATCGAGAGAATTATACTTGGAATCTAACTATAAACGTATACTCTATTTGTTTTCCAAACATACAGTTGTTAAATCTATAATAATAACGAAACAATCAATAGGAATGCCTTTGTAAAATCTCAAGGAAATATTCCTTGAAAAAGCTTGGACCAGATTGCCAGGCGAAATGTTGGATTTACTTCAAATTCTTTCTCTGAGATTTTACAAATAAATCCTTCCTCTTTAATTTCTCACATTAACTCGGCACCCAAATACTGTGAAACTATTTGATCAAATTTAGATGACAGTTTTTAATTAAATAATAAAAAAATGTTTACACAAAAAACATAACTGAAATAAGAATAATTTATTGTCGTTAATTTTCTAAATATTTTCAAATTCATGGATTTGATAGACGAATTAAACGAAAATAAATTGTTTATTGAATTCAATTTCCATATTGATCATTGAATAGATTTCTATTCCATCTGTCATTTGAATGAAATACACTCATACATATATACACATGACCATTCAATCTTCTCCAAACATTCAACTTACAAGATAATCCATCAATCACTCCAAATCTATGATGTTAATATTACAAAATAATATTTAATAATCGAATTTTTTTCCCTTATCGATTATTTGAATATTATTGAATCTGTGCACATGAAGAGAAATGTCGATTATTTTAATGATAAACTTTATATTCATTTAATTCAATGTAACGGTTTTTTTTAAAAAACAGTAAACATATTTATTTTATAATACCCTTTTTTGTTCAAGAATAATTTCTTATATTTTATAATGCAGAATAATGCAGTTTGTAAACTAACTACATGCTCCATTCAAATCACGAAGAACTTGACATAAATATGTATCAGTTTAAGTTAATACAACTCATATCAACACAGAGAATGAGCATATTCATATGGTGGTGAATAGAGAAGTAGAAAGTAGCAAATAAAATAAGAAATTAATAAGTATGGGATGATAAAAGTGTTACATTTAGGTATAAGATAAAGAACTAGTGCATCAGTTACACTGAGATTGACTTTTAATCATATCACTTAGAGTTTTTATTCAAACGTATTACCGGAAGGACTTCAACTAAGAAGTCTAAATATCCTGGACGTGACTCGAGCTAACACAGTGATGGACTCCATAAACTTATAACATTGTTTAATTTGATCATCCTTATCTATCTTTATAACAGTTTCTAGACTGATCAACTCTACACATCGTGTTAAACAGTAGCTAAGGATTACACACTAACGAACCAAGCTTTGCATTACATTTTTTACGCAATGTCCAGACATATTACGCGTTTGCTCACTGATTAACGTTTCATTGAATCAACCACTCAACATAAGGTGAATGCAAAAGAGTCCATTTCCTACGTAACTTATTCTATTTTTTTAAAAAGTAGCTATCACTAACAGAAATACATATGCGCCACACAATTCACTTGATTTGTGTGTAAGCTGTGATACTGCCTGGGTACCCAGACCAAAGCAGGTGGTTTTCTTGGTAGGCCACTACCCGAGCCTTAAACCTAAAGGTCTGATCCACAAGGCATTGGAGCATCGTCAGAGAATACAGTCTCATGGTAGCAGGTGACCAACAATTGGTCCACACGCCATTTGTTTCCTCAGGACCCTGGATCCCATGGGCACCATTGGTTTGGATTCAGGGTTTTTCAACTCCTCTATGTGAATACTCCGTGTCCACCGACCAGGTCAAAGCGCCGGACATTCGCTCTTAATTTCGTAAACAACTGTAATGCCGCAAGAAGGCAGTGAATAGGACTTCTCTGGTAGTGGCTGCATACGCATGACCATGTGAGAGCATTTCGAGAGGGAGAGATGACTCTCTCCACCCTCGGCCGCACCAGGGCACTTTTAAATCACATAATATTCAAACTAAATTTTGTAATTTATACCTTCCGTTTTCAACAACATTTAAATATTTACACTTACATAACACGTTCCAAACTTCTGGAAATAATTATTTAAAATTATGTTCAGTTAATCCAAATATTCCGTAATTCTAAGAATTTTAAAATCAGAATGACGAAAACTGACTCAAAGTAATCATAAAAGGATATTATTAGTTCATAGTCAGTGAAATACAAATAGACAATCATACACCTGTATTAGATCATGAAGTAAAAGCAAAATGAAATAATTTTGGTGGAGTTTTGCTCTCTGAGCTGGATGGTTTGGTCGTGGAGCTTTCATCGTTCTTCTGAACGACATCATCAGCACAAACTTCAGATAGAAGTGAAGTGTTTGAATTTCTCCATATGTGTCTCAAAGCTTGTTCTGTGCACCTCGACGTTGATTGGTTCTTATTGACCTTAAATTTAAAACAATTAGTCCCTTTGATAAATTTCGATAATGCAATGAGAAGACGTAGTTTATCAGAATTATGTGATATATTTGCGCAATACATTTCGAACAATCTGATCACACATATACTTGTTAAGAACATTTATATATGAAAAATTAAAAGGTCAACTAGACAGGTTAAGGGTAAGTCATAACAAAGGAAAATATTAAAGTACACAAAAACAAATGTGATTACCACTCTGGACAGTAAATCAGTACTACCAGGGTAGGTTAAGTGTAAGTACAAATTGTTTTTGAACACATAAAGGGGGTTTCAATTTTCGTATAGCCAAGGCTTCAATAAACATTAGTATACGTCCTTGAAGGCTTTTGTACAACACAACAAATGCTGATTTGTTTTGGTTGTGCCTCCCATTGTTTTGAATTTTGTTCTTATGTTTGTGCATGATTTTTCTGATTGGTTGATAAATTGTGCTAACTGCGAAAAACACTATATCGGACAAAGTGGACGCCCCCTTCACCTTCGCCTACATAAACACCGATTAGCAGTCAAACGGCATGATATCTCTTCACTTATCTCAATACACGTGGACAACTGCGGACACTCATTCGACTGGAAAAATGTGGAAATCTTAGACAGAGGAAACTCCAAAAACACCAGAGAATTTTTAGAAGCCTGGCACTCAGGTCAATCAGCAATCAACAAGCATATTGAAATCAATCCAATTTATCAACCAATCAGAAAAATCATGCACAAACATAAGAACAAAATTCAAAACAATGGGAGGCACAACCAAAACAAAGAAGTAAACAACGACAAATTTAAGGTCAATAAGAACCAATCAACGTCGAGGTGCACAGAACAAGCTTTGAGACACATATGGAGAAATTCAAACACTTCACTTCTATCTGAAGTTTGTGCTGATGATGTCGTTCAGAAGAACGATGAAAGCTCCACGACCAAACCATCCAGCTCAGAGAGCAAAACTCCACCAAAATCATCCACCTGAGCTACAAATCTTCTCCACCATGAAATAATTAAATCACGACAAATTTACCAAGAATCAACTTCGTGGTTAACTTTGTAATTGATTCGTATAGTATACTCAGAACCGATTGAAGAAGTTCAATGAAGTCCCCACTTTTTTTCATTTCTTTCGTAAAATTGAGTATTAATTGTTTGTGTGGGCGATTTTACACACGAGAATCTATGTTCCGTACTGTGTATCACTTCAACTATCAGATATTGAGCAACCAGAGAATATTGGTAACTCTCATAAAATAAACCTTTATTACCAATTAAAATATCAACTTATGAAGATGTATTATTCCCTTCTTTTGAAATCCTTATGTGTATTAAACTCTTGCTAAGTCTACCGATATAAAAAGACATTTTTTCACATTTTGCCATGTACTCATTCTTGTCTTTTGAGTAGTTTGAACAATAATGAGTTAACTACGTGATACAATAAACAGCACAAATGTGACTTTCATAGTACCATCAAATTTTGAGATATATTCCAATTGCACTTACTCTGTATTAGATAGAATTACATTGAAATTATTATACTCATTACATAATTCACTACATGATCATTTAGGAATGACCATTGTCTTGTTATTTGGTCCTAAGTACTGACCAGTTCTTTTACTTACCTTATAATTAACTGATATCTTGTTTTAATTCCCGATCACTAGTCTTCGAATTCATCAATTAAAGCAAATGGAAATCAAAGCCCACAGTCTCATAAACGATCAGTGCATGAGTATAAAAACAAAAGAAAAGGAACTAACAGAGACAATTAATAAAGTAAGATGACTTGTGTTTTTCAGCGTTTTTCTCTTACGATTTTATGTTAAAATCGTTGATATAACAATGTTGTTTAATAGGATCAAATAAAAGTTCAGTTTTAGGTTAGATAATGAGAAAATATCTGGCTTGAAAGAAACTATTAAACCTCTATACATATAAAAATGCTCTGCTGTATTTTATTACGCATATATGCGACGTAACTGTTTACTTAAATCTTTTCACTTTTATCATGATTTATAATGGCCATGGTGAAACTATTATTTGATTGATAGATTATTTGTTAGGTGTTCAGATATAATCAGAGAGAAGTTTTGGATTTAGGTTTCATGCTACTTGGTGGCCGACACCAAGCTGTACACTACGAATAATTGGTGGTGTTTAGTCATCCCAAAGGAATAGACTAATATCTAGTTAACGAAAGGATAAAAGCTTTCACTTTTTGTCTTCGAAATATGAAAAGCTAAGTTATATTAGGCCACAAGTCAAGGAGAACTAATCATTGCTTAGTCAGTATAGTTTGAAGAATAACATAGAAGTGGACCGAAATTGCTTAACATACTTATCCTATCGATTACTGAGATTAATTTTTAAGGTCACTGACGAATAACCTGACTGATTTAAAGTCCTGTGTTAACTGTTGTTTCAATAATAGTACATATTGTTCGTTATGACTTTTTATACGAGATCAATATCCTGTAATTCATCGCTTTTAGTCACATCGTATGGCCCAATTATCTCTTTAATGTATGCAATATATATATATATATATATATATATATATATATATATATATATATATATATATATGTCTTCTCAACTTTGTGATTTTCCTAAAGGAAACCTATTCGATTATTGGATTACAAGATAAAAACAGTGCGTAAGATTGAACATTAATTAATTTGGTAGGTAAAAAATCTCACTCAAGCTTTTCTTCATCTTCCATAATTATAATACCAATTTTTGAAGAACCACGTTTTACTTCACTTTCCATCTCTACTTCTTTCATACAATCTACTATCCTCATCACACTAACCTAATAAATTTCATTTTAAAACTTCTGTAATCTTTTGTTACTGCAACTAATCATTTTACCTAGTTCCCTTCTCTCATTTAATTACTTTTCTAGGCTCCATAGCGACTCTTATTTTAATCATGATGTTCATTTGTGATTTTACATTTTCAAGAATAAAATCACCAAACAGGGATAAATTTCGTCAACCACTCCACCTCTCCCTCTCTTGTTTTATATCTCAAGAGGTCAGTAAGACGTATCTATAACCTGAATAAAATTGATACACCCCACAAAATTAGGAACACCATCATCCAATGTATAAGTTTTCGCGAGATTACACAATAATAGCTTCCACCTTATCTATTTTCACTTCTTGATGTGATTTTTGACACTTAAAAAATTCTCATTATAAGCCTACATTATCGTGTGATTCCTTTATTAATAATCTAGATGGATTTATTGTCCGAAGTCTGGGCTAATGAAAGGCAAGTCAAAATTGAGACAATTCAAAAATTACGCGAAAATCTTAAATTTCTGTCAAACAAATCTCCAAAAGTCCATATAACGAATAAAGCAATTCGAATACAGTATACTGACAGCATAACCAATAATGGTGAGTAGTTTCATACTTAATTATTCATTCTAAGACATATTTTGAACTATTCAAATTAAAGCAATAACATGGCCCATGTATAAGAATATCAGATGATGTTAGATAGTCAATTTTCAGAAGTTTAATGGTTCGTTTATTTAGCGATTCACATTTGATTAAGGTGAATGCTTAGAAATTTACTACAAATTCTACTCAGCTACTTAGATATGACCTTAGTGGAATAATACATAAGAAAACTTAAGAAAACTCATAAAACATTTTTAATTATAATACTAGATTAACCATACTACCAAAACATTATAGAATCACCACAAAGAATCACTAAGATATATTTAAAAAAACCTCTGAACGTTTACTGTCAAACAATATCAATACAAACGATTTTTATAGAGTTGCTGTAACTGTGTGAAATGGTTCTACCGGAAAGTTTTAGTTGTCATCTCAGACTACATAACTGACAAACATTTCTAAAACAAACAATCATAACACAGTTAACAGATCCGATATCGACAAAACAAGTGGCCACTTACATGTAGAGAAATTCTAATAGTTGATTTTCTAAAATTTCCTTCTTATGTTGTTCTAAAAGATAAAGTATCAAAATTAAACCATCGAGTTTAAAGACTAAAAAACTAAGAAAATCATTCTCCTAAGCTAATCATTTATCGAACATCAGTGGGAGTTTTGACGAAGCTTAATATATTATGGTCATCTGAAGGACTCTTGAAAATCAGATGGCACTGAATAATTGTTTTTATTTTAGACTGAAAATAACTATTGGCGTATATTTAGATTTCATAAGGGAGGAATCCCAAAGGTTCACAGTTTGCAATCTTAGTTCTGCGTCAAATAAAAGAACAAAACTTTCATACAGCTGGTTCCCTTTATTGATTTTAATAAATCCAAATTAACGATTGAGGTGGGATAATGTGACTTCATTTTATTTCATGGTTTCTCATCAGCCGTATACAGCCATATTCACATTAAAATGTGACACTGGTACATGACACAATATCGAGCAATTCTAATTCTTTACATTATCAATGTCAGCTGTAGGCGTCTGATGAGAAACCACAAAATAAAATGAATTCATATTATTATTCTTCAATTCTCATGTTGACTTTATTCAAGCATGACTCAATTAATTTCACTTATTTTTTATACCCTACTCTTAGAATATGCATATATTCTTACTATTTCGTTTTCCCATTTCATCTACCTAGGTGAACAGAAACCAGACACACAAGAACCTCACCTACCATACTCGTTATTTAGTGCTTTATGCAAAGAAATACGCCGTTTACAATCTCGTTCGGTCAGTCTTGTAGAAGCATTAGACTTATTGAGCACAGGGAGTTACAATTCAGAAAGGCTTGATCATATTAAAAATTTAGTATTTTCTTCAAACCAAACAAAAAAGTAAGTAGAAAATCTTAAAGCTTTTAATTATGGTGAAACTTCTGGCGTAACGAAGTAGCTGATAAGTTCTTTCGAAATTTATAAACACACTAAAAACAGTTTATAAAAACTAACACAGAACAGTTTGAAATACTTTTATGTTCAGGATTGTCAGTCCACAGTGCCACAGTGGATTGTATCTCGGATATTTCAGTATACTGACAAACAAAATCCACACTTAAATTTCGTCAGTTCTTCAAAAAAAGTGAATTTTCGCCTAGACGATTAACTTCTGCTTTTCACTAATACCCTATATAAGGCCTCAGTAATTATATACAAGTTATAATGTTTATTTTAGTAATTTACACATATTTGCATTGTATCAAATTGACAGTACATACACCATAAATTGGAAGAACATGCCTTTGAACAATGTTGGCACTAATATCAAAAGGAATATGGATACAAGACCATTTAACACTGTTCGATCTATCAAACAGCGTAATAACGGAACTGTATCATCGAATGCCCATTCACCTAAAAGGATGTCAGGTGTTTCCGTAGCTTCTCGTCATAGTAAACATGTAACAATCAGTGATAATCGCAGGCAAAGAATTTCATCATACAAAAATTATTCTGATGGTAATTCTAAACATTTGTTAGTACACGAATCAGTTAATGAAAAAGCAGTTTATCCTAACCCACCCACTAGTTTACAAGGAGAAAATTCAGTCCCACCATTGCAACAGCGACATGAACAACAACAAGATCTAGTGCAAGAAGAAAAAGAAGAATGTCTACACCAACTACAAGAACAACAGCTCTTTTATCATTATAATTTACCGATTTCTTTCAGTCCACGTGTACAACGCCGCCCAGTTTCGTTTTATTTAAGTCGAAATATAGATAAATTTGTAAAATTGCCAATTCCAGAAGCTGATGAAGAAGAGCAAACTGACGATGACGAAGAAAACATTAGTGAAGTAATGGATGAAGATGATGACGAGGAGGAGCAGTACGAGGAAAAGAATGAAAACGTAGAAGAAGTACAAGATAAAAATAAAGAGCATTGTAATAATCATATTGGGTCCCATAACCATGAAGGGATTGGGGTAGAAACATCCTAAGAAACAAACATTGTATTAATCAGTAATCAGTCTTGACCGCAAACATATTTTCTCAAACTTTTATTTGTAAAATTCGTTCATAATTGAATATTAATATAATACTCAATCATTTTGTATCAATCAAACTTAAGACCTAATAACCTGTGTACAATAAACTCACATTCCTTTTTATTACATTGTAACATTAATGTATTATTTACAAGCCACTTTACGTCTATATTAATCAAAACCTTACTGTAATAACCAAATATTACGTGAATCGAACAAAAAAGGCTGTGTATATGAACAATAAAACACAATTCTGTTTTCATATTACATACATGTAAACAAATGAGTTCTATATCTTCACCATCTGTACCACTCTCAGAATTCTCAATATACAGAAATTCCTTTCATCTCTTGAGTTTCAATTGTTTATACAGCTCATTCAGAAGATGTAACTATTTTTTTATCTACTAATTACTTCATATTCTTCATTCATTCTTCCCTTATTTTAGATTTTATTCTGTGCCCACTAATGCACACATTGATTTCAATGATTTACTCCTATTTCTTATGTCCAAGATTTATTTTTCTCTGAATCCTTACTTTATCCTAACACTTTTTGCTCACTTCCTGGTCGACAGTAATTCTTTTTCTATATGTTGTACAAATAAAAAAACACTGTCATTAAACACAATTTATCGTGTCTTAGACAGTAAGCTCAATAGTTATTAATTCATAATTATATAAATATACATATTTTCTAAATATACTGTTACTAAATTACTATTATTGTTTTGATGGAATAAACTGTGCTCTTCAACTTTTTGATTTTCATTTTCTTCTAAAACCATTAAACTTATTTGAAAAAAAGCTGCGGTCTACACACGGTTGATAAACATTGAGATCTCCAAATACAATAGAACTATTGTTTCTCAATCATACAATCGGTGTTTGAAAGTTCGCTGGTCTGTGTTTGCAATGATGAATTTGCGACACCTGTAACTAATTCGGCGATCCTAGAGATTTTTATCAAATTTTACCTCTTACCTAACATGAAAATCATTTCCTTGCATACAAACCAAAGTTCAATACCAGTTGTGAAGCTATTGGCTTTTGTTTAATATTACCCAGACTAGATCTCTGTTAAAGTAGGAAATTCTCTTATAAACAGGTTTCTGTTTTCTAGCTTACGTTTCACTGAAGGTTCTATACATAAATATTTCTTAACCTGAAATATGAATAAAGTTATCGTTCATTTGTCCTCTAAATTGCGACATGGAAACACACATTAAACTAACACAACATTTTTTGAATAAAAATTAAAGTATTGTGAAATCTAGTCCCAAAATCCGATAATTATCCGAATTAATTTTCATTAAACTGATTATTCTCATAGATTTTCAAAAATTATTGTTGATTTTTTAAAACATTTTCTCGGGATTTATTTCAATGTTGTATCAGTTAGTTACAAATGAACATTATAAAAAGCAGAATTGATCACTTATTTCACAGACATGAATAACGATTTAAAAAAATCGCTCAAAATCTATTAATCTGAACACAAATTAAGCAGATTCATTGTAATAAATGTCTTTTACGAAGAAAAATAATAAAAAGTTAAAACGTGTTTTACGAATTAAAGTGAAATAACATTGTCCTCTACAATTGCAGTTAAGAAATAAGCAATATTTGAGATTACAAATGTAAGAATATTATTTGTAAAATCAATACGCGATCGTCAATAGATTTAGGTACCTTAATCCGGAAGTGATAAAGAGTTCTCTTTAATCATAGGTTGGTTTAGTTTATTTGAATGAATAAAATGTTTTTCTTTGATTAGTAAATTACTGCAAGGAGCATCTGTATTGGGTGAGATAACTGTTTCGATACTGTTTTCAAGTGGTTCAGAAGCAGTGCTCTTTGTAAGATTTTGATGAACTTCTGAATATTTGTCACGTGAAACAGTTATATTAGCAACATTTGTATTTCCTCCTTGAATAGGGTCCAACGAAGTATTTGCTGATAACCTATAGAATACAAAGAGCTTAGTATAATTAATCAATAGAAGGTCAAATATAGTACTAAATTGTTTACATGGAAAACCATACAGAACATCTCAGTTATGGTAGGATAAAATACCTATTGCCTCCTTCGTCATAACATAGTTAATTTTTATCTATTCACTCGGTTAAATAAACTTTTTAATTTAACAAGCATGTTTCGAGGTTCTGGGCAACCGTCCAACACTTATTGACAATCCTCTGTGAACAGGATTTCCATATTGGGACTGATGCTACGTCAATAAAATTCAATGCTTAAATCCTACGTAGTTTCACCTACCTTATACTTAGTATTTTTAATAAGTTGAGAACCGAATGAATTACAGATGCTAGCTTAACGTAATGACCGGATTTGTAACTCCATAACCGTTCGACGAAAGTAACCAGTCATCACAGACAATATTGTCCTAATTCAATTAAGAAACTGTTTTACTTACAATCAAAGTAGCTTTAAACAGCACAATGACGCTTGCCATTATAAAAGGTTAATGGCAAGTAATGCGTCACAAACTAAATTATAGATCTTTACCTTTATTTTCCAAGTTGGCAGTAAGCACAATTTGTAGAAAAACACTTGATTCCTCTGTGTACAGCATTATTCATACATATTCCTCAAGATTTATAAAACCATAGGTATGCAGTTTACTCTGCTTACTAATATCTCGTCTCATTCAGAAATAACGACTTTAAATACCCGCATATTATTTAGATCGTAATGAGAACCATCTTTGACAGCCAATATATAAACAATAGGATTAGCTATGCTTTGTGTTTTACCTTGCAAAATGAGATTAACAGTAGAGAAAATTATGAAATAATGAAGCATCCAAAGACATTTTTAAGTTAACAGCTCAGTTAAACACCTGAATGGAAAAGATGGTTGTTAGATGTCGACCTGATGATTGATGCACTCCACCTTCAGTATTTGTTCATTCTTTAAAACTTCACTTCAGCTAATTCAGCATTATATTGCCAGTGATTTTCACTTACAATCTACAGCTTAAAGTTTGAACAAGCTGATATGTGCTTGACTTTTAAAGTTCAGCAACCTTTGACTAGTAATGATATATGCCTTACAACCGTTTTGTGATAAAATTGTAGTCATTGGCAAAATATAAACCATTTTAACAGTGTACTAATAAATCTGTAAATCAAAATGTTTCCTTAACTACAATGATAAAAGCTTACCGAGATCCAGAGGTATATTCCACTAAACAATTTCCTCCATCGGAACCATTGATATTTCTACAAAATTTACTGACTAACCAATTTGTGGAAATCGTCATAATCAACAAAAACAAAATACAAATAAATAATGGTAAGAATATTTCATTATATGTGAACAGTTTAATGTTATCTAATTGGCAGACCAGAAGAACAACGAATATAAGAAAAGTAAATGCAATTGATGTGAATCCAATCATTGAAACAACATCATAAAGATCTTTCTGAGTAAAACGACTCAATCCACATAACATACAAACTAAGAATAACAGCAATACAATCAAAAATCCCATTATAATCCAGAATGGTATTAACACTACAACCCATGTCCAATTAATATAATTATCTAAACGTAAGGCAATTAGAATGACACATGGAAGATTTAATGCAAGGAATTTTTCACAATCATAAACAGTTAACTCGTAAAACGCTTTTGTGAATGTCAAAAATCCTAAAACGCATAAACAATAGATTGGTATAAAGACTACACACCAATTTAATGCATTTGTTTCTAGTTTAATACATAGAAATATTTGAAATGTGAGTATTAAAACTTGATAAACATAATAGAATAAACAGAATTTGGTTAAATTGAGAGATTTAAGTAGGAATAAAATGAGCGAACCCGCAAACACTAGAATATTCCATAACCAAAGTGGCATAAACATAAACCACGCATTTATATGAATATAGTCATTGATTTTTAAAAGGCAGAGTATAAGATTTACCGAAAGAACCAATAAAAATAAAGCTTTTTGCGTAAGAACATTTTGTAAATAGTTTTGAGCAATCATGAGAATAGGATTAATAGTTGTATAAATATATTTACCAAATCCCAAACAGATTTAATTAATTACCATAGGCAAGTGTATTTGTTAGAAACATGAAAGAAAAGAAACGCAAAAGTAACACTGATTGTATCTGAAAAATCCAATTAGGCAGTAGATGGATAGTCAGATCTGAAATAAAGGAGATAATAAAAAATTAAATAATCCAGGTTGCATAATAATAGTGAGATTAATTATACGTTAGAGATTCAAAATAATCTTGAAAATGAGAGTACATATAAAATAGTTAAAGTAAAACTTATACCCTAAGTTTAAAGTAGATCCTCATGGTGTTATTTGAACTATAGTGAAAGCTGCGCAGTTAACGAAACAAGCTTTAAAAATTTGACACCAACAAAATCGTTTACCTGAGCTAAATATTTTTTCCATGATTTTATGTGTTAATAGTTTTACTCATTATTACAGAAAGATTTGTTAACTATACAAACTATGTAGTAATCCTCTGAACAAACTTTCTATCCTTTTTATGGTATTGCTTGAGTTAAGACCGCTATTAGCTCATAAAGCCACATTAAGGAGTGATTAAGTTCGTTAGATACTTAATGATAGAGTCTACTGAGAAGTATTAAAACATATTAAATGTTCTCTCCAACGAGACATATGCAACAATATTTATCTACTAATGAACTAGCGGAGGACTAGTTAGCCTACTGAAAGTAAGATGGATCTCATCACCTTTATAAACTTATGAATGTGCTCTTGTTATTACTTTTAGAACAATACCCTTTTCAGAAACAAATTACCGGACGCTATTTGTTTGGAAATCCACTATAATAAAAAAGAGTCAGTTTCGTCTATCAAAAGTTTTTACTTACGATATAATCTTATTGACTGCCTTTAAAAAACCTTGTTCACAATTCGGTCTACATGATGTCATTTGTTTATTTGTTAACATGGATTAACCACATAAGTTCGTTTATGTGTAATGATCAGGAACGGATATTGGTCGTTTTTGTTTACAAAACAACGTTACCAAAAGAAATATCTTGAACGGCGAATGATTACTATAACGTAAGTACATATCTTGATGACAAACTATCACAACATAACGATTTAAAAGGGAATCCTGCCCCCATAAAAGTAGTCGAGAAATCGAAGGCTGATCACATTGAGAGATCAGTTATTTTTCATAGAATGAAGGAGAGTGAAAGCTCTGAACCCAAAACGCGTTTAGAGCATGACATTGTGCTGATAAAACAGCTACTTAATCAACTCATGCCTCAAAATATCCCCGGATTCACCTTGCTAAAGGTGTACAGACTAGGTAGTCTAGCAAACTTGAAGCTTAATCAATCCAGACTGCTTAAAGTAGTGTTCAAGTCTTCGAACGAATGGACATAAATTAAAGGGTTCAGGAGTTTTTATTCGTAAGGAATTGCCGTTGGCAGACCACGTAAAAAGAAGGGAAGCCGAGAAAGAACTACAACTTAGGTTAGACGCTGGTGAAAAGGACATAAAAGTTGTAAATTTTCGGGTTGTAAGGCTTCGACAGAAAATGATACCGAAGCCACTATGGCTGAAGAACGAAGCCACTTAAATAGGCTTCGGATCTGTTACACTAATGCACGAAGCTTACTCAATAAGCGATCGGAACTAGGTGTACAGATTGACTCTACAAAGCCAGACATAATCGCAGTCACGGAAACCTGGCTGACACAGTCTATAGATAGTATGGAACTTGATTTCGAGGGTTTTACGTTAGTAAGGGCCGACAGAATACAAAAGTGTAAAGGAGGGGGAGTAGCTGTTTTCATTAGGAATGCTATCCCATTTGCCATTATCGAGAGTGTATCCCATGAGAGTGGGACGTGTGAATTAGTTAGTTGCAAGGGCTGTTGATTGGTTCGGTCTATCGCAGTTCAAGCTGTGAGGTAAATGAGGTCCTGCTAGGCAGTCTCAATGTTTGGTCAAAAAGTGGTCGATGTCTAATCCTAGGGGACTTTAATGCACCTATGGTAGACTGGGAAAATCTGCGAACTGAATCATCAGAAAATTCCTTCGAGCAGGAACTAGTTGATGTGGTTATCACATGTACTCTAGTGCAACATGTGAAAGAAGCGACTAGGTACGACCCGGACTCTGAATCATCCTTATTAGATCTTATACTGACTCACTATAAGGATGACGTTGCAAACCTCCATTACACGCCACCCCTAGGTAAAAGTGATCACGCAGTTTCAACTTTCATACAACTGTCAATCACGAGCACTCGTTAGCTCAATCCAGACCTAACGTCTGGAAAGCAAACATACCAGATATCACACACTCAGCATTGTTAGTAGATTGGACAATAGACCCAGAGTCCTCAATTGAAACGGCTTGGGACGCATTTCGAAAATTATACTTAAAAGTTACCGCACCCCACATCACTTGGACTATACCAAGGGGGCCGAGAAACTCTCCACCATCGTTCAGTAGAGAGGTCCGTATCCTTCTCCGTAAGAGAAGAAAAATGTGGGATAGATTTAGGTTACTGGGGACTGATGAGACAAAATCTCAGTATCGAGAAGCTCGGAATACCTGTGCCTCGACCCTCCGTAAGTCTAGAAAGTTGTACGAAGAAAAAATTGTTAAGGAATCCATAGAATGTCCTAAACGCTTGTATTCCTATATAAACCAAAGGACAAAAAGAAGAGGAAATATTTCCGCACTATGGGGAGACAGTACTGTTGCATCATTAGTGGAGGACAACTTTGGTAGGGCCCAAGTGTTCTCGAACTACTTTAGCTATGTATATACCATAGGAGCACCCTTCCCATCAGTGCATACAAATCCCCTGACACATACACTGGATAGCGTGACCATTAAACAACTAGATGTCTTTGGTATGCTAAATAATCTTGACATGGGTAAATCCACGGGGCCCGATGAAATGCATCCTAGTCTACTGGAGGAATTATCTAACTTCTTTGCGAAACCTTTAAGTATATGGTTTAATCTATCCGTAACGCAGGGTCGTTTACCAAAAGACTGGAAGAACTCAATAGTAAGTCCTGTCTTCAAAACAGGTACGAAACATAAACCTGAGGATTACCGACACGTCAGCCTAACTAGTGTGGTTGTTAAAATCTTAGAAAAGATTATTCGGAAAGAGCTGTTTAAGTACCTCGATGAAAACCAGATCCTTTCGGAGAAGCATCACGGTTTCGGAATAGGTTATTCTTGTCTCACTAACTTATTAATCGCTCGTGAAAGCTGGTGCGCTATTAAGGACCAAAAGTTACCTGTAGACGTACCCAACACTGATTTCAGCAAAGCTTTTGACAATGTTCCGCATAATCGGCTGTTATACAAGCTAAGAAATGTCGGAATTAGAGGCAATCTATTGATGTGGATAAAAGGATTCCTAGTTGCGCGCCAACAAATAGTACGGGTGAACTCAAAGTGATCTAGCTGGGAAACTGTGCTTAGTGGAGTGCCCCAGGGTACAGTTTTGGGGTCAGTGCTATTCCTCTTGTATGTAAATGACCTTCCTCGTCTCCTATCATCATTGGTCTTGCTATATGCTGACGATGTCAAGATATGAAGAACGATGCGATGTAAGGGTGATAGCTTAGAACTCCAAAATGACCTGAAGAAATTATCTGAATGGTCTCAAACTTGGCAGTTGCCGGTAAATACTTCCAAGTGTGTTGTGATGCATATCGGTCATCAAGGTACAGATACATATACGATCAATAACACTGAGCTACCTGTCGTCCAGACACATAATGACTTAGGAGTCGTCGTTAGCCAAGACTTAAAGATTACTGCACACTGCCGTGTAATAGCCGCCAAAGGTTCTAGAATCTTATAGTCAATACGTAGGGCTTTTAGTTATGTTGACGCTAAGACGTTTTTGACTTTATATACAGTGTTTGTACATCTTAAACTTGAGTACTGCATACAAGCGGCTAGCCCCTGTTTAGAAAAAGACAGTGAGCTTCTGGAAAAGGTTCAGAGAACAGCAACTAAGCTGATTCCCGGAATAGCGAAGCTTCCGTGTGATGCCCGACTGGCCAAGCTAAACCTTTTACTGTTGTCATATCGTAGAACTAGAGGCGACTTGATTACAGTTTTCAAATTGCTTAGTGCTAAATCCGCACCTGATATGCCCTCATTTTTCTTGTCTTCCAAAACAGAGAATTTACGAGGACACTCCAAAAAGGTTCACAAGCCAAGAATAAATTACTTGTCAGCTGACTATCGACTTTCCCATCAAAACATCAACGAGTGGAACTCATTACCTCGGCACGTGGTTGAGGCTCTATCCGTCGACCCTTTCAAAAGGAAGATGGATCAACTGAGAGGCCGTAATTGTTAGGACTAACACAGACCATCAAGCCTCCTTTCTTTTCCAAACTGAAACTGGAACAAACTATCGTGGTTTTTGCCCTAACCTGCAATGTTGGAAAAACAACAATCTTTAAAGTAGAGTACGAATTACCATACCTGAACCTTTCCGTTAAGTTTCATCAAGACTTTGATGCTACCTTCAATATTGAAATCTGATTGTAGTTTATTTTACTTAAGTGGCGGCATATAAAGTAGTTCCCTCACTCTTGACTATATATGAAACATTTATTTTGACTATCACATCTCGTTTGCATTCAAAAAGCATATTTATCAGTACAGAGGCTTCAAATAAACAAGTGTTGAAAATTCCAAGATTAAACCAAAAGAGGCAAGGGTTTTTCTTACCAAATTATCCATTTTACGTGGATTATCATATACACGTAAAGGGATTAATGGGAAGGCACAAGGGTTGTTAACTATTTAAAACATTCCTAAGGTATACTCATGGAAACCATGTAAGACGCAACTGAAACCAAATACGATAAAGTTAGCTATGTCTGTAGCACGTTCATAGTAAGATCACGTATGGTTTATTCAAAGCAGCTAGTGCATATCAGTCACATCAGTCTAAATCCTTGAAAAATGCACGGGATGAACTAAACACGTTCACTAGACACCGAAGATTTAGATTTTCGACATATTCAAAACCTGACTGAGGTGATGCTAAAAGCTAAATGGGTCATTACCATGAGTCGAATCACCTTGAAACATAACTATATCAATGGCATCCTCTCTACTAAGCCTGAGTTTCACATAAATTACATCCTACATACCTATCGCCTAACTTATTCTCTCTTTCTTCCCACTAGATCGGGACACCTTAGAGGACATAGCAGGCGAGTAGAAAAACCAAGAACGAACAAAATACCGGTGGCATACAGGTTTTCACACCAAGTCACCAATACATGGAACCTGCTGCCTGAAGCAGTGGTGTCCGCGCCTTCAATTGAATCTTTCAAGAAAAGACTGGACACTCACAGAAGCATACTAGAAAAGAAATAACATAGGCCGTAGGCCTTCTGTCCTTACTACACAAATCTGAATCTAAAGACATTGTAGGTTAACTACTCTTAGTGTTAATACATATGATCCTCACAAGTTCGAATGACTTTTAAGATCAAAAAGTGACAACTTGTACCCAATTACCAGTTTAATAGTTCAACTAGAAAGTACGTCAACGTTTTAGAAAAAATAGTCATGAATAGACTCATTACTCAATAGTAGCACAAAATCTACCAGCATACAAGTCTTTCACTGACGACACATTCCGATCACGTTTGAAGAACTTCATTTTGGGCCTATATTAGGTTATGACTAGAAAGATAACCTGCATTTAATGCATTATTCACTTAAGTAAACAATGAAAGGTGTCTTATATGGAATTTACATGATGATTTAAACTAAGGAAACATGAAGGATTAGCAGGGGATTTTTATTAAATTAAAATATGAGACAAGAATAAATAGAGAACTGGATCAATAAAAAAACTATGACGACTGATGCATCTCAATGTATGATATAAGGCTCCCTAGTCTACTTCATCTCAAACATTAGACTAAATGAGAATCTAGTGTTTCCTCTTCAGTTAAAACTGATACAAATCCAAAAACTTTTAAATCGTGATACCATAAACTCCGGTTCATAAATAACTTTCAGATGTGCTTGACGACTGGAAGTCTCCAGAACTTATAACACTGTTTCCTTTTCACAGCACATGTTGCCTTCGGAGACCCTCCCAGCAAGTTCATACATAGGGCGAAAATCCAAGTCTCTTCGTTTCTGAAAAATCAAATCATCCAAGAGAACTTTACGACACAAAACCAAGAATTAAGATACCTACAATGCATTGATTTTCTCCCGTTTTATTTAGTTTGACGATTATTATAACGAAAGTACTATCTATTGCCTTATTAACTCACCCGTCAAAAAGAAAGACGCACAGAGCCCCAGTCAACATGTGCCAAATATGCAAAGAATCTAATGAACTTCAACACGAGCACTGAAATACAAAAATATTTCCGAGAAAAGGAAAGACCATTTGAACTTTATGATAAATACTTTGTGTGCTTCCACCGTCTCCAGACAAATTACACTCCAATGATTATTTTTACTGTACATAAACGGAAATAGAACATGAAATGCCTAACCTATACAGTAACATTCTACACTAAAAAGGTAGTGACATTCAGCCTAAACAATGTTTAAGCAAAATGTAAATATTTACATAAATACTTAGCAAAATTTCAAGTACTAAATACTTAAAAAGGCTAAGCATACCATACCGAATAAGCTCAGTAGTAGTGTATAGTAAACCAAGGTCCGGATGAACCAACTAAAATTGTCGATGAGACGTCAAACGTTTTCTGGAGATGACATTTCTGCAAAACCGAAATCGTGCCAGTAAAGAAATGAACTTCATTATTCCTCATCGAAACGTTTAAACAATCAAGTCCCGACGATATTTGTGGAACATGATAGCTCGTTTAGAGTTACGAAACTATTGGTTTACTACTTATTCAAGCGTCTTTGAGAAGGATTATGATAAACTAATCAGAGATAAATGAAAGTTGCTGATTTCGGATTGACTTCCTTGATCTTGACAGTAGCGAAAACAGTCGTTGATAACTAACATCAGGTCTGCCAACTCAATTAATCGACTCAATCCAACTCCAGCTAAAGATCTATTCTACGTAGGCCACATAGCACTAACCCTAAGAATCACGGATATGCTAGTCTTGGTAACACCTATATAATCTAGGATCGGTGACTTGATCAGATCAGAATTCAGGAGTGAAATTCAAATATCCAGTAGAAAGTCGATAGATCAATAAAAATGTGATCTAAGTTGGCTAGTTATTGCAAAGGATGCACGGTTCGGCGTTCCCAGTTGTGATCTGATACGGATGCTTGCCCGAGTACCTTCGACTAGAGTGTGTCCATCGTCCCCTTGCCTTTCGATACTCTAATAAGCTAAATGGCACATAATAAACGTCGAATAAAAAGTTCGATTCCTGGCGTCTGTTTGCAGGTTTTTACATTTTCCAGGCGTGATGCAAAAAATATTGATAATGTAAGTGCATGTTGAAATACTTTTGTGCTTACTCACGCAACAAAAAGCATGACGAAACTATAGTATGTGTATATGCAACAGCAAGAAACGTTTCACAAAAACGGTGTTTTGCGTTCGATTATTTCGTAAAAAACAATACACAAGCACGTCGGTATATCTAGAGATAGATTGTTTTTAGTCGAATATGTTTACATTTAAGCATGTTAAAAATAAGCCTCTTCTTGTCATGTTTTGTCTGTTACGAAAAATTGTAGATGAAACTGTAACAGCTTAGGTTGGTTGGTTAAGAGTTGACCCCAAACAACCAAGCATATGCCAAAACAGTATTGTTCAAGTATTCATTCACTTCCTTATTTTGTATAAGCGTTATATTCCCTATTATCTTATGTTGAATATTGAGAGCCTTTGTTTGTCTGAACAGATAATCCCACGCTCCACTGTGACTGCGCGAAGATCAAAATAAAGACCTATTCACTACTTGTCTGGTTTTTTCTATCAATAGCACGAGGGTTACCTTAAGGCACGAAAAAGCCAATTGGTTGTAGAAGGTAAAGCACCATAAAGAAAGGGATTATAGTTGGTCGATGTTGATTTCGCTTTGAGTTCCGTTCTTATCTGTGACACAATACCTAGGTTCATGTTTAGTAACCTCATGATGTCCTTCGTATGCAGCTTCCAATGGTCGATGTACTGGGTTACATGTACAACATGCCGAGGGCGAGAAGTAGCAAGTTAAACTGAGCACATGATAGGCAACCGTGACCTGGTTTGGATGTTTGGCCGGATGCTTTCATCTAACCTGGGTCCGGCAAAACTAATGATATCAGTACCAATGTCAAAGACCTAAAGAACCATGTATTTTGAGAACATTTTAACCGTTAAAAAGCATCGCGACAGCCTCAAGTAGCTAGTCTTTTTCAGAAAAACAAAACTCTTGCTGCTCTTCTTCAAGATGAATTCACTCATCATATTCTGAGATTCATCTTTAAGTGCTATGTTATTCATTAGTATTTGCACTCACAAACGTTTGTTGACTTAAGATACGTGATCTGGAGCACAACCACTTAATGAATATCAAGTTAATAGTTTACAGTAACCATATTTGTTAGTAAACAGTCATGTTTGCAGCCAAATTATAATAAATTTTTATTATTTCCGTCCATTATTAGATAAATACTTGTGTAAAAGCAGAACACGGCCCGAGTTATTTGCTCCAAAATGTTATACTTCGTGAAAGCAAAAGAAAAAACGACAAAGATGAGACATCAAGTAACTGTCGATTAACACTTACGACGTCGAACAAAATGAAACATTTTCACCAGTCGCTCAGACGCAAAAACAATGTCTGGGTCAGTAGTTTGTTGAGCAAATAGCTGGTAAAAAATATTCATCACAATATAGTTGATAAATATCTTCAATAACTTAAATATTATGAAATTTATATGTTGACAATTACTAGGCAATTACCATATCTCTAAATTGCGTCTTTTTATGCCATCTTCCAATCCAGTCACGGCTGAAACATGCGCTCCATCCACGGGGATTTCGATACCATCATACGAGGTTCATTGGCCTCGCTAATGAAGAATAAATGGAAATCAAGACAGCTGTCTGCAAGCGAACATAGAAGTCAGAATCCTCAATACAAACGTAAAAAAAGTCTAACTATACGAAGCTGAAACTAAAAAACGACCACAACCGTCATCAAAAAACACGTATTTATAAATAATTGTCTACAAAAGATACACAGCGTCCGTTGGTCTGATACCATCAGCAGCAACCTACTGCGGAATGGAACAAACCAGCCTCCAGCTGAAGACGAAATAAGGAAAAATGCTGGAAGTGGATAGGATAAACATTACGAGGATCACCAGGTTGTAAAACGAGACAAACGCTAACTTCACATCCTGAAGGAAAACGAAAAATAGGAAGAATCAAGTACACAATGCATCGAGAATTGCAGGTAGACATCAAAAGGATGAATAACAACCGGACTCAATTGGGAAGGTTTGTCCAGGACGAAATTGGGTGGAGAAAACTGCTGAAAGACATACGCTCCATGACGAGGAGTTGTAGAATTATGATTTACTTCGTTGTTAGTACTGCTCTAATAATAGACCTAATCCTATAATTGTAGATCTGTCATGACGTAACTACCTAGTCTATAAGATGTTACGTGGGAGTCACATCACCGTCTACACCAACTCACTAAATTGTAACAAATACCAATACATGATAGAGGACAAACTAAGGCTGGAGACAGGACAGTTTACTTAATATGAATAAGAGATATAAGATAACATTCAGCAGGGACCACGCCTGCATGGCCGAGCCTTGCCATGTGATCAACTCCAATCCATTCAATTCATTCTCACCGCCCATTTCGTCGTTGGGTTTTTCTCCATGTTAAGTGTTGAATGTCTATTTCCCACATTGTCTCGTATTAGAGCCCAGTGTCACTACAGACTATTGGAATTCTCTACTAGAAAACGTATTATCAGCACCTTCTGCTAATATATTCCAAACGAGATCGGACCTGTCCGGTGTTACAAACTGCAAGGATTAATATAGGTCGATAGTCCTACTATCTTTACTGCTGACGACTGAAGACTGTAGTTACCTATTCTATGTATGTGTATTAGCTACACAAAAAATAGTTCGATAGGCATTTAAACTAGTTTTGGTTAAGTAACTCCGGGTAGTCTATTTGGGTATTCCCTGGAACTTGTTGCCAATTAAGTGGATTAAGGTAAGCAGCATTTGACAATTCTGCTGTAGTGGTAGTAGAATTTCCGAAGTAAATGGTTTTATAGGTCTTTGATACTGATATTGAGCGTATTGTTTTCACTAGACACATACTGGGTCGGTATACTTTGATTATGTGAGTGTTACGTGAAAAGCATTGTCAAACTCCGGGTACCTGCGGCTTATTTACTGTGATGTCCATCTCCTTCGACGACAATTCCCCTTAGATAAAGAAGGCCTCAACATGTTAGCCATTAGTCAGTAATTTTTTCGTTCCCTTCTATTCTCAACCTTTGTTCTGATGTACTTTGGGATTCTTGTATCAGAAGACGTGTTGTGGAACGTTGCCCAAAACTCTTTTATTAAGGTTCTCTTAAAGACAAAATACCGGACGTCGAGGATAAGAAAGTGGAAAAAATATTTGAATTACAGGCCAAGTTCAGTTGTATGATATCTAAGGTCCTGGTAACAGTAGTATATCAGTTGGATGGCTTACTCAAGAGTTGCATGGTGTAGATGCTTGGCCGAGCGCTTTCAGCTAGCTATGTCTAGCGAAATGGATACGACCAACATCAGTTTCTAGTACGAGAACTATTTATTTTTGGATTTACTTATCACTGTTTAATTAAATCATGAGGACTATGAGACATGACGCGTCGGCAATCTTTCTGCGTTTATAAGTCTCTGGTAGTCATTTCTTATTCGTTGCCACATAAATATAGTCCCACTCACTAGTGTCTCACCTATCAGTATCCTAATCGCAACACTGTGAGATTATTCCTTGGTACACCCTAGGTTTTTCGACTCATTAATTTTATTTTTATATTGACTTTTGGCGAACTAATTCACCAGATGCATTGTGAGTAGCTTGTTCAAAATGGAGTCTTTGAAATTATCATCCGAAAATCTAGCCAATGAACTCTGAATGTTGTTGTTCCCTTTATAGTTACTTACTTACGCCTTCTACACTTCGCGAAGGAGCATAGGCCACCCACCATCACTCTCCATCCAACTCTGTCATGAGCAATCCTTTTCAGTTGTTCCTCGCTGCTATTCATCCTTTTCGTGTCTCTTTCCAGTTCTTAATACAGTATGTCCTTTTGCGTCCTTCTTCTTCTTTTCCCTTCAGGACTCCAAGTTAATGCTTGCCTTGTGATGAAGTTTGATAGTTTCCGTAATGTATGTCCTATCCACTTCCAAAGCCTTTTTCTAAGTTCTTCAACTTGTAGCTGCTTTGTACTCTTCCGTAGTATGCTGCTACTGATGGCAACTGTTTATAAATAATTTTACCTTATTTATTATGGTGGCAGTGGTTCTGTAGAATTATTATCTACTTTGTTATTAGTACTATAACAATAATGGACCAATTCCTAAAATTGTAGATTTGTCATGACGTAACTACCCAATCTATGAGATCTTACGTGGAAATCATGTCATTGTTTATCCTGTCTCGTCCTATCGTAAGAACCACCACTGTGATGTTACCTACTTCTGGAGGTAGAACAATATATTTAGTATGAATAAAAGAGATTAGTTACACAAGTGTGACCGCGCCTGCAGGGCTGAACCACGCCATCCGATTTATTTAATTAATACTCCCTGCCTTCTTCATTGTTGATCCTTCCACTGTGTTAATTGTTGGATATGGATTTGCCCAGTTATCTCATGTTCAGCTTTGAAGATGGTGTGGTTAGGATCAATTCCACTACAGAGGCATGTTGTGGCTGAAAATAATGGCATAAACGACAAGCGAAGACAAGAGATAATTTTTATTCCCATATATATTCGACTGCTTGGTCACAAGGTGATGCAAAAGAATGAAAAGAACCAAAAGTATATTTCGGCTCGGGTGTTTCATATTTCGAAGGATTCATTTTTAGATTTTGTGCGGCCAAACGTATGTGGAACGTTCGATTCAACTGACAAACAGTAATTGTCATTATGCATATGGACGAAAGGTAAAATTTACCTGACGTAATTTTATACATTCGGTAGCAATATTTTCGGGAAATATATAGAATATATGACTGAATCGGAGTAAGACGGCATATAATGTCAAACGTATTGCTACAAGGTGAGTAATATTTGTGTAATGTTTCAAAAAGATGAATAAAAACTATTTTCAGAGTAGATACTGAATAAATTAACTTGCTTTCTCACTTCAGACTGTTACTCTGCAGCGGCATTGGGCCCTAACCACATAATATTCAAAGCTGAACACGAGACAACTGGGAAAATAGATGTTCAATATGTAACGCGGAGAAAAACCCAGCGATGTAGAAGGCGGGAAGAATGAATAGGAATGAATTCGAATTAGTCGGATGGCATGGCTCAGCCTTGCATGATATGCCTTTCCTTATTGTTCCCTGGATAAAAGGTTATGCCCTTCCATGTAGTTTGTAAAAGCCATCTGAATAACTTTTTTCCACCAGTTTTACAACTGCACTGGCTAGACTAACGTATCGATAGTTACTAACTACATCTCTACTCTCCACCTTAAAGACCGGACTGATTATTGCGTTTTTTCAGTTTTTAGGCAGTCTTAACTGCTGCAGAGACATATCAAACACTATGGTTATAGGTTCAGAACTTAAATTCTATAGGACTTTCATAAACCTAGGATGAATATCGTCAGGTTTGAGGCTCTGAATTAGTCCTGAGACAATACCTTTCTCAATAACTACGGGATCCACCAACAATCCACCACAATCTTAAGTATTCTTTGACCGTTCCTAATTGCTGATAAAAAACGCTCTGTTGAAACGTGCTGATAAAGCCTCAGTCCTCTCGGCATCATCTCTTGTCAATATTAACGGATTTTCTTCTGCCAAAAGTGATGGAATTCCATCACCTCTCTGATTTCACCTTTATGTATACGAGAATAACCGTTTCGGACTATTTTTGCAATCCATAACCAATTGTTTTTCATGTCTAGTCTTATTTAATAACGCTTTGTAAACAATCCTTGTCTTACAATAACTGAATCTGTTCTGTTCTAGACCGGTAAAGATGAAGATATTCCAACGATTTTTCCTACGTTTTAGAAGTTCCTTGACTTTTCTAGTTATTCATGATGGGCAGTTGTTCGATCTACGTGTTACCAAGCATTGTATAAACGAAGACGTAATTGAGCTAAACTTTCCTTCATGCTTCTTCAACTAATAAAATATTATCTATTGATCAATCTGTCTTAACAGCGCACATCCGAATGGCTGATGTGTTAGCTCTCCATACATTTGGACGAGGCTTAACGTGATCGTATATCATTTCACTAGCTCTAAACGTGAATGACAAAACAGCATGATCGCTAATCACTAACAGTGGAAGAATAATTAGGTTGGCAATATCCTCAGTCTCATGTGTGATCACCAAGTCTAAAAAAGAAGAACCTTGGTTTGCACCAAAGCGTGTGGGTTTGGATACATGTGCAATAATGCTTGCTCTATTACCGTTGTTGGGAGCCTGATATCAAACGTGTTTATAGGTCCTACCATGGCCATCCCAGTTCAACTAATATCGGACGCATTAGAGTCTCCTAATATCAAGCATCTGTTATTTGCGTTTCGTAGCTGAATGTGCTGTAAAATAAAGTCATCAGCTAAATAAATTGGGTTGTGATATATGACACCGAGTATAAATGTACATCATCCGATATCCTACTCAAAGCTAATAACTTCACAAGTTCTGTTGTCATGAGAGTCTCAAGCAAAGGAGCGGATATTTATATTAGCGGCTATATATAAAACGACGACACATCTACATCTATGTCTATCACTTCTTAGGTAGTGGTATCCGGATAATCCTGGAGTGATTTCAAAGTTGTGGACTAAACAAGTTTCCGTCACAGCTGCAACAAGTGGCCTTAATTTGTCCACTAATGTTCCTAGTTCGTAGAATTTATTTCTTAGACCTCGAAGATTGGCATATAAAACTTATAGGGAGAAAGGTCTATCCACGCAGGCCTTAGTAGCATTCACTTCCAAGACCAGACTATTCGAAAACACACTAAGTGGAGATTTTCCCCACCAATTTGTTGATGGGTTTCTAGTTCAACTAGTGCTTAATTCCCTTTTATTTTATCTTCTAGAGACATATGACGTCTTACTGGAATTTTGATATTGTCTCAACAAAAGATCATGTTGCTTTTGTGACCCTAGGATTACCTTAAAGAGTCTATAAGGTCGTGGTTTACCACTGTCGTTGGTTCTCTTACCTTTTCTTATCAATTTTTGACCTGAACTCCTTTAGATTTATCTGGTAAGGTGCAACAGATAAATTATTCGAGCCTTTCCGAATCATTCGCAAGTCTAATTTGGTGATCAGGATGGCCTGACTCCGACAAATTACGCACAATCATTTTTGATGGGATTAAATGCTCAGAAATGCCAAGGTGGAGTTCTGTATTACCATAAGACTTTGGTAGTGTATTTTATGACTCAGAATGAGAGTTCACCACCGACTTGACACTCAAAGGTGTTCCGCTAATAGCTTTTTTCTTTTCACTTCTTTTTCTCTGTACTGCTGACCGTTTTCCATCATTCAGGACAGCCACACCGGGACTATTTGGAACGGTGACGGTTTTATTCATGTCTATACTTTCTACTGAAGATGCATGACTAACTACGCCAATATCAAGTGAAACTTCACTCCTCGTTAGTTTCGACAGAAATTTTACTTCTCCGTCAATCACAGTCGGGTGTTTTACGTGTCCCGTATCTGCACGTACTACACTGAGATATTCTTCACTGTTAGTACTCGTTTTACCACAGCAGCGGCTATCTTTCTTCTTATAGGCCAAAGCTAAAAGGCTCATAGCTTCCTGGATCAGCAACGTCTTATACGTAAAGCAAAACATACAAAGTCAGTATGAATTAGGATTCAAGCATCTTTTGTATATGATGGGACAAAAACGGGTACACACTTTATGGAACCACTTTTTGCACTCATCATATTGCATTCCTTCTTCCACGGAGAATAAACGATTTGACTGTCTGCATTTATAAGTAATGCTAACCATTGTAATAAGATTAAGGATTGAAACACAGTATGACCACAATATGAACACAAATGTCGGAGTCAGTGAAAGAGAGGGCTCAAAAAGACAAAGTTCAGCTAAACTTCAAATCATGGCCGAAATATTTAGAGTGAAAGCAGACCAGGAATGCTTTTTGATGCAACAAGTACAAAAAAGCTGTGACTGGACTTTTTGGAACATGCGCGAAAAGAACACTGTATACTTGATATCGCGATCGTTTAAAAGGATGTCTGGAAAGTAGTTGTCACATTTCGGTGTACTCTAATAATACATGTTTATGTGAAGCAAGACCGGAATGATTTTTCTGGGCTGGAGTAATTCTAGTCGTTTAAATGTTTCACGAAATAGCATTTGTTCAGGTCGCAATTGGACTTTCAGTTGTGTTCTCGTGATTATTAGTGCCTTGTCTTTACCGCAGATTACGTACCAGTAAGTAACCCTAGCTCAACTTATGATGACTGTTCAATATTATATTGAGTACCTAAAAGTCCTAAGTATTTATTTATAGGGGTTACATTATGAAATACAGTAAGTAGTTGTATGAACTTCAGTAAATACTTCGTCAACAAACGTGTGAAGCTTAAAGCAACCATATGGAGCCAAAGATGATATCGTGCATATGTTTGTTCCTCTCACTCCCACCTTCTATATACTCTTTAGCCTCACGCTTTTGCTGATCATGGTGGTTTGAAGGTTATAAAGGTTAATAAACAGATAAACGCTCAAGATTGATCGTTACTTATAAGAACTGGTGACCCTTGTTGATCGCCGTGATATGTGGTACTGTGACAGTCCAGTCTCCCTTCTAGTTTATCAATAGAGGTAGATGGTTTGAAACTCGACACTACCCACTCATATTAACCTCTTAAAACCAACATAAGTGTATATTATCAGTGATTACACTCTGATCTCTTTTATTGCGATGTTTTCTAATCGCTGTCTTTTCCAAAGTTTCTAGTATTTGGACCGTATCTAAGGCTACGTAGTCCTGTCGGATGTTCAGTTTCAGTTACCCAAGCGAATATTGGTGCAGTTATCTAACGAAATGGGATCTTATATTGATGAGGATACTGGTGTTAATTCAAACATCTCTGAAATAGCACTACAGTCGGACACTTCTATGAGTGAACAACAAAATGCTCGTATGTATCTTTTCCCTGTTTATTCGAGTTGCTATTACTGCGATTTGTATTTCATAATATTTTGCTCTCGTTTTAATGGTGTGATCGGCAAAAATTTTGTCAACATGTGCCTAACTTCACTAAAATTTTCATAACATTGTCTTAGATTTTATACGACTCACATAAAAGTACATCTCTATTGGCGAACTGTCATTAGCATACGTATCCGTTCGACTCCAAAGGTCTCGAACACAGTCGTTTTTAATGTATTTGAAAATACTTCGTGCTTTGAAAAATCATGTTTGCTAATGATATTTTTTAACGAGTGATTTGGTGTTTGGATTGTGATCGCACAGCGTTCCTTCATTTGTTTAGTTATTCTATGGCAACGAGCATTCAAGAAGGTTAAGTCAATAGACCTGGACTCATGGAGCAATCTACCATGGGATAAATGTCCTGTTCGGTGCGCCCTCAGACACCGGTACAGCGCAATCAAGAAGAAATGGGTTGTGGATGAAGTGCAGATCAAAATGGAATCAGAACCGTTCGACCGTGGAGCAATGCGGGAATGCTTTAGAATGTACGTATATATTTAGTGTTTTCACTCTTATATCTACACGTTCCGTACTTTCACCTATTTTTATTCGTACTACTGAACATAGTCTAACAAAACGCAATCTTCTATTTTACTATCAAAATTGACTGCTTTCTCAATAACTTCTGTAGGAAAAAACAGAGTCAGAGAGCATCAGGTACTAATGACTGGCACCATACGTCAAATTATGTGGCCAAGCGATACATAGCCCCTACAGACAAACAGATATACTTTGACGATGTACGTCTACAAATGGAAGCAAAGTTATGGGGTGAAGCTTTCAATCGCCATAATCCTCCCAAAAAGGTACGTTTTTCATTTCTTCAGAATATCTGAACACATTTAATATTTGTATTTAATTAATTCCTAGTCTGATTATTTATTTTTTGTTTACTAAGATGATAGTAATTACTGACTTCGCTCAAAGCATGATCTCCAACATCCTCTTTATGTAGCTCTTTCCAAAATATTTCATTTTTTCATGTTTTATGACGGACTTTTTATTCGTTTTATAAGTACGAAAGCCACTTTGAGATTTGCACCATCCGCGATATTCTGATTACTGACTATATTTTATCAGGTACACAGAATCCCTGTTGTCTGTTGGTGATAACTTGAACTATAGTAAGTCGCATATGTATTTGGTGCCCCCTTGTACCAATATTTCTGTGTTCAAATAAATAAATAAGTTATCTATTTAATAAAGAAGTATATTGCTCGGTAGTTCCCTCTGGGTATTTTTCGATTATGCGACATGTCCATTGAGGATATCGTAGGTACTACATTGTGTTTGTTTTCAAAGGATTATTGGAATTCGATGAAATCGTGTCTCCGTCTTTGGTACTACAATAATTTCTACCATGTTTTTTTATTTATTCCTGTGCTCTTACAAATCGTAACAACATGGATCGCTAAACTTATACTGAGTTCTACGTTGATATAACTCGCTATCAGTAAATTTATATTTGATTTTAAAGGTGGATATCTTCCAGCTGTCTATTCTCGAATTGTCTCCTGACAGTTCTGTTGGTAGTGATCAATTAGATTTTTCACCAGTATTTTTTCATATTGAACGCTTTATGGAAGGAGAATATCGTAAATACAACTCAAATTCTGGCTTCGTTGATGAGTGCTTACGTAATACCCCACAGGTATGTGTACTAGACAAATCTATTTATTTAAAGCAGTCATCATATTACTAAGAACCACTAAAACCCATAGATTACTGTAGAACCCTCCAGCTAGTGTCTATTGTCTGTTATTTATACAATTAAATCTAAGGCTTCCTAGTCCTATAGCTTATGTGTTACCAATGGTTTAGGTCAACTAGTTGACATTTCTTAAATCTTTAGTTTTAATCTGCATAATTTCCGAAAAACTATTTAAGTTCATAAACTTTGAGGGTTTGGTGATTTGTTTTTACAAATATCGCTTAAGTATTTGGCCTATTAGTAACTATACAATTGTAGTACTGCACCCACGGCGCTGTTGGGTAGTAAGGGCAGCCTTTTTAGTCAATTTTGGTAGTCGGCGAGACCGAATATATCCACCATTCTGCTATGAACCGGATTAATTAGATTCCGATTTCGGGGTTCACTAATATCTTGCGGGCTGTCTAATGTGTATGAATACGTATCTAAATTACATGAGTCTCGACTTTTGTATGTACGTATGTAAGTATATGTCAGACGGACTCGCACAAGGAACGTAAGTTAAAACATTTGCCCTATATTTAATGCAATCAGCAGCCGTATCCTTCAGGTTAAATACAACAAAGATGGTAGCAAATACTAGGTAGAGGTGACCATTAAACCTCTCTGGAAGAGTTTATGTTTACGTGTATGGCATGAAGTGCAGGGGCATTACGGCGGCCATATCACTGAACACCTACGTGAGACGCTTCTTTAGTTGGTCACCCTAGTGATCTCACGTTCATCCAACTCGACCAGTAGTCAAATGTCATTTATTATCCTTATCATCTGCCTCAATTACATTCTACGTACTGTAGCTAACATCATCTGGTCCGGTTGTGACAAGGAAATCCTTATCATATGAATTCTTAACATCGATCACATGGTCATCTAAGTAATAGCACCGTTGATAACTTGGCAGTTATGGTTTTGCCTATCCAACTAAATGGTTTATGACTGTTATTCAAAGTACCCAGACATCTCTTTAATTTAACGTATCCATTCACTGCGGTCGAGGGTTACAGTTCGCATTGAGCGCACTTTATGCGGAAACTCATTTAATTGTTAGTAGGACTGTCGTTATGTCGAATATATCTTAGTTCGACTCCTGTATGCTGTTCCCTTATGATAGATGTATCTCATTAGTATGTATGATTCTAGACTAGCTAGCCTAGTTCGCATTTAGTCAAAATATCATTACTAAATTTCTGTAGGAATCGCCTGAGTGGAAATTTGTGAAAAAATAAAGATATACATATATTTCAAACAAAACGATTTAATCAGTGTTCTTAAGAACATGGCCATCTTGCTTACTTGTGAAATGTTCATTTCTTACTAGACCTTTAGCCACTTCACATTTGAACGTTCTGGTCACCGATTGTTAGTAGTAGATATCCAAGGTGTTGGAGACTTGTACACTGATCCTCAAATTCATACATCAGATGGAGTGGGCTACAATGACGGCAATCTAGGTACGCGGGGTATGGCTTTATTCTTTCATAGCCATAGATGTAATCCTTTATGTAAATGGCTAGGATTGGCCCAATTTGATTTGGCACCCTCTGAGTTAGATGAGCCAATGCAGTGTCAACAAACTGACCAAATTCCACCTAACCCCTCAGAAAAAGAAGTCAATCAAGTGAGCTTACCTTATTTTTTGTCAATTTACTTATTACAAAATTCCTTGTAATTAATATCCACTTTTTCTCTTGATTGGTTGTCATATTTCATGGAGTTAAAAGTAGATTAACTGCTTTGTATTTATAATTGGAACCCACATAACTAAGTCGTTTTAGCTATCCTTCACTTGTCTAGATATTGATTGATAAGTAACGGTGAAAATTATTTACGTTGATGGATGTCGAAAAGTGAAAGTTTACGTGAAGCTGGTTCATGCTTCTATGCATAACTGTCTGTATTCGAAAATATCTATAGATAAACTGTATCATCTCATAGTCTGATGTAAAACTTAGTATAAAAGCTTGCTGAATGGCCACTGAATTACCTAGAACTAAGCTCATTAATTGATTTGTTATTAACCGTTAGTTGATGATAAGGTTATCCTTCTGTTAAGTCTCCCACTCCCTCTATTGCTTAGTACACCTCAGACACTACTTCGCTCGACTGGTCCCCAAATCAAAATACAGCTTAAATAGGAACATAATTATATTCTAAACAAAACTGCAAGTTTCATACAGTAGAATGTCAGTGTATTCATGATTCTTCATAGAAAAATCCTAGTCTTCTGCAATTTTCCACCAACTCTGATCGGCTAAAAATGGCCTAGTCAGTGTTTCATTTGGATCCTATCTAGAAAATATAATCAAATCTATACCCTGCTAACACCTAGTCGTGGAATACATCAGACTAGAAAAAAGTATCATCTTTTTATCATTTCTAAATGTTCATTCACTTCACGTTGGTTTATAATGAGAAATATACTAATTATTTAAAAACATATAATCACCATCTGTACTTTAAACTTCACTTAAGATCAAAATTAGCATAAAACAAAATACCTATGAAACTTATAAAGTCCGAAAAAACAATCCTTTCTTTGTCACTACCTCATTTTTAGATTGACCTAAGTATATATGGGATGTTTCGCAAATCGAAATTTCGTCGACGCACAATCAGTTTAAATAATCAGATGTCCTGTAAATCTCCGTCTCACTTATATGGTCCGACAGTTGTTCGTTCATCTGAGAGCATGCTCATGTCGGCACTTTCTGAAACTCGTCGTCGTTGTGCTAGTGTCTCACTTTGTGATCATCCTAAATCTGTGGGACAAAGTTCGGATTGCGTATCATCTTTCCATTCAGTAGGTGACGGCCTTTCGTTCGACAGCCCTGACGCTCTGAAGCTTCGTGAAACATGTCTAAATCCCCCTTTCCAGCTATCAAGCCGCCAACTTTCACCTGATTTAAATATATCTGGTCACGGACAGAGCTGTCTACAACCAATGCAAAATTTCAGTTCGGTTGTCCCCAAGCAACCGGATTCGAGAAATCGTGCAGCATCTGGTGACTCAGGATATGTTGGACGAATTAATTTAATCCAACCTTGTTCCGACCTACCTGTTAGTAGATCTCACGAAATCGCTTCTGGATTCGATCAAAACTGTATGGGTTTTTGTGGTGATTCTACCTCAGTTGATTTACCAGTACGTATATCTCAATCTAATGTCCTGGGTATGCGGTCCTTAGAATCTCATCCATTAGTGGATGAAGCCTTTCCTACGGGATCAAATTATTCAATTTCCAATCGTAGTATATTTATTTCCAAAAGACAGCGTAATATTAGTGAATCTAGTGATGTAGATGCGGAAGAATGTCATCGTGTGCCAGGAAATTTGTTGTATCAGCTAATGCATGAAAATCACAAACCCAGTTGTGCCGATCATCCTACAAACTTGGATCAAGAAATTGGCCATTCCATTCTTGGGCAAGTAAGTCCAAATTAAATTTATAAAAATTAAAGAATAAGGTATATTCCTTTTTTAATGAAACTTATACACAATCCGATACTTTGTCTAAAGTTTCCTGGAATTCAGTCAAATCTTCCTAATAAAGTTATCTGACAAATAATCATTCTTTCAATGAATTTGTTAAATAATGCTCATAATGAAAATTAAAATATAATTTATGTTACCACATTATTTAAGCAAACCGTCCACTGGTTGTCGTCGTAACACTTTATCAACTAATCTGGGATTGGTTAGTTGTTATACTTCCAGAAACTATCTGAGGATCCCCTTTTTGTTCATTCATTTCGGAAACTTTCACACTAAAATGGAACTCTATTCTAATGATGAATATTTGCTGACCACTTCATGCCTAACACCGTCTAAGTCTATGTGTTGTGAGTTATTCTTCTGAAAATCCCCATAATTTTGTCTACAAAATGGTCTTCGGTACATTCATTAAATATCCATTCAGCTTAAAGGCCCGTCATATTTGTTTTGTACATTTATAACATATACTCTAAATCAAATGTTTATGTTTTCTCCTCATCTCATTGAAGTGATTAAACTAGAAAGACTTGTCCCAGCTTCTTTTGTTTAATTCAAATGGTAACCACTTTTATACTTCTTACTGAAATATCTGGAACACTGAAAAACACATATGAATCAAATTTGGTAAAATCTTTCGAAGAATTTTCTTTCTGTTTTTACCTTTCTTCATGATTATAAAGTTTGAAGGGTGAACTCAAATTCAATCAATAAGTAATAGTATTTGAACCACACAATTTTTATGATGTTGAAAATATCACAATTTTAGATCGTTTACAAGAAATGTATTAATAAAATGTAAGTACATAATTAAGAAGCAAGCAATGAATTAGATTTCAGTAAAGATTGTTTAGTCCAAATAAACGTTTCTGGTTTCATCATCTTTCATTTTCTTTCCCTGAGCATTTAAGTTTTTCCCCTCTAGTAGATTTGTTCTACTAACTCATTAAAACTGTTATTCCAATTATTTGTAATGAACTAAAAAGTGAAGCTTTCTTTTTTATGAAAAAAAACAGATACATCACGAACTTGCTAGACTTCATGAAGCTGGACGTTTCATTCCAAATAAAGGTCAATGGTCACATGTAGGATTAAGAGGTGAAGGGATTTTCAACAAGGACTCTTGGGAAGTTAGTGAGTTCGAAGAATCACATAACGAAGCAAATAATGACCCAGTAACTTTGATCGATTGGTCAGCTGTCCTATTCCATGAAAGTCACGCTGCTCAGCTAGGCTGTCTGGAAGCCATGATAGTCATGGCACATTATTATCTTGGTTTACCAACTCAGCTGCTACTGGAGTGCCCAATAAAAGTAAGTTATTTTGTTTCTTAACTCACTTTTTGTGAGATATTCATCATTATGGAATACCAATCACAGATCTCTCAGTTTCAGTTTCCGACAGACTTGAAACAAAGTATCTCAATGTAAGACGTTATAATTTTCTACAATATAATTTTACACTATATTCCAGTTACCCATTTTACCAGTGTGTTTACTTCGAATACCTTTGCTTTCAGGTTTATTTCTAGTAACTTTAACACGTAGCATACAAGTTAGCGACTCAAATGGATATCATACGGTTGTAACAGAACTCATTTAAGTTGGACTTTCATTTATCTTCTAGGGGCGATGCTAAGATAATGTTATTCTTTATTTATAGACTGAAGTTTTAGTCGTAATAATCCCATCTTTATCCTGGGTCAAAAGAACCTGTATGTATGCAGTAAATTTTGTAAGTTGTATGCAATTGTCGCTTTGTTAGTGATCCAGTTTTAGAGATCTTGCTTAACTGTCATGTTCTTTTTTTTGACAACGATGATGAAAGTCATCTTCCGAAATCTAGACTGCTTTTATCTCAGTATGATCAGTTTCATTACCTAACGTATCTTTATTTATCCCGTAATATAGTAATCCATGTGAAATTTCTACATGTAGCCTTAGCACTCAAAGCCCGTTACGTTAAGAATTATATGTCATATAAACTTGCTAATTTTGAAGTTTGTTCCCTAAACCACTGGTCCACATAGTTATAGCTACACTCATCACTAAAATCTGTAGCTTACTGTGTGAAATCGAAGTCTTACAGGTTTTCTGTATTTTATTTCTTGTGATAAGGACGACTGGTGTAAACTAGGTTTGCTTTCTATCTTGAAGTTGTATTCATATCTCATGTTGTAAATGTAATTTATGTTGATTCTAAAAATCAGTATTTAGGTACTTTTAGTTGATTTAGGGTCCTTCAAACATACAATTAACAAATATTTAAATACTCCACCATCTTAACCTTATGTTTATTAATAAATCTTTCGCTTATCAGCCGGATCCAAGTGATATACGTATTGGTATCGATCATCTTTGGCGTGCTGCAGAAGGTGGTGATCGTCGATGCATGATCCTACTCGCTCGCTATCTAGATTTGTCAGTTAATTTCCTAAATCCAGAACATCAACTCAACTTCATAACAAATTCGCGTGATATATTTATGCTTCCTGCCTTACAATCGTTTCTTAACAACGATAGTCATTCATTACTTCCCTCCATATCCCCTGATTCTTGGTCCGAAGCTATAGGGTGGTATAAACGAGCAGTCGATAGCGCGGTAGGTTCATCCGCTTCCAGTGATGGATGTACAGATGAAGGTTTAGATGCTGAAGGTCACTATGATGCTGCTGAAGATTTGTTGCCTGTTTATCGTATCTTGGCTCGTATGGCTGAAATGTATTCTGTCGGTGGCTTCGGTCTTAAGCAAAATTTTTATTTAGCTGGTGAGTTTGTACTTGTAAAATTTGATATTTTGCGCTGTATAACAAAGTAAGTAGTAGGGTTTGTCAATGGATACAGTATATTAGTAATAATTATTATTTCGTCCACCTTGTTGCTTTAAGAAAATAGCATGATTTACAGAATAAAATGAATTCATTTTATTTCGAGACTTCTCATCAGGCACGAATCACTTAAAGCTACGATAACTAATATTATTATGAACAACGTTGTTCATTCCTTAATCAATAAAAAGAAGTTTAAAGCAAAACAGAAAGACATGGGAAATGGGAAGAATACAAGGTATATTCTACACAGTTGTCAAGACTGAACAGTACTTATATGTTAAAAGTGAAGCCATATAATGAATTGTGTTTTGTCATAAGTAATGATCAGCAAACAAAATAAAAAAACGTCAACAAATTAGTGGTCTTGAAGTCAAGCCACCTAGTTAATATAAAATGGATAGCTTATGTAATAGATAAACGTTACACCACTATAATTATTTTGCATGGCAATTAGTTTACCACACTTAATGTGTGCAGAGGTCTGGCCGAGAACGCTTGATGGTAGTAGCCTCCGTTTATTATCTTGAATGCCTTTTTGATATCTACTTAATGTTCACTGTACATTAAGTGTTCAGTCATCTCACTTATAAACACTACTTCCCTTCGTTTCGAACTCCACCTGATTAACTAATGTATGGAAAATTTTGTTCATAATACTACTAGTAATCCTAACTTCAAGTCGCTCTCGCTTTATTCAAGTACTATTGCTTAGAAATCGGAAAGTGTCATAGATCAGTTTATTCGTTCGAAGCGACTTTTTTGTTGTTTTTAGTTTACCACTGTAGTTAATATAATCATTATTTCTTCCTCTTTTCTTCTGTTAAATTCCTGTGTACTGAAGTAGTGTCGAGACTTAGACTGTTCTATATGTATGTCAAATCGTTCGTTGTATTTTTTACCAGTGATTTTCAAACAAACGGTCTTCTCTAGATGTATAGGCTTGAAAAAGATCTAACGAAGATATAAGTTGTATAACAGTTTGGTTCAGTCTATTTCTTAATATTTTCATCAAATATCTGCCAATTAATTGTTCCTCCGTTATGAATAATTAAGGCTATGCCTATAGTGTTAAAAATTAGTTACCTACTTAATGCTCTCCGCGTTTACTTTATAGCTTAAAGACTAATTAATATTCGTCTATGTAGTCGCTATAGTTTTCATTACAACTTCTACTGTGGGTAAGTGTTCACCCAGGACATTGGCATAACAGTTTAAGACGTAAAATTCTGAAGAATAAAATGCAATCAATAGCGTTTATTTTTCTAACCTTAATTGTATTATTTTTTTCCTCTAATAACTTACAATGTAACCATATAATTTATTTTGTTTTTGGATTTCCTGTCAAGTTTTCGCGTCCAAAATAAATCCCAATCTTAGCAATATAACGTAAAGATGACTTAAAACCTTTTCCCCTCACTTTAATTTATTTTGCTTTCAGGAGATCTATTCACTCAAGCTGCAGAAATTGCGTCTGGTTCACTACAGGGTCGTCTGGCTGCAAGATATTTTGAGTTAGCAGATGAAGCATACTCATCAAGTGAACAAATCACAAACTGATAGGAAGTATATTTTGACTTCCTAGGCGTCAAAAGGCATGATTTAACATGCTCTATCCCTGGTGTGCTGTTTATACAGTTATAAACATCAGTACTTGTATTATTTTTTACTCTTTTGTTCGTGTAATGTATTTCTTACGATCCATAACACTAGTTTTGGCACTATATTGCAGTTCTTTCTATCTTACAGTCATCCGGTTGTACTACTTTTGTTTTGCTTGTTATATTTCAATACACATTTTTCATTTATATCATTCTGCACTTATCTTCGGTTTTTACTACATGTTCGATCAATTTTTTACGAATAGCTGCTGTTTCTAATTACATCTAATGCTATTACGTTATTGGCTCAGTTTGTAGTTTACTCAGTGAAAATTACAACCTGTGTTTCGTTAGTTTCAAGGATTCTCGTTATGTTGAAGATGTATTACTTACTTACGCCTGTTACCCCTCGTCGAGGAGTATAGGCCACCCACCAGCACTCCCCATCCAACCCTATCCTGGACAATTCTTTCCAGTTGCTATTCATCCTCTGGCTGTCTGCTTCCAATTCTCGGCGCATGGTGTCCTTTTGCCTTCCCCTTTTCCGTCCCGATTAAGGATTCCAAGTTAGGGCTTGCCTTGTGATGGAATTTAATGGTTTTTGTAATGTGTGTTCTATCCACTGCCAACATCTTTTCCTAGTTTCCTCGTTAGCTAGTTCATTGAGTTTGTTAGTTTCTCGTAGGAAGGCTGTAATGAACCATTGTACTGCCGTTTCCCCAGCTGTCCAGTGTTTCTTTAGCCTCAGTTTCATCTTGGTCACAACCAGGTGGTGATCTGAAGCTTTGTCAGCTCCTTTCCTCGTTCTCACGTCCGCCATTGTCCTTCTGAATTTTTTATTGATACAAATGTGATCTATCTGGTTCTCCGTGTTGTGATCCGGTGAGACCCATATGGCTTTGTGTATGCGTTTGTGTGGGAACTTTGTGCCGCCTATAACCAATTTATTGAATGCACATAGGTTTCCATATCTCTCCCCATTCTCGTTCCTTTCTCCCTGTCCGTGTCGTCCCATGATATCTTCATATCCAGTGTTATCTATTCCGACTTTTGCGTTTAGATCTACCATCAGGATGGTGAGGTCCTTTCTCGGGCACTTCGCTATGAATGATTGCAGCATCGACTAGAACTGATCTTTATTGTCGTCGTTGCTATGATTGGTGGGTGCATGACATTGGATAACATTCATCGTGATTCCCTCCTTTGTTTTGAAGGATGCCTTTACGATTCTGGATCCGTAAGATTCCCATCCTATAAGTGTTTTACCTACTCCTTTGGACAGCATCAGAGCAACTCCCTGGGTGTGTGGAGCATTTCCTTCTTCGTGACTAGAGTATAGCAGCATCTCCCCCATATCTAACCTTTACTGTCCAGCTTGGGTCCAATGGGTTTCACTGACTCCGTGCACCACTAAGTTGTATCTCATTTCCGTTGCTAGTTGACTGATCCTCTCGGTCTCCCACATTGTCCGGACGTTCCATGTACCTATAAAAATTGTTCTGGTTGGTAGAAAGGGCATCATCTTCGTGACTGCCGAAGACTCGGTTTTCATAATGAGGCGTCATAATTCTTCCTTTAACTTGGAGGACAGAGTTTAAATGGTTTAGTTTGTTTAATCTGGTTAGCGTTTTTTAGTAAGATTTTTTTCCACGGGATGGGGTTGCGAACCGTATGAGCTACAGGCGGAGTATTTATACTAGCCACTATTAAGTTGTTTTCGTGAGTTCATGTACTTTATTTTCATTTTTATTTAGAAAACTGATTATCAAGCGGTCTTGTCAATATCCATGCTTACTAAGATAAAAGAAATATGTAATCAAGTTTCCCAAACCACAACAGTTTATCCAGCTTTGATTTATAGCACTATGAAATTCCTTTTGATTTTACTATCCACTGCCTATTTTCATATCGTCTTACTTTAATGTAATCACAATTTTAAACAAGTCTTAATAGAAGTTTCTATTGAACCCGTAGTGTTCCCAAGACTTTTATACTGCTAATTTATATCCTGAGCATTTAAGACCTAACAATTCTTAATATACATTATCGACAAATAAAAAATCTTTGTAAGTCTTCAGTTCCTGCTTCCTGAGGAATCAGTCATTGATAAGTAGCTATTTAACGAACCCACTGAACTGAAGTGTGTTCTTAGATGTTTTTGATACCGTCGTCCGTTTATTGAACGAAAATATCGTGACGCTTGAGAAAAGTCGTTACTCTCCGTAAATTTACGTCTCGTTTATCTTTGGTCTTGGATCCCAATATTTCAAACGAGTGACTAAGTTGCTGTTTTGTGTGGAAGTTTTAATTCTGACTCATTTCACTTCATAGGAAATGATCTTTAAGTTTTTTCGTATAAAGTGTTACCCACACACTTAGACCAATCGAAATCCTAGAGTTTCATATCAATTACTCTCAAGGGTTTATCACCAAATCAAGTGTATCCACCCTGTCAATCAAATTAGTGTCTGTATCACAAATTTCACTAAGAAAATGTGATTTTGAGAGCAGGATGATTTGACGTTCTTTTCTGTTATTGTTTTTCTGTATACACAGTTTCCGTAGCCTACACAATATTACTGCTCAGTCCTAGTTGCTAATAGAAGCAATTGGAAAGCCAACCATATATTTATTTTTATTCTATGTAATTAAGATCTAGAAATTCACACGGTTATGCACATAAAATATGAGACCACCATAATAATCCAACATGTACATAACTGGGACACGTGACACAAGATGACCAACATGTTTTTGATCAAAGTATCATAAATTATGAACAGTAAGAGATGCTGCAACAGTTTATAGTATATTAGTTAGAACGTCACGATTCGGAAAAGGTTATAAATCAACCATTCAATAGATGCACACAGAAAACAAATTCACCGATCTCCCAGAGAATCGCCTTTCAGTTTCGTTTATTCGCTCCATTCTGAATATTGCTGTGTAGCAATAAACTGTTGCTCAGAATTCCATTATAGATGGTTAGTAACTATCAGATATAACATCAATAACTGTATTTTACGTCTGAAATAAATCACTTCTGTGTAATTAAATAATCGTACCATTTTGAAATTACTTCATGGGATTACATCGTATTCTTGTTTCAGTTTCCTTTCGTGAACATATTGTTCGATCTCGATGGTTCATGTTTCTTCTCACTAATTATTTCGAAATTTTGCCATGTAACCTGTTTTGTTATCACTAACCATCATAGTAACACAGCCTAAACTGATAACCTTCAGTGAAAATGCTTCGTCACATGATGAAGTTTATCTGTGCAATTTATTCGATCTCACTTGGAGCTGATATTTAAGATCATAGGTTATCTATCTGAATTTAATATAATCATGGGGGATGTCTAGCTAACAACTTCATAAATACTGGATATTTCCTGTGTGTGACCTTAACCTTTTTCCCTTTATGCAAAACTGACATTTTTAAGCTGTTTCACTGGATATCCTCTTAATACACACATTAAATGACTCATTCATACAGTAAATCAAATTCAACCTTTGGATATGATTGGACGGCTACTTAGTACAGACTAGTCTTTGACCTAATGTGTTTTAGATATTTCATACGTTGATTATTTCCTCCAGCATGGACTTACACAGACTGCAGAGCAAGTTTTAATACCAGTTGCTGAAAATCTCATTAATTTAACTTTATAACTAATAGGTCATATGACTTGGTTCTTTTTCTAACTTAAACACATGTCAGGGTTGAACCTCAAGGTCAACAGTTAAATTGGTAGACTATATGATAAATAGTCTTAATATCAAAGAAAAGAATTTTCGATTTTGCTTGCTGGAGGTCTTAACTACCGTATATTAGAACTAAAGTATTCAGAACTTCGGTTCATGTTTACAGTCATCTTTTTAAAACTCATCTGTCTACAATTATTGACTTAAATGATGATGGGAACTGCAACTACATATATTGTGTGGTTAAGAGTACACTTTGTAGCTTCTTAAAACTGCATGTCGAGTAGTGTTTGAACTCGCGATTTACCGTTCCTAAGTTGTGCGTTTGTATCCCTCAAAACTATCATAATTTTCTAAGGTGTACAATGACACTGCATACGTAAATGCGTTTAGATGTAGGTTGTGGTGTCCCATAATACGACCGGTAGTCGCTTTTTAGCAGAGTAATATGACGTTGGAAGTTTGTAGTTTTTGAGTGCAAGTGAGTTGTTTCCTAGAACTTGCTTGAACCAAAATCAATTTTTAAACCACCATTCTTTGAGTCGTGCTCTTCAGAACCAAAACTACTATTCTTTTTGATAGCTAGAACTGTTAAGTAAACAGAAAACTAGAATTAGTTTGAAACTTAAAACACTGGAATTATAAACCAGTATATTGAGTCATTTTAGATTCACAGTAAAAAATGAAGCGAAGAGGAATTACGTAACTTTTAGTTCTGAATATATTCACAAAAAAAATAAAATTCTCCAAATTTTGTCCCCATATACTTCAGTTTCAAAACTTTATTCTCCATTCCACTATCATTCATCTTACCCTGCACTGAAGAGTGTATCCTATTGCTATGAATCATTTACACTACATCCCTTTATTTTCTATTACTTTAAACTTATCGAAATTGAAGCCATGAGTTCTGACCTTAACTATTTGGTCTTTTGTGTTTCGACTGAGGAAAGCTGTCATTCTATTGGCGTCATTTTGCTTTGTATTGTTTGTCTTGACTCTTCATCAACACTTATTAAATTCTCTGGGTTATGTTTGATCCCTTCAAATTAGCGAACATCCTAACAGAAAACACATTTATTAATGATTACTAATTAATTATTCTAATTGTATTTTTAGTATGACATCAATTGTATTAGGAATGTAATCAATTGATTCGCCTCGTATTTGTTAACAGTATTTTGTCTATTTTAAATAAATATCATTTATTCTGATGTGAGTTCCAAATTTTTGGCCATATAATGCACCTTCATTTTAGTATTGCCTAGTATACATACAGTTTCTGAGGTATTTACTATCAAAACTGTAATAAGTGGAAATCGATCCGCCTGAAACATGTTAGCTAGATGAAATATATATCCAAAAACTAACTACGTTTATTCCAAGTAGGTCTAGAACCTGAGTAACAGCTACTTCAAACAGTAGAACACAATAAATAAAGCAATTTAACTAAATTGAACGAATCAGGTATAGCCAATATATAATCCTTCTAGAAGGCTCTTTGTTATTCTACTTACGAACTCTATTTTTAGTTCCATATAGAATTTAACCTCTGTCTAATTCTTCTGACGCAGAAATCAAAATGAATTTATCATTAAATTAAAAATCTTACATTGAATAATAATTGTGTTTTTCTGTACATATATTCATTGTTTGCTTACAGTATTGCGAAATTGCCGACCAACAATGTTTTTTTTAGAAACAGTTACTAGTTAGATAGGAGAACGAACAATTGCTCTAAAAGATTGAAATAGACAAATAAATTGTTGACTTAAAAATGACTCAACAATAAACAGAGGACATATTTTATAAATTATAAACGACTATTGGCTAAAATTCATTAAGATATAGATCGACTACATGTAGGTGGACTATACTGGTTCCCAAAATATGCTACAGACAATAAATTGGTTTTAAGTTATTATGCAAAATATGTTTGTTGACAATGAAACCGATTTAAAGTGACATACATTCATATGCGTCAGCACTTAAACGCTAAAAATGTAGTTTTTTCTCTAATGTTCAAAATCACCCAAAGAGTATTCTATAAACAATCTAAACTCGAGACAAATATAATAAAAGGTCAACACTAAAATTAGGAATTTTTGACTGGGAAATATTCAAGGGAAAAATGAACCATATAAAAAACTAATTGATCGTCAAACAAGTCAGAACCACAATAAAGGAATCGAATGAATTAACTTTACTCGGATAGTATATAACAGTTAGAAAACTGGAAATCTACTCCTACATATCTTTAGAAAATCTACCAACTCAGTCCTGAGTTCTCCTTCCCACTTGCTACTTATCCTTTTGATGTCTGACTCCAACTTCCGACTGAGTATGTTCTTTTCACTGCTTCATTTCCTTTTGCCTTCAGGACTCCAAGTTAGCAATTGTCTCACGATGCAGTTTGATGATTTTCGTAATGTATATCCTATCAACCTCCGCCGTCTTTTCCTAATTTACTCCCCAGCTCGAACCTGGTTTGTTTTCTCCCACAATAGGCTGTTGATAATGGTTTCTGGTCAATGGACATTCTGTATCTGGTGTAGACAACTGTTCATAAATACCTGTACCTTTTTGATGACAATTGTAGTAGTTCTCCACGTTTCAGCTCCATACAGTAGGACTGTCTTGACGTTCGTATTAAAAATTTTGACTTTGTCGTCTGACAGTTGTTTTGATTTCTATATGTTCTTCAATTGTGAGAATGGTATCTTTGCTTTGGCAATCTGTGCCTTTATATCTGCATCAGATCCTTTTTGTTTATCAATTGTACTGCTCAGGTACATAAACGTTTTCAACACTTTCAGAGCTTATCCATCAAGTGTGATTGGGTTGTGTTGTATTTCAGGATCTTCGTCTTTCTGTTGTGAATATTGAGGAGTACTGATGCAGAGGCTGCTGCTACTCTGGTTGTCTTGACCTTCATTTGTTGGTGTGTATGGGTTCAGATCATGTTCGAAGTCCAAATCGTCTAGTTGCATCCAAACTGTCCATTGTATCCAATGGATGTCTTCATAATCTAGTCAACCACCAGAGAGAAAAGAAAAGTTGAGAGTAAGCAGCCTTGCTTGACACCAGTCTTGGAATGGTTGTGTGAGCGTACATTTTCGATGTAGTACAATTCCCACTTAACGGTATCGATCAGTTACAGCCTAATTTCGGACCAGGCTAAGCTCACTAAAATCATTTTGTAATTTTTCCGTCAAAGTAAAAAATAGATATCAGTTTTATCGTTCAAAAACATTTGCG